AATATATATATATATCATTATATATCTATATATCATTATATCATTATATCATTATATCTCTATATATTATATCATAACATATCCAAGTCCAACCGGACTGTCTCAAATTGTTTCCTAGCACATTGTATAACATTATATCAGTTGATATAATGTATTTACTTGTAACATTGTATAATTTTTGGGTATGTCGACCCCTGGAGCTTCCAAGGATATTTTTGTTCCATGTCGGACATGGAAGGAACACGTCTTCGGAGATTCACATCCATTGGCATTATCTGCATGCCACAATTGGATATGGTTGGTTTGCAAACAAATACGTCAAAAAACGCCCACTCTCATCCTTGTATCTGACACACACACACACACAGGTATTGACAAATCCCAACTGGATCCATGCGCAATACTGATGAAGAGCCCTGCTCAGAAAGGCCCGTGGACTTCAGCGGTTTACACTGGCTCACTACAAGACAGTACCCAACTACACTGCTGTGTAGAACATATACCTGAGACTGTAGTTCCATGTAGTTTCATGTTTTTTCAACATTTAAGACTTGAGGGGCAGCCAGCACACCGGCCCACAAAGCACCTTAGCACAAAAACTTCAGAGTGGTGGAAAGCTGAGAATCGTCAACGTTGCCTCGCCCTGCCAAGGGTTTACAGCGTTGGTGTCTCCATCGATGTGCTGCCACCATCTTCCCGCTCAACACGAAGGGGTGATAGTTTCTGGTGACGAACAATGGAAGTTCGGATGTTGTAATCTTCCGGTGCACTTTGAAGAACAAAGCACCATTATGGCACCATTCAGTAAATGTCCTGAAGCAAACGCTCTCAAATCAGGTGCTTGTCAAAATCTCAAAGTTTCACTGCTTAGGGCTGATTTGGCCAAGTCCCCTAAGTGGTGTTGACTACTCATTTCCGGGCCTCCTTTGATTTGAGCTGATCCAGCAACGTGGCGGCTGTGACTTCGCTGTCACCTTCAGAGCTACAATTTGCTTCAATTTCGGCTTTGGGACTATTTGGGACTCACCATTCTTTTCTGTCACACGTTTTCAGATTCCAGTCGTGCACTTTCATGCTATACAGGCTATAGGTTGGCTACACATGCTATGAATGAGCCAGAAGCAATACTTCGAAACTGATCCGTTGTGATGCCAGCGCCTGTATAGCTGCCACCCACTGCCACAATGCGGTCCTCTCGAGACTCAAGACTCATCATTGACTGACTCATCATGCAACTTAATGGCAGTCAAGATCCTTGTGGTTTTGTTTCTAAATTACGTTGAATGAACTCTCTGTGAGAAGTTTAGTTTATGTCCATAGTTGCAGCCACAAGTGACAATTCATCTTCAGAACAGCGACTCCAGAGAAAGAGACTAAGCCCTGTGCACCAGCTGAGACTTTGGAGGTAGCAGACTCATTCCACTTTTGCACACAACCTGGATTCACCTGCCGCACGGATGTCATGATGTTTGCTGGCAGCGACATTGAGCATGTTCAATACAACTTGGGGAAGTCATCAAAATCATCAAATCTCAGTTTGGCTCAGAGAGGAATATCAAGATTACTCTGGCAGCTGCCCTGCTTTGCCTGCTTGATGATGAGGCCAACCTCAACATGACAACATGATGGCCATGTCAGGCCATGTCAAAGCAAAAGACTCAAGACTTCCGAGGTCACCTGGACCCAAGTCACTTAGACATTCAGCAAAAGTTCTTATTGCTGTTGTCGTGCCAAATTGCCAAATTGCCATGCTCTTGAACAGTCTTGGAGGTAAACTCATAATATTCTCATATAATCTATGTATATGTATAGTATGTATATCATATGTTTCTATTACATGTAATAATATACATATATATAATATATCATATATATATTATATATAATTATATATATAATTATATATATTATATATATAATATATATATATAGTATATATATAATATACATCATATGCATCATTAGCCATCGATGGCCAGCGCACGCGCCAAGGCCGCCAAGGCACTGCAGAATCTGCGTAGGCGAGGTCCAAGCCTATGGCCCTGCAGAGGTTTCAGGCTTTCATCGGGATGGTAAATCACTGGTCATTTAACATAGCCATGGAAAATGGCCCATTTATAGATTATTTTCCCATGAAAACCTCCATTTATAAGGGATTTTCCATGGCTATGTTAAATAACCAGAGGGTAAATCACTGGTAAATCACTGGGAGATGGATGTAGATGGATGTAGATGGCTGTAGATGGATGTAGATGCTGCCGCACCAGTGGTATGGGATGATTAGATATGATGAGTAATAGGATCTACATGCTGCAATTTCTTGCCTGCAGTTCTTGATCGGCACCTTCAGCTCCTTGCAGGGTCCAGTGCCAGGCGGCTGACAGACATGGCAACAGAACTTTCTTATTTCTACCTGCATATTTTGCATCCAACAAAGCAATCATATAAGTGATCCAACGCCAAAAATTCTTGAAGAATCAGATTTCAACATCTTCCAACCGGTGCACCACCATTCATTGGAAAGGCAACTATGTTCTGCCACCCGGTGCACCACCTTCGGACGTTGGATGGTCAAAGTGGCCTGCCACGAGGGTGATGAACAACTTTGATGCCCTGTCTGAAACCGGAACCGCCGAGGACCTCAACTTTCCAACAGTCCGAGGGTTATCCAAAACAGGCTTCGGACTGAAGGAATTAAAACTCATCATCACTTTGATGATTTTGATGTCCCGAGATCCACCTTCCCCCAGTATTTTCCACCATTTCCCACCCTTTTCCCACTCTTTTGCTGAAGCCAAGTCTGCCATATTTTGTTCCAGCTCCAGAAGCTGTGAGTTTGTCTCAACCAGTGCTTCAATGGTCCAAACATGCGACCATCAACAACCAAAATGTGCGGCCCTGGAGGAAGATCTGGAAGGATCTCGAAGGATCTGCAAGGATCTGGAAGGCCATCATTGTCAACTTTGCCAAGGTCAAATGCCAAATGCAAACTGCTGATCTACGTGGCGAGTGCCGATCTCTGTTGCAAATCTTCACAGTCAGATGCCTCACTTGCATCTGTCGAAGTAGCGGATGAAGGGCAAACTTCCTCAGGGAATCTGACAATGAGCATCCTCTCTCCAGTGGCATGTCAAAAGTAGCACATGTGGCCAACAACAAAACAAAAAATGCTTCACCCGTGGGCCCATGACCCAAATTTCCAACATAAAAACCTAAAAACAATTCCCTTCATTAAGAACATATATGACTCATATGACCTTTTGTTCAACTAATTTGGAGATGTGCTGATGATGACCCAACAAAAATTGCCACATCATCCCTGGCTCCTCGTCCAACAGCCTGCAAATCTGCAGCACTTCTTCTGCTTGATCTGGATCCTCCAGGGCCTCTCTCAAACGTTTCCACTTGCCACAGCCCGCCAATAAAATGGCCTCTTCCAAATCTCTTGCAAACTCCTGTGGCAGAAACATGAACTACAAAAACACTACCATGTCAAATGTATGGATTCAGGGCTTACAGTAACTTACTTAACTTCGTTTTGAGAAGATTTCGAAGTCGTCTGACGCTGGATGATTGACAAAGTCAAGGAGTCCCGGAGGTAAACACAGTTTTAAACATTGTCAAAGTTTCGGAATCTGGGCAGTGGTCCAAAATGGTCCAAAGACCTCATGCATGTTTTTCCCCGTGAATCCGTCTGTCACTGTCCGCGTATGTCAGTGTCACAAGAGCTCCAAATCTTCGAAAACTCCAGAGTCTTATTCATCTTATTCCACACCTTAATCATCCTTAATTCATCTTAATATTATCTTAATTCTCTATATCTTCAAACCAATAGATCCTCTTAATATATCTTAATCCTCCAGATCCTCCAGTTTACTGGGCGTTGCTTATGTTTCACGCCAAGCATCCTGTGAGCTGATCCAAAAGACATGACGCCAGGTCCTTCGGAAGCGAAGCCGTTGGAAGTCCTCCCCGCCATAGTCAAAGCGGGGCGACCAGCTGGGAAGCAACGCATACGCGCTGCAGAGTAAAACGATGGTCTCAAGGGAACCATAGAAAAACCAGGCTTCAAAGAGCTGGCCAAACCTGGGTTTAATATGGTTTAATGCAACTCTCACAATCAACTAATTTGTTTTGCAAAAAACTTTGAAATTCATGACTGAGTGTGGAAACATTGAATCAAGGTCAAATATGGTCAAATTATATGACATTGAATCAATCTTGGAGGCAACGCGAGGCTGCCTGTCTCAAGGATGTGTTGGAAAATAATTGTAGATGTTGTGGTGAAGAAGCCGTGAATCAAACATAGTTCTATAATGTTCTATATACGGAAACTAACGTGTTATATTGAAACCTAATACTCAGCACATATGCAGCACACGTTTATATCAATGGATCGGATATCCTCTGCGGGCAAATTCCTCAACCAGGATGGCATGACTTTTTCAAAAGTCCAACAGGTTTCACATTTGATCTTCACCGCACCGTTCCAGAAATGGAGTATTTGGCGAATAACACCTTGAGGATCCTTGAGGTCCAGTGGGAGCGATTCTCATTGAACAAGAAATGTGAATGGGCTGAGGAGACCAAATCGGATATTGAACCAGGAAAAAGCAAAATTAGGGACCGATTTCGCAACTCCTGTGCCAAGATGCGTTTGTGACTTCAAAGTCGCTCCTGAAACAATGGCTGTGACAAGAAAACCTGCAACCACCAATACCAAGAGCATCACCGCCAAGCAGTGGAATAGCCTTGTTTTTTCGTAGCGCCATTTTGTGGCCAAATACTTTCCGGTGCAAATATCGCTGCCATCATTCCACAGAATCAAACAAAGGCTGGACACGACCACTCCACAACATAACAGCAAGGAAATATAGTTCGCAACGGCCAGCAAGTTGTAGCCACCACGAAGACTCACACAGTTTCCTTTATAGCTCAAGTCAAATGACCAGCTTGCAATGTTCATCTCATTCTGAACACAAAAGACGTACTCACCTAAATTTTCGACACGCTTGGCGTCTTTGCTGGACAGAGTGGCCATCCAATCACTCAAGTCACTCAGCTCAACATCCGTGTACCACAAGTACAAATACGAGGTTGTCTCCGTCATCAAAGTGTAGTTGGCAAAGTAGAACAGCCAAATGGGCAACCACTCCGACAACACGAGGTGAACCACAGTAGCAAAGATCGGCACATCATTCACACCAGGAAGCGCACACATTGCCATTGAAGCTCCCAGAAATCCCATTGCCAAGTTCGCTCACTACTGTGAATCCGAAGTCGCTAGGTAGAGATCCCAAAGGTTCCCAGGCACATCCGGGTGCTTCATGAATGATATTTCATGATATTTCATGATATTTCATGATATTTCATGATATTTCATGATATTTCATTGAGAACAACACCTGCATTCTCCCCCGGAAGCAAACTTTGATTGGACGATGAGCTGAATGAAGTATCAAGAATAGAACAAACATGAACAAACGAGGGGAGCGAGGCTAGGTATGGCTAGGTATCATTGATATCATGGAACACCCGTTGCATTTCCCTGGTGATCCAAGCAACCTGGGACTGCTGCTTCCCCCATTATAGGAGGTTGCTTCATTGGTACAGGAGGCATGGGAATGCCATCGAGGAAAATTGAACAAGACCTACATTAACTGACTGCATAATCTAAATTTGGACTCGAGAAACAAATGAAAACTCAGACTTCCCATTGCAACATGACAAAAAAATCACGCAGCAAAAACATAAGCTTTCTGCGTTGCACTAGTATCATCAGAATATGTGCGATATAATAGATATATTGTGATTAGTTCGCATCACCCTCAATCTTTCATTTCAGCTGGAAACATACATTCTGAATTTCTCCATCAAGTCCATAAATTTGTCAACAAACCAAAGAAGTTCCACCCCAAATTGCTTGAACTCCCATGCCCCCACATCGCCACTGGGGATGACCCATTCCCGTTTCCGCCTCCTGGGTGCCCTTGATGACATCGAAAATCGCTTGTGAAGCACCGCTGGTGCCGTTGACTGCAACGATGCGGTCGCCGACCTGCGCTTCGCAGCAGACGAGTGGGGATGCGACGGCCAAAGATGCCCAAGTACAATGGGCAGAACAACCTTGCAATGTTCCAAGGAAAAAATGAAATACAAAATTGACAAGCCTTTTCTTGGTTTAGATTCAACATTGGTGCCAAAATTGATGCGCATCTCAGAACTGTCGAAGTTTTAGACGGGTAGCGTTTTATATAGCTGGCCTTCAATCTCTGCTCTGGGGACGTTTCGTTCCACTGCTGTGCTGCACCCCCATGCAAAGACAGCAGCAGGCAGGGATCCTGGCGCTTGGCAACTCGCTGAGAACCGAGTTGTCCAACTCTACTGCAAACGCCCTTGCTTGACAATCTCAGACCTGGAAGTCAACGACTTCCGTATGGTGGTCACGTGATACATGTGAATCAAAACAATCAATAGAATATATCTGTGGGTGCCCCACGAATCTCAGCCAATAGGCCAAAGAGTGCTTGAAAGTTGGGTGGAGCAAAAATGTCAGTCACAACCCCCCAAAAAAGCAAACCATTGGCGGACTTGTACCAGAAGGGCCTGATTATAATACAAACAATATTCCATGTTAAAACTTGAAACATCTTGAAACAATAGCTGGGTGCAGAATTCCTCCTGGTCAATTTAAGATAATTTAAGCCTCTTGTTCCCAGCCTTCGCATCAGCATGAACTCTTTCCTGGCAAACATCTCGATCGTTTCTGAAAGCTTGTGATGTGGCTATGGATTAAGACTCTGGCACTCCAGGCAAGGCCATACTTGCCATGGTTAATGATATAGCTGGCAAATGGATATTTATCTCCAAACAATATGGTTTTGTATGGTTTTGAATGATTTTGACCTATCCCCAAATTTCTGTCTTCGACAGTAAAACGTTTGGCATGATGGCGCGTCACTGGGAGGCGTTTTTAAGCGTCCCAAGCTGCATCCCATATCATCCCATCCCAACCTTGAAATCATACTCCAGAGAGAAACCATAACTTCCACTACCTCAGTGAAATCAGGTTGAGGAACCCCACGACATGGTAACTGATACCCAGATATACCCAGGGTTGCATGGACATTGCATGGATGTGGCTGACTCCTCTTCAATGCACGCGCACAACAAGGGTGAAATAAGTTCTTCGTCCATAATTTTGGGCATCCGACTTCTCTTGTCTAACCTGACCTCGAACTGGCCATCCTGACACAAGACACTCAGTGAGATTTCCAAACTGAGTCACAAAAGGATTGATAAGGTTGCAATTGGTTGCAATTGGCAGGTCTCTCAGGCGAACTTTTGGAAAATTTGTTCCGAGACAGTGGAAGTCTGATACCAGACATCGAGTTCGCAAAATGTGCTAAACTGAAGGTCTGATTTTGGATTCATGACAATGACCTGAAACGCATAGATTTCCAGTAACAGTCAGAATCATCTAGCGACCAGCAACCAGTGGAGACCGGTGGCCTCCCCCAGAACCTGAAAGAGTCAGAAGTGGGAGGCTTCGGAAAAGGCCAGTGGAAGGTGGCCAGAAATTGCCAGTTCCATCCAGTTCCAGCATGTGCAGGCGGCAGGCGGCAGCCAAGGCTCAAACCCGAACGCTAGCAGGAAGCTTCCTCAGAGTGGTGTGGAGAGGCGTTGGGCTAGACATTTCAATAGCCACCTAGCCACCATGGCCATGGTGGACCCATTTAAGATTAGCTAAGGCAACTGAGATTCTGCTCTGGCAAGTCCTCATTCACTTCTTTCGCCTCCCAATGCGCATCAGTCATCATCAGTCCACATTGCTCGTTGCGCTTCAGTGGCTTTCAATTCACCAAGATCACCAAGATCTAAGATCGTTTCATACTTTTCTCGCATGCAATTTTCATCAATTTTCCATACATTGGTATCAGGGGTCCTGATGTAGTGCATTGGAACAGCACAAGATTTTGAAGATTGTTCATGATTGTTCAAGCAAAATCGCACAGCGAGTCATCAGGCTGACAGCTCAGGTGATGGCCGTATCAGCTGTGATGGGAACAAAGGTCAATTTCCTCAGGCGAAGTCATCTAGCAAAACACGCGCAGATTCACCGGAAAACTGATCCTTCATACTTGGCAGACTTACGAGACTTAGCCACAATTCCTTTCTTTTCAGGCCAAGACAAAATATGACAAAAATAAAATGTGAAGGTGTAGCATTGAACAATTACATAGTTTCGACTAAAACCAAAAGACGGCGGAAAATTACGACTCAACAAATCTGAAAGGGAAACATCCAGAAAGAGATGGGTAGAGGTTCAAACCTTTTCAAACCCTTGTACCCTGGCGAACACCAAAACAGCAATTTTAGGGATGTTCATCTCCAAATATGGAAAATCACCATCTTTCATGGGAAAATTCACTATAAATGGAGATTTTCAATAGCTATGTTAAATTACCAGAGGGTATTCTGATAAAATGTGGTTTTTACCCAATGATTCAATCTAAAAAAATTGGAGCCGAGCGGCTGCTCCTCTCCAGCGCCCCCAGAAGCCTGGATTCACCGGTGCCGTGCAACCAGTTGGGAAACATGGCATTCGAAGAAAAACCACAAACACGTGATTCGTTTGTAAATACACATTGATTGGCAGTTTCAACATGTTTCAAGCCATTCCAACCTAAACCTAGTCAATGGTCCAATGGTCCAGGCCAAATTGGCCGAGTGAGTCGGCTTCCCAGTTTCTTTTGGTTATTTGATGAGGGGTTTATGCCGCACACATGTGTGGGTCAACTTCTAATATGGAAGTCTCCAAAAGAATCACATCCAGCTTGGGACTTCCAACACCAACTCCAAACTTGACGCAATCGTCTAAGGGCATGGCTGCAAGTTCCAGCTTTTTGGGCTCCTGCTACGAGTAGGTGGGAGTTGTCATTGTGCCACCCTGCTGTGTCACCCACATCGATGCAGAAACCAAGGGAAAATCATGGAAAATCTGTTCACGCTAGGATTTTGTTGCTTGTCTGCTTACTTTAGCCCATTATAATCTTTATAATTCTATATAATTCTTCAGAATGTTATTTCTTATATACAAAAACATCCACTTCATGCTCCAGTGATTTTGTGATTCACATGTCTAGGCCCTCACCGTCAAGGAGCCACTGGGAGCAAAACCCAAATATGTTCCAGGGCACTGATTCATATTTTCAGTTTTTGTGATTCCAAAATATTTTCCAAGTCTTATCCATGATTCATTGCTTTGTCTCTGGGAATTGCTCGGGTTGTCCGTGCACAAAACCGGGGGCTCATTCACATTCATTCACATCACGCCATACAGCCGATTTCTTTCAGCTTGCACAATGGAGCGACAATGACAAAAAAAGAACAGCAAGACCAGCGAGTCCTCGATGCCGCAACAGCAAAGCATGGCGAGAGTGGCACCAGGCTAAGCCTTTGAAAAAGTGTGCCCACTTGAGCCGTTCAGCTATCGACGTCCCAGAAAGATCCGAATGTTCCAAACCTTCTCCGCTGTCAATTTGGTGTGTGTACATCGTATTGCACATGTATTGTAATATTGTTCCTTTCCTGTCTAATTATCCTATATACATGGATCTTCCTGTAAATTCATTGCCTTGGTAGACTTAGACTTGGAGCTCCTGCTACCCTATCCAGTCCTCCACCTCGTGTTCTTTTTGTCACCGGTGTTTGCGGAGTCCTTAACGAGGTTGGCGCTGGGTAGGCTGCGGAGCATGCGCAGCAATGTCTCCATGCTTTGAAGCCACTTTCCAAATTGATTTCCCTTGGGTCTTCGAAGATCATTCAATGGCTGCTCCAAAATGGCACGGAAGTTTTCCCACAAGGGACAGTTTGGCACCCTCAGCTCATTCACACGAGCGATGACTTTATTGGTGCGATGTTCCCAGTGGGGTGGAGCATCTTTCACAGTGAACTGAACACTACCTTTCTTTGCCTCTGGATAGAGCACCTCGACGATCAACTGCCGGGTCTCGTCTTCGCCAGCATCCTCCACTTTGCCGATCAAGAGACCATCGGTGGGACGTACACTGAGCCAGTGGCCGTGCTTCGCGCTTGCCGGTGAGAGAAAGAAGAGGAGAGGGCAATAATCATTCTCCAAGTCTTGAAAGGCGGGCATCGGAATCCTCACCTTGGCGAATTTTTCATGGAGAAATGGAAAAGGCATTGTTCCGATGGAACGAGAGATCTCCTGCCAATGCAAAATGACACCTGAGAAGGGGGGAACGAAAGACAGCATCCCATCTAAGCCTATTTTCCCCCAATGATTTTTCACCCACTGACTTTTCACCCATATACTTTTCACCCAGAAACTCTTCACCCAGAAACTCTTCTTGCACATACTTTTCACCCATATACTTTTCACCCAGAGGCTCTTGACCCAGAAACTCTTCTTGCACATACTTTTCACCCAGAAACTCTTCACCCAGAAACTCTTCTTGCACATACTTTTTACCCATATACTTTTCACCCGAAGACTCTTCACCCAGAAACCCTTCTTGCACATACTTTTCACCCAGAGACTCTTCACCCAGAAAAACTCTTTACCCAGAAACTCTTCTTGCACATACTTTTTACCCATATACTTTTCGCCCGAAGAATCTTCACCCAGAAACCCTTCTTGCACATACTTTTCACCCAGAGACTCTTCACCCAGAAAAACTCTTTACCCAGAAACTCTTCTTGCACTTATTTTTTACCCATATACTTTTCGCCCGAAGAATCTTCACCCAGAAACCCTTCTTGCACATACTTTTCACCCAGAGACTCTTCACCCAGAAACTCTTCTTGCACATACTTTTCACCCATATACTTTTCACCCAGAGACTCTTCACCCAGAAACTCTTCTTGCACAGAGAGACTCTTCTTTGCACATACTTTTCACCCATATACTTTTCACCCAGAGAAACTCTTCTTGCACATACTTTTCACCCATATACTTTTCACCCAGAGACTCTTCACCCAGAAACCCTTCTTGCACATACTTTTCACCCATATACTTTTCACCCAAAGACTCTTCACCAAGAAAATCTTCTTGCACATACTTTTCACCCATATACTTTTCACCCACAGACTCTTCACCCAGAATCTCTCCTTGCACATACTTTTCACCCATATACTTTCCAGAAACTCTTCTTGCACATACTTTTCACCCATATACTTTTCACCCAGAGACTCTTCACGCAGAAACTCTTCTTGCACATACTTTTCACCCATATACTTTTCACCCAGAGGCTCTTGACCCAGAAACTCTTCTTGCACATACTTTTCACCCATATACTTTTCACCCAGAGGCTCTTGACCCAGAAACTCTTCACCCAGAAACTCCTCTTGCACATTTTTTTCACCCAAAGACTCTTCATCCAGAAACTCTTCTTGCACATACTATTCACCCATATACTTTTCACCCAGAGACTCTTCACCCAGAAACTCTTCTCACCCAAAGACTCTTCACCCAGAAACTCTTCTTGCACATACTTTTCACCCATATACTTTTCACCCACAGACTCTTCACCCAGAAACTCTTCTTGCACAGACTTTTCACCCATATACTTTTCACCCAGGTACTCTTCACCCAGAAACTCTTCTTGCACATACTTTTCACCCATACACTTTTCACCCAGAGACTCTTCACCCAGAAACTCTTCTTGCACATACTTTTCACTCATATACTTTTCACCCAGAGGCTCGTTACCCAGGAACTCTTCTTGCACATACTTTTCACCCATATACTTTTCACCCACAGATTCTTCACCCAGAAACTCTTCTTGCACATACTCTTCATCCATTTACTTTTCACCCAGGTACTCTTCATCCAGAAACTCTTCTTGCACATACTTTTCACCCATATACTTTTCACCCATATACTTTTCACCCACAGACTCTTCACCCAGAAACTCTTCTTGCACATACTTTTCACCCATATACTTTTCACCCAGAGACTCTTCACCCAGAAACTCTTCTTGCACATACTTTACAGCCATACACTTTTCAGCCAGAGACTCTTCACCCAGAAACCATTCTTGCACATACTTTTCACCCATATACTTTTCACCCAGGTACTCTTCACCCAGAACTCTTCTTGCACATACTTTTCACCCATATACTTTTCACCCAGAGACACTTCACCCAGAAACTCTTCTTGCACAGACTTTCACCGAGAGACTCTTCACCCAGAAACTCTTCTTGCACATACTTGTCACCCATATACTTTTCACCCACAGATTCACCCAGAAACGCTTCTTTCACATACTTTTCACCCATATACTTTTCACCCAGAGACTCTTCACCCAGAAACTCTTCTTGCACATACTTTTCACCCATATACTTTTCACCCAGAGACTCTTCTTGCACAGACTTTTTACCCAGAGACTCTTCACCCAGAGACTCTCCTTGCACATACTTTTCACCCATATACTTTTCACCCACAGACGGATCAACCATATATTTCTCACCCACAGACTTGCCCCCCCATATACTTTTCACCCAGAGAGTCTTCACCCAGAAACTCTTCTTGCACAGACTTTTCACCCAGAGACTCTTCACCCAGAAACTCTTCTTGCACATACTCTTCACCCATATACTTTTCACCCACAGACGGATCAACCATATATTTCTCACCCACAGACTTTTCCCCCATATACTTTTCACCCAGAGACTCTTCACCCAGAAACTCTTCTTGCACATACTCTTCACCCATATACTTTTCACCCACAGACGGATCAACCATATATTTCTCACCCACAGACTTTTCCCCCATATACTTTTCACCCAGAGACTCTTCACCCAGAAACTCTTCTTGCACAGACTATTCACCCACAGACTTTGCACCCTCAGACTTTTCACCCAAGAAAACCGGACCTATGGGGGAATCGATACCCACCGTCACTGTTTTGCCGCATGGTACATTACAGTGAAAAACCATACTATTTGCGCGCCTAAAACACCACCTATTTACGATGTTTTCGCTCCCTTGAGGCACCTACCCCCCCCAGACCCCCCTATTCTCACTTCGTTCGCAAATAACAACTAGCCAGCTTCCCGGCTGGCATTCGTTTAAAAAAATGATAAAACAATATGTATTGAGAAATGAGAAGAAAAACTCTGATTTATTGGGAGTCATTGCATGTTTGACGTCAAAAATCAATTCTTACCCATCTCCAACTCCATCGCACAACCACCAGGTCACTTCATCTGATCTATCAAATAAGGCTTGCATCGGTAGCTCTTGCATCGCTTCCTGAATCTGAGTCTTCACCTCCCGTTTCGATGCTTGCCATGGTGCCGGTGGGAAGTGCCGACAAAATCTGACAATTAGCAAGGTGCGTTAGTGAGTTGTGTTACCCAACAGTGGATATCTGGAAATCAGGAAAAACTCTGTTGATTTGTTTTTTTTCCTACGGCACTGAGGGTCCATAGGATGCCTCACTGTTTAATACTGAACTGAACTGAATAAGTGTCACATTCCTCGTGAAAGAACTGACCAGAAAACTGACCCATATAGGATCTTCAGGTACACATCCTGGCGGAAGTTGGCTTCATTCGTTCCGAACGCCTAACCGACTTCATCAAGTCCAAGTTCGGTAAACACAAACGTTGATAAAACGACAAAAAGAACAGGCGGACCTGAAAACCAACACAGGTGCACGTAGCTATGGAAAATCACCATTTTTGATGGGAAAACTCACTATTTCAATGAATTTCAATGGCCATTTTCAATAGCTATGTTAGTTTACCAGATGGTACTCTTTATGACAGTGGTGATGCAACATAAACAACGGTGAACAACAATATCATTCTGATGGACACCTCTTCTGCCATTGATCGCACCATTGAATTGACCATAGTTCTTGATGTTGTGTAGGCCAGGGTCTGGATTGTCTCAAAGCGATGCGTTAGAACAGGAATCTGAAAAACACCGTTAGGACTTAGGACCGTTTGATCAACCTGTTCCTGGATTCCTTGACTACAAGAGAGGGCCACTGTGCGACAAGATTTCACCATATTTCACCAAGAGAAGAAAACCACCAACAGCAAAGGTAATTTGGAGAGAGTTGATTTCTAAACACAAAACGCACGAATCCTTTTTGGGAATCCATTTCAGAAAAAAAAACGCCAAACCTTTGGGCCTCTTGGAACAAGATACAAGTTGGTCACTTGACCTCGACGCCTCACAAAGGCAGGCAATTGGTTGGACAAGTTGTGGATGACTGTGTCAACCGCCCGACTTCTTGCAGGTTCCTCAAGCCACGGCTTCTCCTTGGCGATTTCCAGTGGGGTGACGTGCTTTCATTGCTGCATTGTTTGAAAGGGATTGGACATGATGGGACGTTAATTTCCATGAATACTAACAAAAGCTTAAAAGGATACCCTACCATGTTAAGCCAAAAAGTACAGAGATCCAAGTCATATAAGCTATAAGCGTTAAACGCGATGTCGCCAAAACTATCTGCAACAACGTACCTTCCAGCTTCCTTGTGCAAAGGAAGGTTCACGCTCTATCATGCTCTATCTATTTCTACACCCCATCATGTACTACACGACAGCGTACTACACGAACAGCTACTCACATGTATCTGTGTTATTCGTACTACACCTGGCTGCTACTACATGCTACTACACTGCATGCACTACACTGCGTACTACACGTACTACACTGCATGTACTACACTGCATGTACTACACTGCGTACTACACGTACTACACATGTACACTGCATGCACTGCGTACTACACGTACTACACGTACTACACTGCATGTACTACACTGCATGTACTACACTGCATGTACTACACTGCATGTACTACACTATACTACACTGCATGTACTACACTGCATGTACTACACTGCGTACTACACTGCATGTACTACACTGCATGTACTACACTGCATGCACTACACTGCATGTACTACACTGCATGTACTACACTGCATGTACTACGCTGCATGTACTACGCTGCATGTACTACGCTGCATGTACTACGCTGCATGTACTACGCTGCATGTACTACGCTGCATGTACTACGCTGCATGTACTACGCTGCATGTACTACACTATACTACGCTGCATGTACTACACGTACTACGTACTACGTACTACGTACTGCTGCTGCTGCTGCTACTACTACTACTACTACTGACCGCTGACTACTACGACTACTACGACTACTACGACTACTACGACTACTACGACTACTACGACTACTACGACGACTACTACTACTACTACTGCTACTTCTACTACTACTACTACTACTGACCACTGACCACTGACCACTGACCACTGACACTGACTACTACGACGACTACTACTACTACTACTACTGACCACTGACACTGACTACTACGACTACTACGACTACTACGACTACTACGACTACTACGACTACTACGACTATACACTACAACGACTGCCACTGCCACTGCCACTGCCACTGCATCGGACCATGGGTAGTTGTGCCTCCATTCCGTGACCCATCAAGCATCGCAACAGCAGAACTCCGCAGGAACGCTACTGATGTCTCAAGATACGCAGTGTGTAGTAGGTGGTCGGCAATGGGTAGTAGGTAGTCGCCAGTGGGTAGGTACTAGGTAGTGGGTAGTATATAGATACTTTGTAGTTGCAGGTAGTAGATAGTTTGTAGTAGCGGGTAGTAGGTAGTAGGTAGTGGGTAGTGGGTAGTACCTTGGTCGTAGGTAGTCAGAAAGTAGCAACTCACGTGGTCCTCCTCCTGCTCTGCTGTTTTGGACCCTCACAAGAAATGACCCGTGCTTCAGACTTGCAATGCGCTTGATCAAACCTTTGGCTTTGTGACACTGATGGAAGGCCCGAAGAATTGGCAACCCCAAGTGCGGCACACCAAACAAATGTCTTTAAGGCAAGTGTCCATTTCCCACCTGTCCTGCACGCGACCATCATCCATGCCTGGTGAGAGACCCGTAAGTTGGAGTCTTTTCCGGGATGATCATAGCAAACGAATTACTTTACTTGGTGTGATCCCCACTGTGGCACATTATATCCTGAAATATGTTCTGATATATATTCTGGTATTCAATCTGACATTCTATCAGGCATTCTACCTGGCATTCTATGTGGTATTCTGTCTGGCAGTCTATCTGACATATACTCTGACATTGTATCTGGCATCCCACCTGACATTCTGTCTGAGATATATTCTGGCATTTTATCTGATATTCGAGCAGGCATTCTATTTGCATTCTATCAAGTATCTATCTGGCATTCTACCTGACATATATTCTGACATTCTATCTGGCACCCTATCTGACAGAATTTCTGGCATTCTATTTGAAATTGACATTATTTCGCATTTCTATCTGGCTTTTTATCTGGCATAGGGTTCGGGTCCAGTTGGGCCTAATAAGATTGATAAGCTGGCGAGCTCGCCGTAGTGTTGGTATCCTGCCATCCAGGTCCGTGCCCAGTCAGGTGTCCGGCGGGATGTCTTGTTAAAGGCTAGAGACCCTCGCCTGGCACACGGGGAAATATCACACATCGACCAACACGTCTTTAAGGATACCTTCAAGGCAGGCAGCCACGAAGCTCCAACACAAAGCCAACATTTCAGAAGGTTCGTCTCAATTGTCCAATGTGTGAATGCAAATTAGCGCAGTCTTGGTTCATTTGGAAAGGAACCTACTTGTATGGTATGCTTTCCGGTTCCTAGTGACGTCTGCTTGAATGATTTTGCAACAATATAAATAGAAGATAAGGCAAAACCGTGACAAATGTGTCGTGATATCTCGTGATTAAAAAAACCAATTGTTCTTGGGAGTCTGAATTGAGGCATCCCAGTTGGTAGTGAGTAAAAACTTATGTTGGGTATTGTTGAAGCTTTTATCACACCCAACCCGATGTTTGCAGATAGGCAGCAATTGCATCTTTTTCTGCAAAAGCCAGGCGGAGCTGCAACCCCATAGCCCTCCGGATACTCATGGGCATTCAATGGCCATCCTGTCCGGATGTTGTCCTGCGACACATCTGACTGCGAGCTCGGGTTCAGAATTCGTCACAGCAATTCACAGAATCTTTTAAACATCAGGTCAGGTAATAGATGGTAATATCGGTATACCACTGAAAACCTCTCACTCCAAAAATGAGAGTGAGACAATGAACGTCTGACATCTGCTGGGACCCTCCAAAGCAAAAGGAACGGAGAGACCACATCCACCACACAGTCCAGAAACACAAGCTCGCACAATAAGCATAGCACAGTGTGTCGCGGAAGACACACACACACACACACCCACACCCACATGCACGCATGCAAACAAAGTCACAAAGAAGGGCTCTCGGCCAAGCAAAATCATGAATGGGAGCCCACCATACTGCTTTGCACAGTCATTCTGCTGCAATTCACACATTGAAGCGTTGCTGCGCCCGTATTTGCTTGAAACGCGAACAATGCACTGCACCTGCCATGCACAACCTGCGACAAAATCCAAAATCACACCTATGCCAGGAGACAGACACTCATTTTGCGACATGTTAAAAACATTCCACGGACATGTCCTGACCACCCAAAATACACCGTGTGACCCGGTCCAAGAACCCGGACCCTGGGCTTCATGATAGTACTATAGTAGCAATCAAAGCCAATTGTTTTTCAGAAGGTGGACAATCAACATGGACATTTTTCACTGCCACAAAGTTGTGAATGGTTTCGAAAGTTGCCAGGGATTGTTGAAAGGAATTCTCGCACGCAAAATGATTGTGAAGGGGAGTCCCTGAAATCCCTACAACCTGCTTCAAAACAATTCTTTGACCATGACACCGTGACCTTTGTTGTGACCTTTGTTGTGGCACAGTTTCTTCCTACCCTCAGGCCCTCTGTCCTCGACTTCCTCTGGATGAAAATCATGTCCCACCTTGAAGCGAAAGAGGTCCCGGAGCAAAGGCTGACCGCGTCGACAGAACTTCGCCACGGGGGTCTGCGCATGGCAGCTGACTCTTTGACGCTTCCGGCCACCGTTCTTGGCCTGGCTTCTAGTGAGATTCTAGTGACCTTCCTAGGTGCAACTCAAAAATCACATTCGTAAGACTTCATCCATTCTAAGCCTAAGCCTAAGCCAACCGGGATTACTAACCCATACCGGAATCCTATACAATACACAGTAATTGATAACAACATGTATATATATAAGTATATATATATATTATATATAATTATATATATATATTATATTATATATATATATCATATATATAATTATATATAGAATTATAATATATAGAATTATAATATATAATAGAATTATATGTATATATGATTATATGTATATGTATATGTATATGTATGTATGTATTGGAGAGAGAGAGAGAGAGATGGAGTCTTAAATCAAAGATATCTTTTCCCTGCTGGATATGTCTCATTTCAAACAATCATCGGCTGTTGGTTAGCAATCATGATCAGCTTGAGCGGCCTCCAGAACCATTCGGACCTCTGCGTCTTTTCGCCGCTCGATCCAGGATTTCTTCTCTCGTAGTCTGATGCGGTCGAGTTGGGGTGGAAGACATTCATCAGGCTCCCAGGTTGCACCCAGCGTACCTCGGTGCAAAGAGGCAACGCCGGCCCTGAAGGCTTCAGCATTGGACATGGCAAAATCGTTTCGTCGATCATTGAACCAAAAAACATCAAAAAGCCACAGACATCAAACAGATGTGGTCAACTTCTCCGGGAGAAAAAGGCTGGAACCCCCAGCATTCGCCCAACAGGTCTCATTCAGGGCATGACCTTTTTTGCCACGCATCATGGCTCAAGATACACCTCCAAAACACATTTTCATGATCAAACACAGATGAAACGTACCAGCCCCTTCGGCCCTGTGACATTTTATGACATTTTACATGCATATCGTTTTGATGATCAAGTGGGATCAAGACTGCTGGCCCCATGGAACTTGACATCCCAACATAGTCTAATTCTCAAGAGGGATCGTTTGCATATGCATCATATGCCAACTCCGTATCTTAGCCCGAAACATCCATATGCGGAGCGAGCAAACGTATGCAAACGTACTGTTTGCTGTGATGATGTCTACTGGGTGTTCTTTGCTTGGGTGGGATAGGACACATTCCTGTGGTGATCCCCTCCTTGGCACCACATATTCGTCGCTCTCGAGTATGTAGAAAAACACACCATGTTTGATGATGCAATTCTGATCTGTAACATGCATCCCTCCCTGAGACTTGGTTAGCCTCTTTATTTTGGATTTCAGTTGTTTAGTGAGATCCACCAGTATTTACATTTTGACCTGGCGCTAGTTGAGCCCAAACTGCAATAGTTGCCGTCACTTGTCAATTGGATCAGTTTAGCATCCCAAACCCTGGCCCGGGACTGGGCAATATTTCTTTTAAAAAACGTTCTGAAAAAAATGCTGACCAGGGACATTTATCGTGACTTATTATACTCGGCCATTACTCCGCCATGTTTTCCGGCATTTATCCTGACATATCCTCTGACACATCTCCTGCCGAGTCTTCTGACGTAGTATATGCTGACATTTCTCCTGACATATCTTCAGGCAAATATTCGGAGAGCAACTCTGACATCAGCTCTGACATATTGCCTGACATTAGTTGTGGCAAATGTCCTGTGACGCACATTCTGACATGTGTTCTGACATTTGCCCTGGCAAATTTCATGTGATATATTCTGACATGCATTCTGACAATTCACTTTTTTTGCATTTATTCTGGCCCTTGTTCTGGCAGGTGTTATGTAACGTTGGGGGGGGGCACACAGTCCAGGAGCTTTGCATAGAGTCGAGGTCCGGTGCACACAGAGAATCCTCCCCTGACAGGCCGGGCTCTGTCACCGAGGCGCAGAATCCATTCTCAGTCCTGGAGTAATCCACATCAGAAAAGGGATGTTCCCAGTGAATAAGGTAGAAATCCTGGTAGATGCCGAACTCGTGATACGCTTCCCAGGGTGGCATGTAGCCGGCGATTTTCTCGATCTTCCAAAATCCAAGGACCTGCCACAATGGTTTTTGGATTTATCTAGTCAGAAAGCTCCTTGCAGGTGGTGGTGGGGTTGTGAAACTCATGATTTTGCATTGTTTAGATATGCACTTGACATTTCAAAGTAGTTTTTGGGTTGATCAGTAACATAACATTATTTACTTCAACTATGATCACTAGACTATATATACGTATATTTATATTATTACTAATTATCCTATGTATACCCGTTTTTCAATGCACCGTTTCCTTGAGGCGTAACATTTTGATTCTGATAGAACCATACCAGAACCATCCCTTCGCAAGGAAAACTTCCATTGGCTGAACCCAAGCACCCTGCGAAACTGTGCAGTGTGACAGGGCCTCCTCTTGGGTTGCTGGATCCTTCGGATTCTCTTTTTGCAGCAAGCCCCGGCGACGAAAGTTGTGGGTGACTCGATTCATGTCTTGGTATCTGGCACCTGCAATCAGCCAGACGCAAGCGTCTTTTTGGGTAATTAAAACAACATGCAATGAATGTTTTACATGGCAAAATCAGCTGGTTCCTGCTGGTCAGAGAAATCTAGTTTTCCGGAGCCTCCAAGAAATGACGATTGCAACTCCGCTTGCCCAAAGCCCTGCCTGTGACTGCTTCGTTCAAGAGTCGCTCTTGCACATAGACATGTGCGCATAGCCCGGACATCTTGGTGGAAAGTTGCACATTCAGCAAGTGTTCCAAGTTGCGAGTGAACCATTGGACCTGCCCATGGCATGTCATGGCATCCCAGTGCAGGTCGTTTCTTGGAGAATTTTGCCAAGATATACCATTGTTAGTCATTGTTTTATTTGGAAGGAGGCTTACGTACCGTATTTCTGTGTACATTTATAAAAATCTTGAGCGCAATTCTGTGTGCAGCATGCCCGGGCGGCGGAATCGCCGGATATGTTTGGCCTCAAGACGTGAAGCCCTGAGGGCTTGGAGCATCAATAAGCCTTCGCACCAAGGGAGCACCCGACTTTTGGGCACCTCCTCCATTCGGCCACCATCACGTTCGACCGTAGCTATGCCTGGACGATTCACGCTTTGAAATGGAGGACAAAATCATACAACATACTGACACAGAAAGACAAACAGAGGGTCCAAAACTAGGGCATACCCCCCAGTTTTGCACATTTAAAACGAGCATGATTATTGATCAATGGATTTAGGGGGAGCTTATTCTCAGAAAAAAAAACAAAGAACCGGCCACCCAGCTTTCAACTTTTGTAACCCTCAGGCCTTGGCCTTGGTTGTAACCTGCCAGAATCACTGGTGTAATCTTCGCCAAAAAAGGACCCGAGACCCCATTGATGAGCCGAGTCTTGGCCACCTGCCGATCATTGGGGAGCTCTCCTGGATGAACGAAGTCAGCTGTTTCACTCAGAGGGTCCCAGACCCACACGTCACTTGAGCCATTGGTCGCCATCAAATCCACGCGGGATTTGAAAGTACTTGGACTCAGTGGGCTCAGGATGAAGCTGTTGTGAGGGTGCTGTTGTAATGGTTTTGGCCATGCTTCTGGTGCTTGTTATGATGATGAATTAACATTTTACCATCGTGGCATAATATTGCAACAGGGGTCAATGGGCCTTGTATTCTTCTTGTGTTGCAATCGACAAAGGTTCGGCTGTATTGAACAAAGACCCTGAGCCAAGTCTGCAGAATGGAACGCCATGACGTGAGTCAAATTAAACTTAACATTCTGAAACAGCTTGTGAATCTCAGCCGGTGTGTGTATATATATATATCTTTCGATTTGTCGAGGGACATGCTGTGATCTTTCTGTGGAGAAGTGCAATTCTGACAGCTCCAAGGTGATGCTCCCGCAGACTTTGGCATCAGCCCCAAAATCTCAGGCAATCGTAAGATCATCCAAGTGACACTCCAAGTGACACTGGAGAAAATATGACAAAATATCACAAAATCCAATGTATTTCTTCACTTTGATTCCAACCTGGCACCTGGAATCCATTTTTTACGGTCACATTTGCAAAAGTTTGTTGAGCTGGTCGTTGTTCCAAGCCACTTCAGCACGAAGACCTCAGCGCCATGATGAAAAGAGATGCCTTCTGGTCGGCTCCACGGTCTGCAAACAATGGAGCTATGTCGCAGCTATGTCGCAGCTATGTCGCAGCTATGTCCCATTGAATCCTCATAAAATGATCCAAACGTGGCCATAAGTGATTTTCAAATCCCTTGGACATCTTCGAACATGTTTGGAATTGGAGCAGCCCCTGTGACGAAATCGGGAGTTGATTGTGGGGCGCACACCGTGCGGCGCAAAGGCACCCATCATCTGGACGACGCCCTGGCGCTGAGGGATGGGACTGCTTTTCAATGACCTGCCCTCTTCACCGGAGCACTGGAGCACCTTGGGTGATCCCTCGAAGCCATACCTGTCTGCCAGGATCAGTCAGCGACTCAATATGACTCAATGATGTTGCTATTTGTTGGTTGATGATGTGGGATGATGTGGGGTTATACAGTTATACTATCCCACATATTGGGATCACCAGAATCCATGACCGGAACTCAGAGGAACTCAGAGGCACCTGGGTAGCACCACACTTTGCACTGTGAGGAACAACTCAGTACCTGACATGAAGTCTATAGCGTGCCAAAAACCCCCCCTTGGATGAAGTTGGGGTGAAGCTTGGCTGTCAACTTTGCAGATCAGTGACAAGCTGTGTAACGTTGATCAGCACTTTAGCAGAGTGAGTGACACTTTGCATCAACAAATTCTAGTGGAATCAGTTGGAAGCTCCTTCCTTATCTTCTTGCCTGAAGCTGCCTGTGATGATTGCATCTTTGTCGCCATTTTGCATGTACAGTATATATATATATGTCAGATGTATTTAACCATCATTTGAGGATGTTGTTTGCCTCCATTTGAGCAACATCTTTGCCTCGCTTCTGAATGGACGGTGAGTCTGTTGAGATCCTCACGTTTTCGCAGGAAGTCGGTTCCGGATTTGCTCGGATGCCTGTAGTTAGTGCCAGCCGGTTTTGGTGGATATCCCCTGCCTCCAACCCTCAGCAGATCGCAAACGTGACAGGAACACGGATTTCATGTCATGCATAGAGTGAGGGAAAGTTGGTCAAGTCCTCTTTGGAGCAAGAATTTTCAAGTCCATCTTCAAATCCCAGCCACAGTATGCCTTTTTGATAATTCTGACACTGAATGCAAACAGTAAATTCTCGGCATACAAATAGATAGAAATTGACGGACACTCAAACTTTTCTCATGTATTTTCATATTACAGATATTACAGCAACGTGAGGATGTCCTTCTTGACATTTCAGTCGCAACACCCCTTCCCTACATGGACCTCCCGGATTCCTCATATCCACACAAGCCTTAAGGTCGCTTTCCTATCTCCCTATCCTCAAATCCAAGCAACTCTTGGATGATCTGCGCCAGAGCCGACTGGAACTCAGGCCTCAAGCTGCAAGCGCCAGACCCGGTCTGGGCAGAGTTTCAGCATGCACACAGTAAGAACCCGGTCCCCTGGTGTTGCATTTGGATTCTCCACCAAGTAAAACATATAGTAAAACATCATCATCAACTACTGATAATTGACGATAGTCAACTATCCCACCAACTATCCCATCAACTAGAATCAACAACATTCTCCTATCTTTTCTCCCCTTTCTATCCACTGATGTGATGGCCGTTGGGGCCGCTGGGGCCGTTGGGGCCGTTGGGGCCGTTGGGGCCGTTGGGGTCACCGACTTTCCAAAACCTTCCATCAACTCCTCCTGCAGTGACAAGGCACATTCGAACCTCGGAGGTGCAACGGACGAAAAAAACACATGTCCAATTATGGAGAAGAAAAGACATTCCTGTGCCCCTTATAACTTGGAAGTCGGAAGTACAGTATGAATAAATAATTTTAAATATATATATATATAATGATATATGTATAAAATATTATATAATGCGCTATAAGTATATCCATAGATGTATGTTCAATAATATAACAATTAGGCTCAATCTGACTAAATATCTACTTCCGAACATGAGGATTTACAATTGTCATGTCGTTGTGAGTCAAAACTTCGGCACCCTGGTTTTCACATCAACATAGCTCATTGTTACGGACAATCATCCCCCGTTCAGTATTGCGTACTACAGGTGTTCACCATTGTTCACCCATGTCATCCATATCCATCTTATATCATCTAGTAATATCTGCATGAATTACACATGTGATAATGATTCACTAACCTGAAGATAGTTGAAATAAGGCCATTTGGGGCTGATTCCCCGGGCCATCCCAGGCCCTAAGCATCATTCCAGTGGACGTCACGACCTGAGGTCACAACATATATTTCACCCATATAATTATCATATAATTATGACATATTAAATCCACGATATCATTCATAAATCAATCATAAATCATTCATCCCCATTGTATATCCCTATAATATATATAATATATATATATATCCATATATATCCCCATTTTAGTATCCCATCTTCAGCTCACGACATCACCGAACCCTCCCAGTTCTCCCAACGTGAGCATTTCCTCTGGCGACATGGGCCGAGGTTTCACGATCTCCTCACCGCGGCTCCACCGCCAGAGTTGGCCATTGAAAAATGGGACAAAACTATGACAAAAACCCAAAAAATATGGGAAAACCATGGGATAATCCTTTGGAATGGAGGGGAATATTTTGGGTTCACCCCAGTTTCAAAAGAACATCAAAGAAGTCAAAGTGCAAATGCTCCAGTTTCACAGGGTGTCTGCAATGCCATGAAGATTTGAAATCTTGTTGAAATCCATCAAATTAGGGTCTCTTGTCAAAGTGGTCTGGAGCCCTTTGCCCTTGCAGAAGGCACCCATCACCACAATCAAAGTGTGTCCTTGCCGGAGACACTCAGACCTTAGAGTTCTGCCGGGTGAATTTTCTCGAAGGCAGCAACAATGGAAACACACAGGGGAAACTACACATGGGAAAGAGGAATCTGCAAATACTTTCAGGCATTTTGCTCCGGCCGCTTGCCTGACGATCAATCAATCATATCTTTGCAGTTGTTTCCTGCTGCATCACAGGGGGAAACACATTTCTGAAACAAAGCTCTTCAGAAACCGAGATCTGAACTGACCCAGCCTGACATCGCTTTAGAGGATGGAAGTCACCAAACATATCCAGCGATGAACAGTTAGTGCCATGTCATCAAAACGAAACTATGGCCTACATTGAGTCTACAGCATATCCGATGAACATGTCCAAGTGATTCAAAGGTAGGAGAATAGCTTGGATTGAGCTGACATCCGACTTCTAACTCTATCCATAGCACTCTACAGCGCTTTTGCAGGCTTTGGCAAACGTATGTGATTTGGTGTTTCTTTTGGGAAGTTTTCCAAGTTTTGGATTGTTGGCCACAAACCCACGTTTACCGGGAAACAATATAAAAACACACACACACACAGCTGTTCATCTCAATTCAGGGTCAACTCTTTTGCAGGATCTCTGGATTTTTGGGCCCCTTCTCTCAGGAAACAACGTTTGCATCCACGTTTGTGTCCCTAACGCGCTGATTTTGACCCCCTACTTACTAGGATCTTACTAGGTGGGAAAACACAGAAGTCCCTTGGATTCCAGCTGCTGACTGCGGCACTGCACCTGTCTCTGGGCCACTTCCAGTCAACCTCGGGGAAATTGTTGCATCCTTCACGTCCCAAGTGGTGTCCCTGAACAATATAATATAGTCGGTTACAATTCTCAGCAGTTAATAAGTTGCTTCTCCATCTGCGATGAAACATACAACTGTGAAGCTTTGACGGGCGCTTGATGCGCCAGGCATTGTTGACAAGGGTGAACACAGGGCTCAGGCATGTTGCTTGAATAACACGAATCATCGCCCCAACTGCAAAAAATGCTAAGCAAATGGCCTCTTGTACTGCAACCTTTCTCCTCTCAAATCGAGTTCTTCTACCAGTGCGCCTTGGAGGCACGCAGAAACAGAACTTACTGTACTTCACCAGCAGGCTTCGGACCTCTTTGTCATGTCATCATGATGTTTACAGTAGATAGTTTATGAATATTTATGATCATTTGATAATTAGTTGTTGATAATCGGCGTATCTATATATATATACACATACTAATACATAAATAATATACACAAATATCTGTGCGCGCGCGCATTTGACATGCTGGTACTAGTCATTTTATCGGGTAGGTGTTACCACGGGCATGTCATGTCACATGTTTTTACACGCCACACACTGAGACGTCGGAGCTGAGTTGCCAGTGGAAAGCCGATCTGCCAACTGCTTCGATGTAGTGGACTGACCCTCACGCACCAGAATGCCTCCAGTTGGCTGTTGATGGCTGTTGGGTGTGCTGGAAGGCACTGGAAGGGCCACCTTCCATCGCTCTAAAAGTATATAAAGTATCCACTTTGGTCGACACGATCCACATGAGCAACTTCGTGTGAAGCTACCGCAAACATGATCAAACATGGACATATTATAACATATTATAAAAATCAGAAACAGTTCGAAACAACTACCAAACGGAGCCATGGCCACCACTGAAAGCCAACAAATGGACCATCAGCATGCAGAATGATCAGGGTTCAGACAAGGATTGATTTCTTACTGCAGGACATCATGGTTACTTCAATAACAGGGCTTAGTGTTCATATATCCAAAGAATTCCAAAGAATTCCAAAGAAAATCATCAAACCTCCACAATGCCCAACCCCTATCCTCCTCCCTACCTCCTTTGTCGGCACCGCCAATGACTTCCCAGCGCTTGAGTGGCGTCATGGGTCCCTTTCGTCAAAGCAGTTTCGTGTGTGTCTTCTGGGGAAGTCAACCTAGTTTCGGCATGTTTCGACCCAGTCTACATCCTAAAATATCCTAAATTAATCCAATCTCCAGGTCTGTTCTTTGAAGTCAAGAACATTTCGTTGGATTCATATGAAGATCTCATATCAGCTGAGCATGTGGGATCAAAACATATCAAAACAGCAGGCCGTTGCCGCACTTGCCTTTGCAGTCGCACCCGAAGGCCGCTTTGCTGGTTGTGCGCTATATCCCTGGCGAAGGGAAACTGATCTATTTGAGTCTACCTGTCATGCTGGTCCCTGAGGCTTACTGCAATGGTTGGTGAACCCATGGCGATGTCGTGATGACTTCGTCCGTACCTTGACTGCCGGCAACTTGGCCGCCTGCAAGTGGAAGAAAACACCCAACGAGACATGTGCAGCATGGCTGCCGTTGATACATGATGTTTGATGATTTTGGTGCACAATGGTATCAAACATGATAACTCCAACTAGTTTGATGAACACAATATTTATGTATTTTGATGATAGTTCAACTTTATCAACATTGTCAACATTATCGATATCTATCATTTGATGAACATCATCGATCAACATGATGGTCCGCAGCCTCAGGAGTGGGAACCTGCAATGGCGAGCGTGCTGGAACCTGCCACCGAACGTGCAAATCCACAGACTTGCCCTGTCAACTGCATCAACCACTGAAGTTTCATAGATCTTACAGATTCTTACAGCATCTTATGTTTCCAACTGCGCAAAATCGCCAAAAGCCACCTTTCAGGCGTTTTGACTTTGTGCCTGAAACATCTGAAACCATGCCAAAGGAAACGAGGGCCACGAGGGTCTGCTAACAGACTGGTCAGTGCTGCCATGGTGCAACCAAGTTCTACCCGGCCTTAATGAGCGACTTGTCGCGGGCTGGAGGCTCCTGCGAAAAGCTACGATGGCTACGAAGTCACTTGGTGGAATATCCTGATATGTTATATGCGGTTTGGGCGCTCCTCAAAAAGGTGGAATTAGTATGAATTAATATGACATATATTTGTATAATTTTGTATATTGATCTATATGATCTATTATAAAATTCCAGAATATCTTTTGTTGGACTCTGGAAAATGTCCGCAGTGCCGGACTTTATCTTTAAGCACAACCCATCGATCGCTAGGGATCTTCAGGCGCCGCAACTGTGTCAGTGTCCTGAAAGGGTCGCTGCAATTCGCTCCAACGATGTTCATCTGCTCGGTCACGGCGGGCCTGGACTTCGGGTGGGTTGCTGTACCTGAAAACTCGCTAGCCATGATGTTGATGTGCGAAGATGTGATGATATCCTATACCTCAATGATTTAGTAACAAAAACATGACAAGAACAATGGTTGTATGAGTTATTGCTTTATCATAAAGATAATACATGATCAATCATGCTAATTTAAGATATTGCACAACTTACACAGTTAGGACTGCATGGCGATTGCATGAACATTCCACCCCGATCATTCCATGTCGTCAAGAGAGCCAAGCTTCGGGATGATCGTATCACGTCCCAGGTGATTTGAACTTCCATGAGGTCTTCCATAAAGGAAGTTATCAATATAATGTTTGTGTATCATAGGTGTATATATATATCATATATTGTCATATATCAAACATAAACGTATTCATATATGTATTGTTTCACATTGTTTGATAATCAAAGTGGCAGAATAGATCAGAGAGAGCCCACCAAAAACTGGCCAAGTCTTTAGCGACATTTGCGACAGCTCGAGCCTTGATTTGCCCTTCTTCAGGACCCAAATATTCGAAGTCCAGGTCGCAGTCCTCGGCGGGGGGGGTTCCATATATGGTACTATGTGGTACCCCAAAGTGGATGATTTATAAATATTTATAATGGAACATCCTATTAAAATGGATGATTTTTAAATGAATGATTTAGGGGTAGCCCCATTTTAGGACACCTCCATATTGATAAACTTATTGTAAAATGATATCAAACTTCATTCCATAAGAATTTTCGAAGAACGAAATGAAGCGTGGCGGTATCCAATGTGGTATCTCAATATTGGACACGCACGCACACACACACACACATCACACATCACTACACTCTTTCACCATCTTTCATATGGGCTTTTAAGGGCTCTTAGCTGATCTTGACATTGAAAAAACAACTACTCTACACTATGAACCACCGCCGCCCATCAAGGAATGTTTACCACATCAGCTCTGGCCTCAGAAATCTTCTCAAAGTCGGGCACTCGGCGTCCCAAGAGCCTGGTTTCTGACGCTGGATACTGCGATACTATGGTCCCCCAGGAAAAATGGACAAAATCAGGAACTGTTTGCCAATTTATGTCATTTTCTTAGGTTTCAATAGGTTTCATGGGTTGGTCACTCATTGATATTGCAAATCTCTGGAGGAACACTTGTAACAGAAGGGCCTAGGAGCTGACAGCGGAAAGCACTCCAAATAGTTCAAGTGATTCGGGCCACAAGGCTTCTGCCAAATGGATCCAAATGGAACATGGCAACACGATCAACACGTGACATCTCCTCACATGCTCCTGACATCTCCTGACGGATCTCAACGCAGCAATTGGGATTTTGTAAGTCACCCCAAAGTTTTGTCCCTTCTCGGGACCCCTCCCTTCGCCCCAGCCTCAGTTCAAAAGAATCTATGTCCTGCCAACGAGCACGGTCTCGAGCCTTTACGTTGTGTACCCGAGCACAGCCATTGTTTCGAACAAGCCAGACCCTAGGACCCTAGGACCTACACGCCTGTACACACACCTATACCGAAACCGCATCATGATACAGTCTACACGGAATCACAGGTTCTTCTATGCTGACATTGGAGTCCTTGGAAGTGGCTTTGAAGAGAACCGAGAACATCTGATCTCAAACCTCCTTGTCTTACACCTCAAGCTGCAAGGATCTGCAAGGTCGCACCCAAACAGCTTCCAATCTTGCCCTGTTCCTCCTCATTTCCGGGTGGATTCAGCATAGATGCCTGCCCAGTGTCACAGAGTGCCGCTGAATGCTTCAGGTAACCAAATCAAGCAATTCAATTTCCTCACAGCGGGAGCATTGCAACAGCCCTGGGATTCATGTTGAGGATCAGCTGGAATCAGCACCATTCAAATCCATGGATCCTTTGGTTGATTCCCATGGTACTGAAATATCCCATTCAATATCCATTCAATATCCATTCAATCCCGGATAATCCCGTTTTTTTTCAGGGCAATAATTCCCACACTTTTTGCCGATTTCCTGCCGCGGAGTCCGCACCTTGAGCTCTCGCAGCGCCACGTCCTCGTTGACCTCGAAGTCATGGCTCCAGCGCTGGTTGTCCTCCGTGAAGTGCACCGTCACCTGAAAAAAAGCCCTGGAAAAGCCATGAATTTCACCGGGATCAGAGGTTCTGCATGGATTTCAGCGATTCGACAGATCTTTTCTATTCGACAAATTGAGTCATGTGTTGATCCATGAAATTCCAATTGAGACCAGTGTGGAGCCATATTTTTATATGTTTCAAATTTATACACTGATGCCATTTTTCACTGGAACATGACTCAAGATTGTCAAGATTGCAGAAAGGTCAATGCGTAGTGTCTAAGCGTAAAGCCTGAGAATATCAGAAACATTTTACCTCCCAACCATGGCTCTGTGAAATTTCTCAGCACATAACTTTTTTCGACACAGTGGATTTTATTTTCAGACCACTCCCAAAAGGATCATTTTCGACTGAAGTGATCTGCTCAGTGCCCTGCCACCACCATCACAAACTACACATGGCCATCTGCAACTGTAGCATGTGCATGTGCCAGGATTTGTTCTGACATATAATTAGTATAATACAATATAATATAATATAATATAATATAATATAGTACTGTATAATATAACATAATACAAAATAATATATTATATATATTATTATTATATTATCTATCTATCTATATATATATGCTCCATTATGCTCCCGTCAACATCCTTTACAATTATTGGTTATATCGCTTTTTTTGGGGGGCCATATCGTTTTACGGCGTTTCATGCACATCTCTGACAAAAGTGCTTCTGCAATACTACAGTGGTCTTCAACCATTTTGACGGTAAGTCATATATATATAAATATATTATATATATAATTATACATATTCTATGCAGCCTGCGATACGTGCAACCGTGCAACAGACTGAAACAGTATACTGCCAACGATGTTCTGTCTCATCTTTCCACAACAAACAAGGCTGTAAACATTCAGCACATTGTACAAAGTCCATCTTTCCGGGCAAGACTACTTTTGAGCGATCTAGAATAAGCTGCGCATGTATCATTGGATCATCTATCCAGAATCTCTGCGAAATACAGTCAGCATTTGACCTCCACTCTTAACCAACAACACAGATTCCACCCAGAGCACTTGGACTTGCAACAGCTTTTCACACTGCACTCGCTTCACTCTTGGCAGCCTTAGGATGCGTAGGATGTTGGAGTGGAGTTGCCCTCTAGAAAAGTATCCAGGATATCATCTAAATTCGTGAAGGGAATCAGTTTCTCCACCACTTGATCGCAGCTGTGAACTGTGTTTCAATCATCAATCATCATCAATCTATGCCTATCTATGGATGATACTCTGAGCTTGAAGCCGGCATTCTGCCAGTGAAACTACTTTTATTTGGTAGACATGTCAAAGGCTCATGCAGTAAGTGTCAAATCAATGATTTCATCTTCAATTGATTTCAATTGGTCGTGCAGTGGTGCAGCAATCCCAAACTAGTGATACTTTTGCCATCAATCTTCCAACAATAAGTTGATGATAGTTGATGCATGTGCCAATCCACCAAGTCTCCAGCACTAGGAAGGTCTGGGGTACATTGACAGGACCTTGCATACGCATACGCAAGTGCGACAAAGTGGATTCTGTTCACACGCATATTGATGCACAAATATGCAAAGTAAATATATCATTGAGTCCTGAGATGCTAAATGGAAATCGTTTGGTTTTCATCATGATCTCAACGTGTTTGTCAGAATCTCCAAGCCAGGGGCAGGCCCCAGTGATGAGACATGATGAGACTCTGTGAGATAATTACTATCCAGTACCTAGCATTAAAATACATTATAATATATTATAATCCCAATATATCCCAATGCTGAGGATCAGCTCGAGTGGCTATTTTTGGGATCAGTTGCTCTGGAACATGCTGTAACACCAGGTCTTCAAGGCATCGTCTCAAACTTCAACACAAGCAAAAACATCAACCTTTGTGCGAAAAAAATCATATGCCCCATTCACCCTCCAAGATTGGATTCTTTCATAGAAACAAACACATCATAAACGCGATAAACGTGTCACAAGTCACAGTCCATGTGGTATCCATCGGAACCGTAGCCATGCCATAGCCATCCCCGCGTCATCCGCGTCCGCCACCTTCTCTCTGAGCGCTTCTGGCGCTCCAAGCGCTGCAGGCGCCGCCGCGATTTTGAGAGCACCATGGCACCTGGCACAAGGTGTGATCATCAGAAACATGGGAGGCATTTCACCTGATTGGTGAACCTCATATTTTCACATATCTTCACAGCAATTTTGCGGGTAAATATATGATTCTATGATCATTATGATCATAAGGGTAAACATGATGGTACATGGATGTTCAACCGATCAGATCAGGCATTGACCCAACCACCCAACCCCAAATCGTGGCAGTCCATTTGGCCCACCTGGACGTGCTTTGCTCGATTTCTCACTAGGGGCTGGCACCTAAGTGCGATCAGCTGATGCCATGGAAGAAATACGACTGGATACTGCTGACACTCACCCCACCTCACCAGTGGAGGAGTACCAACATCCAGCGACAGGCACAAAGCCTGTCCGGTGACTGGGCAGAAGGCTGGCCCGAAAGCACCAGATTGTCGGATTGCCTGTCCCCAAGTTTCGACTAAAACCAACAAAACATAGCAAAACCCATCCAGTCATCGCGTGCCTTCACCAAAGCTCCATGGCAATGAGGCACCATCCGGATCTGCTGCGCTGTGAATCTCCACATGCAAATGCCTCAGTTTTGCGGTGACCAGGAGGAACGTGAAGTCGCGCATCTGTGGTCTACCTCGTGCTCCTTGAATCTAAGGCCTTTGGGTGAAAACATATGGTTGGGGGTTTATCTATATGATTATAAGTCCTCAGGAATATCACAAAGAAGTCCGAAACCGAGAGTTTACTAATTATTCTGTAAATATACAATACTGTAAGGATCAATGAGGCAAATTGTATAGCGGTATATATATATATAAATTATATATATATATCTGATATCTAGCATGCAACTACTGTCACTGAAAAAACCAAGGTACGGTTCTGGTGCAAATCCGATGTCGCCTGATTCGCACAGTACTTGGCCTCGACGGATGGTATCGCCCACCTAGCAGGGTGCTACTGGTCCTTGGAGAAGAATTTCAGGATTCATTGATTTTCAGGATAGCCATGGTAGTGCGAGGCACAAGAATCATACTTTGCCTGGGTACTATTCATCACTATTCTATACTATTCTATCATATTCTACCGCTAAGCTTATTCAGGCCAAACCTCTACTGTGCTGACTAGAAGATCTCTCTAGGAATCTCTTATACTTATACTCTTTAGTATTAGGGGGTTGCTTTTGAGTATTGCTATTTCTGACAACAGCTGCAACACGCTGGAAGTGCGCCTTGACCCTGGCAGTTCCGGGCATAGTGTGCAAGTAGTCCACTATCACGCCAGAGAACAGCAGGACCTGAAATGTGAGGATTCCAACATGGATTTGACTTGACCCATTCGTGTGTCCAATCAAGGATAAGCAATCACACAACATCATCAATTTGCCCATAATTTGCCATTCAATCAGTGGCGCAAAAGCCTTCAAAAAATCGCCAAAGACCATGAAATCCATAAAAATCCACCATGAAATTCGTCATTCACAGCACAGATTCCCGAGAACCGACATCTCCGTCCGCCAGTCCAAGCCCATCCAAGCCCAGCTGCTGAGACGGAGTTCCACTTTGCCAGGTTCGCCGCATGGATGCCCCCGCATCTTGGGAGATGAAAAAAACTGGAGACTTTCTGGAGGTTAGCTTGTCTGAGATGTTGAGTGATGCTGGCTATTCTTAGTTGATGTGTTTCCATTGATGCTTCACTTGATTCACTTGATGAAGTTGCGAAGGTCAGATCTGGGCAACCGGCCTACTCATGGGTCACTCAATGTAGCAGAACTGAAGAGGATGATGCGAGTGCCATTTTTTTGCCTCTACTCCACTCCCTTAAGTCCTTAAGTCTACACATCCAAATTAGTTGCATTCAAAACGCAGAAGTGGGATCTTGGATGATTATAGGGACTAGGGTCAGGGCCGAGAGGTGAAACTTCAACGTCAGAACATCACAGTGTCTTATAGTGATTTCACTTCAAAATCCGCAAAATGCATCTCATCATGAACAAGAGGCCACTAGGTTTATTGACAGGTCAATTTGGAGAATATGGAGAATGGCAAAAGCCCATCAAAAGCCCAAGGCACTTGTGGGATTCAGCGATTTCCTTGACGATTCCATCTCCCATGCTCAGAACAGGGGTGTGATTTGCGCAGCGCAAATCGATGGCATGGTAGCTTTCCTGGGGCCCAAATTGGCAGATCCACATCAAAGGAGTCCTGTTGAAGCGATCATGGAAGTGACGGAAGTGGAACATGGGATACTTAAAGATATTCATCCGTACATATTACAAAAAATAGTGTAGTATTGTGTTATATTATATATAATCACGTAGTATATGTATATTATGTATATTCACCATCTTTGACCCATTGAACTGGTGGTATAGTCACTTCCCCCAGCCACGTCAAGGCTCCGGAAAGAAGTGCGTCAAATGGCCACCCACACCTTGAGTGCACAGGTAGGGCCCTGCTTCTTCTGGAAGAGGAAATCCCAAGCCCTTTAGATCCTGAAGGTTTCAGCAGGGTTTCCGCAAGGATTCAGCAACATCGTGCAACATCCAAGACCTGACATTTTCTGCAACATATTTTTTTTCTAGTAATTCTACCTTTGTTTCAGATAAAAATGGCCTAACTTGAATCATTTGAAGCAACTCTCCAAAACATCCATTGACCTTCGAAAATTCGGCAAGGGTTCACCACGGCTTAAGGACACCTACCCTGCCGTCCTGGGAAGGTGCCGCAGCTGGGGCCTCGTGCGGCTGGGAAATTACAAAAAAGACCAATGCACAGCACAGTCTCGCAGACTCCGGACGCTCAAAGATATTCTGCTCTCACACATCCCATTTCAACCTGCAGCTTAAATTGGAACAATGATCAACAAAAAAAAGAATTCTACACAGAAAAAGAAATATCATGTCGGGAATCTCCATGGTCAAATAACCGAAAAAAAACATGTTACAGGCGGCGAGGCGTTTGATGCTCCAATCCCTGGCTAGGCTGCCCTGCTTGCAGCCTTTCCATTTCAATGGCGAAGAACCCCGATGTGGGTGGTCCCTGTGGCTGTGTAGAGAAGCATCTGAGTCTTGAAGAACTGGCAAAACTCCAATGCGGTAATAGATTGTTGACTGAACTATTGAATTTTTGTATATTTTTGTAGCATAAACATCATAGAACATCAACACAATTGAACTGACTAATTATGACTAATTCACGATCAATTACCATGTTGTCGTTTTTGGTACGCCCAATAATGAACCTCCCATTGTGACCTGGGCAAAACCCAGTTGTCCATGGTTGGGATGGCACCATGAAAATGGCACCTCAATGGCACCCAAGCGGACCGCCGTCATGGGATCCGCCACGACCACAAAGGTTCTGAGAGCACTTGAAAAATAGGGGCGGGCAACTGTTCAACCTGAAGATGTTTTTTTTCATGTTTTTTTTCATTTTTTTTTTCATTTTTTTTCCATAAGGTCTACCATGGTCTACCACATTTACATGGCTTGATTTTAGGTGTTGCAATGTGTTGAGATGAAACCTACGAAAACTGGTGCGGCTCCTTCATATTTTAGACAGCAGGATGCCCCCAAAATATCTGACTGGGCATGCAATTCAAGGATCCAATATCGAAAAAAACAAACAAACAATTTCACAACTAGCAAGAACTGGAAAGCGACCGTCGATTCACCATCCAAATGGCCACCTTCAAATGGCGACCATCAAATTGGTGGTCTGTTGGTGGTGCTCAAAACCAACTGTCGAGGCCATCCAGGATCCCAGGGATCCCAGCATGGCCATCTTTTCATTGCCCGCATCTGAACGCGTGATGCCTGAAACATCTGAAACAAGCGCTGACTAATTGAAATTAATTGAACAAAAAAAAGTGTTCTGCTGGATCAAAGAATTTGATCCGTGAAGGGCTCCTGATGATTTTATGGCTTGTGGTTTACATCTTGAATTCATGTAATTAATATCCTTGGATAGCTTTGGCCACGTGAGCTGCAAGACAGCCAGTGTATGGCCTGCAGTGTAGGGATCACAACAAATCGTTGAATACTCAACAATCTCAACACCCGTCTCAATATTCTCCATGTATTTGGTGCATGGCCCATGCTGCTATGAACACGGCATCTAAGTTGGTGTGGACACTAGTATTGAGGCGCGCTAACACTCGAACACGTGAAGATCCCCCAAATCCACGTCCCCTGCCTGCTTCAAAGCACCGGCCATGTCGATCCAAAACGTTCGTCTCAAGGAAGGTCATGTACCTTTTGCAGGAGAGGTGTTGTGGCAAGGGCCGATCTTCCCATGGTCATCTGTCCATCTGGACCTTCCGATGTTTTGCATCTTGCTAAAGATGCTGAGGTAGGAAAGGTTCGCCGAGATTTTGGAACCACCCGCAAGCCCAACCTCTGGGAAAGGATCAACTCATTTCTTTCATTTCTTAGCACTTTGTTGCGATTGCCATCGATTGCGGCCGCATGCGGCCGCGCACGTGAAAGACGGATAGGGCTTGGCGTTCACGACAGTGAAGAGCTGGATGCTCAACATCCAACAGGAAGTGCCGTGCATGGTATATACTTTCTGGGTAAATTATATGGATTAATAGTGATTTATAGTGATTCATAGTGATTAATAGTGATTTATAGTGATTCACTAACCTGAATTGTTGGGCCATTTGGGGATGATTTCCCACAAATTAACCATGATTCCAGTGAGGGAGAACAGTGAGGTCGCGATGAAATTTACCCAGATACTTTTGACATCCGTTGACACTCTTGCACAAGAATGCTGCATGCTCAAGAGATTGGTTGAACAATTCCACTCCAGCCTTGCTGGAGGGATCCCACTGGAAGTTGTCTTCAGCTTCCTGAGGCACTTGCATTGCATACACTTGGCATCACTTTGCCCTTTTACGGAGCCTACTTGCTATTTGCCCATGAATTCTACCAATGGTTTCTTTGCTCATTTATGCTCATTTAATTTCCTTTCAATCACAAGCATGGTCATGTACACAGGGAGATTGAGGCACCAGTCACTTCAATCACCAATCCGTTCGCCACGTTTGTAAGCAAACCCAGATTTTGATGACACAATTGCAACACTACAACATACTACACCTATACCCGCTGAAACGCACGACCATTCTTGAAGCGAAGAACATATGGGGATATATGGGGAAGATCTCCTGAGCTTCAACCAATTTCAACCAATTTCAACCAATTTCACCCCCGATCCAAGTGATCCTTCACTGGAAAGATGCCATAGATGGACGGGTGAGATCTGTGAACCTGGGATCAAATATGATCAAATCGCAAGGCTCCAGGCGACTTTTCAAACGTCCCACTTGATTCCTTAACATTGTAACATGTCCATGTTCGAAAGAGTTCCAAGACTTTGAGGTCTCAAAGAAATGTGCCATTCAATTTATATCATTTTAATTCATTTTATGATATATATATATATCATTCATTTATTTGCATTCCCCTATGATGATTGCACCTAACAATGATTGCACCTAGCAAACACAACCCAGATTGAACGCACTGGCGGTCATCAAACTTCTGCCAGTCAGCCACTATACAACCGCGGCAAGCGCTGGGCAAATAATTCCCTGGCCACTCTGAAGCCATGGCAAGCCCGTGTCATTTGGATGTTCAACAAGTCTGCCAAAAAGCTGGCTTTGTTTGACAATGCAATCCATGTGGGTTGCCTCTAAAGCTTGTCATCCTGGTCTGTAGTTCGTCCGCCCAGCAACTGTGACCTGGCCTTTGTGAAGTTCCTTCCAAGCTTTTTCTACTAGCAACATCTATAGTTATAGTAACACCCAACTTTGTCAGCAGACTCGAATGTCTGAAACCATCTGAAACCCATGCTGTATTGTCTCGATGTCAAAGTCTGCGGATGGTTCACACTATTTCACACTGATTTATGTAGGCCCAGCAAAGAGTGTCAACATGTGCCAATCATCACCACCAGCTGTCGTCCCTGAATCTCAGGCGATTCGAACGATCCCAGAAATACCAGCAATGTCGTTGGTACCCTCTGGTAATTTAACATAGCTATGGAAAATCACCATTTTTAATGGGGAAATCCACTATTTCGACTGGGCCATTTTCAATAGCTATGTTAGTCATAACCAGAAAATATCCCATGTAAAAGTTCGCCAGAACATTAAATCCCTGATCCCTGGACAAAGAAAGAAATTACAGTACTTTGGGCTTCGGAGTGGGCCATGTGCGCGCAGTCCCCACTGCTTCGATGCATTGAACTTACATCAACTGACTATACATAGTGAGGCTCTGCTAAGTTTGAAGAGCAAGAATCGTCCCTTGAGGGAAGAGCGCTTGGGTCAGCGGATGATTTCCAGTGCCGTCTTGGGCCTTTTTACATTGATTGATGCATGGCCTGTTGACCCCCGCCACACCCCTTGCAGTCACCCCTTGCATTGTGGAGTCCGATTTTTTTCTCGTTCCGGGCATTGTGCCCCTAAACTATATAGATTCCAAAAGTTTTGGTTCACGGTTCTTCTCCGATCGCTAAGGAGGAACTCTGCAAGATGCTACCAGGAATCTGTGTTCGACTTGATTCTGCCATTGGAATGGAGTTTGGTCAAAAACCATTGCCCCAATAAATTACCTTATGTCCTTATATCATCTTCGACATATAAAAGTTCCTTAAAAGTTCCTTGCGACCTGTCGAGTCACCGTGCTATGGCCTGCGATGTGTTGTTTTCTACGCGCCTTGCCCATGGTGACTTCGCACTCAGGCCTCAGGCTCGCATGGCATCGGGCACTTCTTCGGCGTGGCCTTGTGCACGGCCACCTGCAATGACTGGTGAAGCATGCAACCTGTTTTGTCTGACAATTTGGGAAATATATGAACAGGATTTCATGATATTTCATGATATTTCATGCTTTATGATGTTTTATACATGTTTTATACATATGATCATTTTCCTCTTATATAACATGGCCATTTGAGGGGTATGTAGTAGCTTCCCACCTGTTGGGATGGACATCTAAAAAAATGACACCAACCAGTGTTGAATAAGAAGCCGATGGCAAGGGATGCCTCAATATGATCAATGGGATTTTCGGCGAACCTTGGTCTTTGGTTCTGTTTCCACTTCCAATTTTCATCAATTTCTGTCAAATTTTCAATGAGTTTGAATGATTCCTGAAAGGTTTCCCTTCTCAAAGGGATCATGGATGCAGCCATTTGGTTTTTTAATCACCCAACCTGGAAGTCATAGAAGCTGGACTCCTTGGTAAGGCCGGGGTACCTCAGCTCCAGGCTCTCCAGGTCTAAAGACATCTGACCCCCCAAGGGCTTCATCTGAGCCCCTGGAATCCCTTGGAATCCCTTGGGATCCCCTGCCAGGTGGGGTGCTGTTTGATACCACTCTTCTTGGCCTCAGAGTGTCACGACTTGCGACCGCTGAGTACCGCTGAGTTTTTGGAATAAACCGCTGGGATCCTGACCCAGTTCACCGCGGAGTAGCAGGACTCGCCCTTCACGGCAGTGTGGCAGCCCGAGTTCTTCGTGCACGGCAGTGGACAGTCTTTGGGGTCCACATGGTGGACCCGAGCCTGGCCATCAGGATCAATGTCGATCAATATGGATCAATATGGATCTGAGAATGTCTGAGACAATCTTCCAAGGAGTTTGTCACGGTGCCTCTTTTTGACCCAAAAAAAACTCGCGCTTCGCAAGTTCAAAGCATTCTACTCCCAAAGCCAACATCCACCTTTGCAGCCCGGGCCTGAAAGTCTGAAAAAGGTGAGGATGATGTCAATCCAGGGTACCTCAAATCCGGAGTTGAAAGCTGATATCAGTCTAACTACAGACTACACCGACAACTGCAAAAGTTTCACAGATTCTGTCCCACTGGGAGCGGCACCACTTTGGATGCTGCTTCAAGCCATGCTCTTTGGCCCACACCACAACACGGTAGCAGTGAGTACCAAATTCCGCGTCCTCATGGAACGGATGAACACGCGATAGGGAAATAGGTTTAGAATCACGTAAGAACCAAGGTTAAAGAGCGACGATGACCTTCATCTGAACAGCTTTTAAGAGCTCTCTACACCTGTCCATTAGATAGTCAAATCGCATACAGTATATTCTCTTTTGATGATGTCACGCATTTTCTCATCCTTGATCAAACTTCGAGCCAAAGCACCTTGCAGCCCTTTGGTGTTGTAGTTGCAGTGGTAGCTTCAGTGGTAGCTTCAGTGGTGCTAGCCATAGTGGCAACCTCGACTTCTGTGGAGCTTGCAGTTTCAGCCTCTGTTGTGGCTGCCTTGGTCGTAACTTCAGTGGTAGCAGCTCTGTCTGCGCCCTCTTCAGTGGTCTCGGCCTCGGTTGTTTCTGCTTCAGTTGTTTCTGCCTCAGTTGTTTCTGCTTCGGTTGTTTCTGCCTCAGTTGTGGTAGCTTCTGTGGTGGTTGTAGTAGTGGTAGTTGTGGTTGTAGTGGTTGTAGTGGTTGTGGTGGTTGGCGGAGGAAGGGTGGTGATGGCATCTTCGGCCACTCCATAGAAGGCTGTGAAATTGAAGTCGCACGGAGGAGCAGCCATCTCCTCATCCGTTGGCTGGTCTGGGTATTTCGCTTCAAACAGCGCACGAACCTTGTTGATGCGGTCAACGTTGTAAAGGGTAATGTTCATCTTGTCCCTTAGCTGCCAAACTTGACATTTGGACAAGGGAATTACAATCATTAACAATGGCTGGGAGACCACTGGGACCCTGGGAGACTGAGTGAATACTGAAAATGGATGAAAATGGTTGAACCGGTTTTTCTGCAATCCAATTGCTTTGTGACCAAACAGGCGACAGTCAAATAGACCCTGCTGTCTCTTGTGCCTCCGTTGGGGTACTAGATCCCAGAAGACAAGCAGAAATACTCTGAACAAAATTAATGAAAAGGATAGGCTTCCTGTGGAAAGGTGTCGCAAAGTTTCAGGAAGAAAATGGAGGAATACGACCAAGAAAATTGCCAGTGCCGGCTTTATGTGTGTAATTATGCATATTACTCTTTCTTGTACTGCACCAATGCTTCAAAAAAAAATCAGAAAATGTCCGACCACCCCCCGACCCTGATAGCTGGGTTTCCAGAAGCTGTTGCCAATTCCCTGGTCCAAAGTCTTGTTAAACTCCACACCTCCTGCAAGCATCCAGTGACATGTTTCCAAGCCTTCACGTTTTAGGTGATTGACATTTTAGGCGACACTACAGTAGATCTACTGATGTTGCTATCCTTGCAGGAACTTCCTTGAAGGACCCACATGTATCGACTCTCTTTCATCTCATGGTCTGATGAGAGTTTTGAAGCAAACCCGTTTGCAATGGAAACATCACGTCTGTGAGGCTTCAGACGCTTCAAAGTGGCATACCCGACTTTGCAACGTTTTGTTGTGCTGGACTCTGCTTACAAAAAAAAGGCATATTAAAAACATACATGCCCAACTTACAAGTCTTATGGCGCTTGTTGGACACAGTTTGGGGCTGTATGTTGGACCCAGTTTGGAGCTGTATGTTGGCAGCCTACAGGTCTTATGGGGCTTGTTGTACCCAGCTTGGGGCCGTATGTTGGCAACCTACAGGTCTTATGGGGCTTGTTGGACCCAGCTTGGGGCTGCATGTTGGCAACCTACAGGTCTTATGGGGCTTGTTGGACCCAGCTTGGGGCTGTATGTTTGCAACCTACAGGTCTTATGGGGCTTGTTGTACCCAGCTTGGGGCTGTATGTTGGTACTTGCTGCTAATTCCAAAAGGCTTTTTCCTCTCCTGTCTGTGGTTTTTGGATCAAGACGCTCATACAGCAGCAGAAATTGTAGCTCATCGTTTCTTCCTTGCTCGCAAGCAACCATCATTTGATCTCGCTGATAATCATTGCACAACACATGGTTCGTGCATTTTACCAACCTACATGTCTTGGACACAGTTTGGGGCTGTATGCTGGCAACCTAGGTCTTATGGGGCTTGTTGGACCCAGCTTGGGGCTGTATGTTGGCAACCTACAGGTCTTATGGGGCTTGTTGGACCCAGCTTGGGGCTGTATGTTGGCAACCTACAGGTCTTATGGGGCTTGTTGGACCCAGCTTGAGGCTGTATGTTGGCAACCTACAGGTCTTATGGGGCTTGTTGGACCCAGCTTGGGGCTGTATGTTGGCAACCTACAGGTCTTATGGGGCTTGTTGGACCCAGCTTGAGGCTGTATGTTGGCAACCTACAGGTCTTATGGAGCTTGTTGTACCTAGTATGTTGGCAACCTACAGGTTCTATGGGGCTTGTTGGACCCAGCTTGGAGGCTGTATGTTGGCAACCTACAGGTCTTATGGTGGTTGTTGGACCCAGCTTTGAACCTACAGGTCTTATGGGGCTTGTTGGACCCAGCTTGGGGCTGTATATTGGCAACCTACATGTCATATGGGGCTTGTTGGACCCAGCTTGGGGGCTGTATGTTGGCAACCTACAGGTCTTATGTGGCTTGTTGGACCCAGCTTGAGGCTGTATGTTGGCAACCTACAGGTCTTATGGGGCTTGTTGGTGCTTGATGCTGTATGTTGGCAACCTACAGGTCTTATGGGGCTTGTTGGACCCAGCTTGGGGCTGTATATTGGCAACCTACAAGTCTTATGGGGCTTGTTGGACCCAGCTTGGGGCTGTATGTTGGCAACCTACAGGTCTTATGGGGCTTGTTGTACCCAGCTTGGGGCTGTATGTTGGCAACCTACAGGTCTTATGGGAGCTTGTTGGGCCCAGCTCGGGGTTGTATGTTGGCAACCTACAGGTCCTATCTGGCTTGTTGGGCCCAGCTTAGGGCTTTATGGTGGCAACCTACCGGTCTTATTGGGCTTGTTGGACCCAGCTTGGGGCTGTATGTTGGCAACCTACAGGTCTTATGGGGCTTGTTGGACCCAGCTTGGGGCTGTATGTTGGTAACCTACAGGTCTTATGGGGCTTGTTGGACCCAGCTTGGGGCTGTATGTTGGCAACCTACATGTGTCATGGGGCTTGTTGGACCCAGCTTGGGACTGTATGTTGGCAACCTACAGGTCTTATGAGGCTTGTTGGACCCAGCTTGGGGCTGCATGTTGGCAGCCTACAGGTCTCAGGGGGCTTGTTGTACCCAGCTTGGGGCTGTATGTTGGCAACCTACAGGTCTTATGAGGCTTGTTGGACCCAGCTTGGGGCTGTATGTTGGCAACCTACAGGTCTTATGGGGCTTGTTGGACCCAGCTTGGGGCTGCATGTTGGCAACCTACAGGTCTTATGGGGCTTGTTGGACCCAGCTTGGGGCTGTATGTTTGCAACCTACAGGTCTTATGGGGCTTGTTGTACCCAGCTTGGGGCTGTATCTTGGTACTTGCCGCTAATTCCAAAAGGCTTTTTCCTCTCCTGTCTGTGGTATTTGGATCAAGACGCTCATACAGCAGCAGAAATTGTAGCTCATCGTTTCTTCCTTGCTCGCAAGCAACCATCATTTGATCTCGCTGAGAATCATTGCACAACACATGGTTCGTGCATTTTACCAACCTACATGTCTTGGACACAGTTTGGGGCTGTATGCTGGCAACCTAGGTCTTATGGGGCTTGTTGGACCCAGCTTGGAGGTGTATGTTGGCAACCTACAGGTCTTATGGGGCTTGTCAGCTTAGGGCTTTATGTTGGCAACCTACAGGTCTTATGGGGCTTGTTGGACCCAGCTTGAGGCTGTATGTTGGCAACCTACAGGTCTTATGGGGCTTGTTGGACCCAGTTTGGAGCTGTATGTTGGCAACCTACAGGTCTCATGGGGCTTGTTGTACCCAGCTTGGGGCTGTATGTTGGCAACCTGCAAGTCTTATGAGGCTTGTTGGACCCAGCTTGGGAATGTATGTTGGCAGCCTACAAGTCTTATGCAACATTCAGGTCTTATGGGGCTTGTTGGACCCAACTTGGGGCTGTATGTTTGCAACCTACAGGTCTTATGGGGCTTCTTGGACAGAGCTTGGAGCTGTAGGTTGGCAACCTACACGTCTTATGGGGCGTGTTGTACCCAGCTTGGGGCTGTAGGTTGGCAACCTACAGGTCTTATGGGGCTTGTTGGACCCAGCTTGGGGCTGTATGTTGGCAAGCTACAGGTTCTATGGGGCTTGTTGGACCCAGCTTGGGGCTGTATGTTGGCAACCTACAGGTCATATGGTGGTTGTTGGACCCAGCTTTGAACCTACAGGTCTTATGGGGCTTTTTGGACCCAGCTTGGGGTTGTTGTCAACCTACAGGTTTTATGCGGCTTGTTGGACCCAGCTTGGGGCTGTATGTTGGCAACCTACACGTCTTATGGGGCTTGTTTGGCCCAGCTTTGAACCTACAGGTCTTTTGGGGCTTGTTGGACCCAGCTTGGAGCTGTATGTAGGCAGCCTACAGGTCTTATGGGGCTTGTTGGATCCAGCTTGGGGCTGTATGTTGGCAACCTGCATGTCTTATGGGGCTTGTTGTACCCAGCTTGGGGCTGTATGTTGGCAACCTACAGCTACAGGTCTTATGGGGCTTGTTGGACCCAGCTTGGGGCTGCATGTTGGCAACCTACAAGTCTTATGGGGTTTGTTGGAAAGCTTGGGGCTGTATGTTGGCAACCTACAGGTCTTATGGGGCTTGTTGGGCCCAGCTTGGGGCTGTATGTTGGCAACCTACATGTCTTATGGGGTTTGTTGAGCCCAGCTTGGGGCTGTATGTTGGCAACCTACAGTTCTTATGGGGCTTGTTGGACCCAGCTTGGGGCTGTATATTGGCAACCTACATGTCATGTGGGGCTTGTTGGACCCAGCTTGGGGGCTGTATGTTGGCAACCTACATGTCTTATGTGGCTTGTTGGACCCAGCTTCAGGCTGTATGTTGGCAACCTACAGGTCTTATGGGGCTTGTTGGTGCTTGATGCTGTGTGTTGGCAACCTACAGGTCTTATGGGGCTTGTTGGACCCAACTTGGGGCTGTATATTGGCAACCTACAAGTCTTATGGGGCTTGTTGGACCCAGCTTGGGGCTGTATGTTGGCAAGCTACAGGTCTTATGGGGCTTGTTGGACCCAGCTTGGGGCTGTATGTTGGCAACCTACAGGTCCTATCTGGCTTGTTGGGCCCAGCTTAGGGCTTTATGGTGGCAACCTACCGGTCTTATTGGGCTTGTTGGACCCAGCTTGGGGCTGTATGTTGGCAACCTACAAATCTTATGGGGCTTGCTGGACCCAGCTTGGGGCTGTATGTTGGCAACCTACAGGTCTTATGGGGCTTGTTGGACCCAGCTTGGGCCTGTATGTTGGCAACCTACAGGTCTTATGGGGCTTGTTGGACCCAGCCTGGGGCTGTATGTTGGCAACCTACATGTGTCATGGGGCTTGTTGGACCCAGCTTGGGGCTGTATGTTGGCAACCTACAGGTCTTATGTGGCTTGTTGGACCCAGCTTGGGCTTGTATGTTGGCAATCTACAGGTCTTATGGGGCTTGTTGGACCCAGCTTCGGGGTGTATGTTGGCAACCTACAGGTCTTATGGGGCTTGTTGGACCCAGTTTGGGGGCTGTATGTTGGCAACCTACAGGTCTTATGGGGCTTGTTGGACCCAGCTTGGGACTGTATCTTGGCAACCTACAGGTCTTATGGGGCTTGTTGGACCCAGCTTGGGGCTGTATGTTGGCAACCTGCATGTCTTATGGGGCTTGTTGGACCCAGCTTGGGGCTGTATGTTGGCAACCTACATGTGTCATGGGGCTTGTTGGACCCAGCTTGGGGCTGTATGTTGGCAACCTACAGGTCTTATGGGGCTTGTTGGACCCAGCTTGGGGGTGTATGTTGGCAACCTACAGGTCTTATGGGGCTTGTTGGACCCAGTTTGGGGGCTGTATGTTGGCAACCTACAGGTCTTATGGGGCTTGTTGGACCCAGCTTGGGACTGTATGTTGGCAACCTACAGGTCTTATGGGGCTTGTTGGACCCACTGTATGTTGGGTCTTATGGGGCTTGTTGGACCCAGCTTGGGGCTGTATGTTGGCAACCTGCATGTCTTATGGGGCTTGTTGGACCCAGCTTGGGGCTGTATGTTGGCAACCTACATGTGTGGGGCTTGTTGGACCCATGGGGCTGTATGTTGGCAACCTACAGGTCTTATGGGGCTTGTTGGACCCAGCTTGGGGGTGTATGTTGGCAACCTACAGGTCTTATGGGGCTTGTTGGACCCAGTTTGGGGGCTGTATGTTGGCAACCTACAGGTCTTATGGGGCTTGTTGGACCCAGCTTGGGCTGTATGTTGGCAACCTACAGGTCTTATGGGGCTTGTTGGACCCAGTTTGGGGCTGTATGTTGGCAACCTACAGGTCTTATGGGGCTTGTTGGACCCAGCTTGGGACTGTATGTTGGCAACCTACATGTCTTATGTGGCTTGTTGGGCCCTGTATGTTGGCAACCTACAGGTCTTATGGGGCTTGTTGGACCCAGCTTGGGGCTGTATGTTGGCAACCTGCATGTCTTATGGGGCTTGTTGGACCCAGCTTGGGGCTGTATGTTGGCCCAGCTTGGTGCTGTATATAGGCAACCTACAGGTCTTATGGGGCTTGTTGGACCCAGCTTGGGGCTGTATGTTGGCCCAGCTTGGTGCTGTATATAGGCAACCTACCGGTCTTACCTGATGGGCTTGTTGGACCCGCTTGGGGCTGTATGTTGGGCACCTGGGGCTTGTGGACCCAGCTTGGGGCTGTTGGCCCAGCTTGGTGCTGTATATAGGCAATCCTTACATGGGTGGGGCTTGTTTGGCCCAGCTTGGGGCTGTATGTTGGCCAACCTGCATGTCTTCTTGGGCTTGTTGGACCTCAGCTTTGGGCTGTATGTTGGCCCAGCTTGGTGCTGTATATAGGCAACCTACCGGTCTTATGTGGCTTGTTGGGCCCTGTATGTTGGCAACCCACAGGTCTTATGGGGCTTGTTGGACCCAGCTTGGGGCTGTATGTTGGCAACCTGCATGTCTTATGGGGCTTGTTGGACCCAGCTTGGGGCTGTATGTTGGCCCAGCTTGGTGCTGTATATAGGCAACCTACAGGTCTTATGGGGCTTGTTGGACCCAGCTTGGGGCTGTATGTTGGCAACCTGCATGTCTTATGGGGCTTGTTGGACCCAGCTTGGGGCTGTATGTTGGCCCAGCTTGGTGCTGTATATAGGCAAACCTACCGGTCTTATGTGGCTTGTTGGGCCCTGTATGTTGGCAACCTACAGGTCTTATGGGGCTTGTTGGACCCAGCTTGGGGCTGTATGTTGGCAACCTGCATGTCTTATGGGGCTTGTTGGACCCAGCTTGGGGCTGTATGTTGGCCCAGCTTGGTGCTGTATATAGGCAACCTACAGGTCTTATGGGGCTTGTTGGACCCAGCTTGGGGCTGTATGTTGGCAACCTGCATGTCTTGTGGGGCTTGTTGGACCCAGCTTGGGGCTGTATGTTGGCCCAGCTTGGTGCTGTATATAGGCAACCTACCGGTCTTATGTGGCTTGTTGGGCCCTGTATGTTGGCAACCTACAGGTCTTATGGGGCTTGTTGGACCCAGCTTGGGGCTGTATGTTGGCCCAGCTTGGTGCTGTATATAGGCAACCTACAGGTCTTATGGGGCTTGTTGGACCCAGCTTGGGGCCGTATGTTGGCAACCTGCATGTCTTATGGGGCTTGTTGGACCCAGCTTGGGGCTGTATGTTGGCCCAGCTTGGTGCTGTATATAGGCAACCTACAGGTCTTATGGGGCTTGTTGGACCCAGCTTGGGGCTGTATGTTGGCAACCTGCATGTCTTGTGGGGCTTGTTGGACCCAGCTTGGGGCTGTATGTTGGCCCAGCTTGGTGCTGTATATAGGCAACCTACCGGTCTTATGTGGCTTGTTGGGCCCTGTATGTTGGCAACCTACAGGTCTTATGGGGCTTGTTGGACCCAGCTTGGGGCTGTATGTTGGCAACCTGCATGTCTTATGGGGCTTGTTGGACCCAGCTTGGGGCTGTATGTTGGCCCAGCTTGGTGCTGTATATAGGCAACCTACCGGTCTTATGTGGCTTGTTGGGCCCTGTATGTTGGCAACCTACAGGTCTTATGGGGCTTGTTGGACCCAGCTTGGGGCTGTATGTTGGCCCAGCTTGGTGCTGTATATAGGGCAACCTACAGCTTGTTGGGCCCTTAGGTGGGGCTTGTTGGACCCAGCTTGGGGCTGTATGTTGGCCCAGCTTGGTGCTGTTATAGGCAACCTACCGGTCTTATGTGGCTTGTTGGGCCCTGTATGTTGGCAACCTACAGGTCTTATGGGGCTTGTTGGACCCAGCTTGGGGCTGTATGTTGGCCCAGCTTGGTGCTGTATATAGGCAACCTACGGTCTTATGGGGCTTGTTGGACCCAGCTTGGGGCTGTATGTTGGCAACCTGCATGTCTTATGGGGCTTGTTGGACCCAGCTTGGGGCTGTATGTTGGCCCAGCTTGGTGCTGTATATAGGCAACCTACCGGTCTTATGTGGCTTGTTGGGCCCTGTATGTTGGCAACCTACAGGTCTTATGGGGCTTGTTGGACCCAGCTTGGGGCTGTATGTTGGCCCAGCTTGGTGCTGTATATAGGCAACCTACCGGTCTTATGTGGCTTGTTGGGCCCTGTATGTTGGCAACCTACAGGTCTTATGGGGCTTGTTGGACCCAGCTTGGGGCTGTATGTTGAACCAGCTTGGTGCTGTATATAGGCAACCTACCGGTCTTATGTGGCTTGTTGGGCCCTGTATGTTGGCAACCTACAGGTCTTATGGGGCTTGTTGGACCCAGCTTGGGGCTGTATGTTGGCAACCTGCATGTCTTATGGGGCTTGTTGGACCCAGCTTGGGGCTGTATGTTGGCCCAGCTTGGTGCTGTATATTAGGCAACCTACAGGTCTTATGGGGCTTGTTGGACCCAGCTTGGGGCCGTATGTTGGCAACCTGCATGTCTTATGGGGCTTGTTGGACCCAGCTTGGGGCTGTATGTTGGCCCAGCTTGGTGCTGTATATAGGCAACCTACAGGTCTTATGGGGCTTGTTGGACCCAGCTTGGGGCCGTATGTTGGCAACCTGCATGTCTTATGGGGCTTGTTGGACCCAGCTTGGGGCTGTATGTTGGCCCAGCTTGGTGCTGTATATAGGCAACCTACAGGTCTTATGGGGCTTGTTGGACCCAGCTTGGGGCTGTATGTTGGCCCAGCTTGGTGCTGTATATAGGCAACCTACCGGTCTTATGTGGCTTGTTGGGCCCTGTATGTTGGCAACCTACAGGTTTTATGGGGCTTGTTGGACCCAGCTTGGGGCTGTATGTTGGCCCAGCTTGGTGCTGTATATAGGCAACCTACCGGTCTTATGTGGCTTGTTGGGCCCTGTATGTTGGCAACCTACAGGTCTTATGGGGCTTGTTGGACCCAGCTTGGGGCTGTATGTTGGCCCAGCTTGGTGCTGTATATAGGCAACCTACCGGTCTTATGTGGCTTGTTGGGCCCTGTATGTTGGCAACCTACAGGTCTTATGGGGCTTGTTGGACCCAGCTTGGGGCTGTATGTTGGCCCAGCTTGGTGCTGTATATAGGCAACCTACCGGTCTTATGTGGCTTGTTGGGCCCTGTATGTTGGCAACCTACAGGTCTTATGGGGCTTGTTGGACCCAGCTTGGGGCTGTATGTTGGCCCAGCTTGGTGCTGTGTATAGGCAACCTACCGGTCTTATGTGGCTTGTTGGGCCCTGTATGTTGGCAACCTACAGGTCTTATGGGGCTTGTTGGACCCAGCTTGGGGCGGTATGTTGGCCCAGCTTGGTGCTGTATATAGGCAACCTACCGGTCTTATGTGGCTTGTTGGGCCCTGTATGTTGGCAACCTACAGGTCTTATGGGGCTTGTTGGACCCAGCTTGGGGCTGTATGTTGGCCCAGCTTGGTGCTGTATATAGGCAACCTACCGGTCTTATGTGGCTTGTTGGGCCCTGTATGTTGGCAACCTGTCTTATGTTGGACCCAGTGGGGCTGTATGTTGGGGCTTGGTGCCTGTATATAGGCAACCCACCGGTCTTATGTGGTTGTTGGGCCCTGTATGTTGGCAACCTACAGGTCTTTGGGGCTTGTTGACCCAGCTTGGGGCTGTATGTTGCCCAGCTTGGTGCTGTGTATAGGCAACCTACCGGTCTTATGTGGCTTGTTGGGCCCTGTATGTTGGCAACCTACAGGTCTTATGGGGCTTGTTGGACCCAGCTTGGGGCTGTATGTTGGCCCAGCTTGGTGCTGTATATAGGCAACCTACCGGTCTTATGTGGCTTGTTGGGCCCTGTATGTTGGCAACCTACAGGTCTTATGGGGCTTGTTGGACCCAGCTTGGGGCTGTATGTTGGCCCAGCTTGGTGCTGTATATAGGCAACCTACCGGTCTTATGTGGCTTGTTGGGCCCTGTATGTTGGCAACCTACAGGTCTTATGGGGCTTGTTGGACCCAGCTTGGGGCTGTATGTTGGCCCAGCTTGGTGCTGTATATAGGCAACCTACCGGTCTTATGTGGCTTGTTGGGCCCTGTATGTTGGCAACCTACAGGTCTTATGGGGCTTGTTGGACCCAGCTTGGGGCTGTATGTTGGCAACCTATAGGTCATCGATGTCATCGAACTAAGCTGCATCCCTGCACCAGATCCCCCAGCGGCAGTTTTGTATGGGCCGGTCTGAAAATGAGGGAGATCTAAAAGTAAGAATTTTGATGGATAGCATGAAAATTATTAACATGATGATTAACAAACAAATTCTGCACAACCTGATTCTGAGGCAACCCCCACGTTTCTCTCCGTTCCTGTGTGAATGAACTTGTGGTAGTCTTTGATTCCCGCAATCTCATCCAGAGTCACGGAACCCATAATCTCAATGCTGTAGGTGCAATTGCCTCCGCGAAGATCAGCCAGAGTGTAAGGAAAAAACATCTCGAGATGAAATTCAAAAGGTTGATACCAAGCGAATTCTCCTAAACTCAGTTCCACTCTTTTGATTTCTTGAGCGTGCGAATGGTCCGTACAAGTCCGCACAAATAGTTTTCCTTCCATTCCGATACATCCCCATCAGTCCGAAACAACTTTTCCTAAACATATACTCACTAGCTCATAGTACATTTGATCGATAGGTAGTCCTTAGTGATCTATCTATCCATCCATCCATTCATCATCCATCCATCATCCATCCATCCATCCATCCACCCATCCACCCATCCACCCATCCATCCATCCATATAGAAGTTTCCTAAAATGGTGGTACCCACCAGTAGCTGGATGGTTTATAGTGGAAAAATCCCAAACAAAAATCCATATATATATATATATATATATATATGTGCCATTGATCGTAATTATATGTGATTATATGTGTATATATATATAGATGTATATAAATATAATGTGTGCAACCCAATGCCATAAATCCACCATTCGGGTCATGGCGCCTTGTCCGGTGGGCGATCCCTCGCATCGGCCTCCGGGCTGCTCCTTGTCGCAGATCGGATCCTTCTCCTGGAGCCAATGGGCTGGGAATGTCATGGGGACCATCCCAAGATATCCCAAACATGGTTGAAATTGGTTGAACATATGGTTGAATCATGTTGAAAATCTGATCAAACATGAACACATGTTTGAAGCCAACATAAATTGTCATTGGAAGTAGTTGTCATATTGATAGACATGTTATAGATATGACTCATGACCTTTGAAGATTTTAGTGCAGGGTTGGGCCTAGGGTTGGTTTAAAAGGTTTAAACATGTTTTTTTGTTTAAACGACGATGTTGTCCGCAACCTTAATGTTCGCCCAGACTCATGATTGTGACATAACAGAACAATATGTTGATTGGGGAAATATCAACTTTATCTTCATGAGGGATCAACATTCGCAACCCCCTCTGAACAATACGTTGATTGGGAAAATAACACCAACTTTATCTTCATGAGGGATCAAAATCAGGAAGGCGGGACATCAACTCCGGGCAAACGTCCAGGTTGCAGCGACAATGTTTAAACCAAACATGTTTAAACCAATCCGGGGTAGTAGGGGATCCTAGTAAATTCGTTTAAACATGTTTAAACACGTTTAACTGTTTATAAAAACATGTTTAAGCAAATTGCAAGAGATTGTGGACCCAACCGCAAAAGATCGAGCGCACTTGCAGAATCAAACGCTGAGAAACCTGCTGCTAGTGACATCACCTGGTGCTTCTTTCTCGCTCACCCGTTCTTATTACTCAAATTTTGGCACATGGTCAAACAGCCCCACAACATATATGTTTATATAAACGGTTTAAAGTTTAAGCGGTTTAATGTTTAAACGTGACCGACCCTGTTTTAGTGTATGAAAGCTATTCCCTCACGAGGCTGCAGTGTGATACTCTACCCGCTCTAGAACGTGCGACTACGATCACCTCTCAATGTAGCAGGGATCAGCCATCTAAAGCAGTGATGCAATCTCTTACCAAACAACAAATATTCGCGGATCTGAAATTTCAGGTCCCAGGATTTTTTCTAGTCAGATGCTAGGATTCAATCCATTCCTGCCCATGTGTTCTTCCTTTTTCTAGATTCTAGATGGTTCTGGCCTTCATCTATATTATCTATTAGATACACCATGATACACCCATATCGCCTTTATCAAAAGAAAACACGTTATAAATGTTATAAACCATATACATCCATAAAACATCTATATAGATACACCCATATGTCCATATGTCCATATTATTATCTATTAGATACACCCATATACATCCACATGTCCATATAAACCAGTATAAAACATCAGGGAAGCCAAGGGATCAGCAACTTCCAACTGCCATCGACAGCGCTGGACTGTAACTCTTTCGTCGAAGAACTCCAAAGGGCTTGGACTCGCAAGGACCTGGCAGAGCATACCACTTGGCCTTGGTGCCGTCGTGGCGTTCATTTTTTGGGGGGACAGTTGCGCCGAGAAGGATGCATATATATTATGTATATATATATATTATATAGATATATAAATATATAGATATATAGATATATAGATATATAGATATATAAATATACATACGTACACATATTTCTACCTAGGGAACCATGCAGACCATTTGTTTGGTCATATTGTGGCCAAAATTGTTGAAACGCATCCGAAAAAAGGACAAACCCCATTGGAACCCGAAACAGCCAAAAAAAAATAGTCAAATCCCGATATATCCCGATATCATCAAAACTTTGATCCTACTAGTGAGGTGCCGTTTGCCAATGTTTCTGTACGACCAAGATTTGGGATAGTCAAAACACCGAAAACAATGGCCAAATATGCCTGTAATGGTCAAACCCATAGTTGATTAAAAAAAACAATAAAAACAATAACAACCAAAAGACACAACCTTCATACCATTTTTTTTTGCAGGGTTCTGCGGGGCTGCTTCGACAGACAGGGACGCGTTTCAGTGTTTCTAGCGCAGGATTTTACAAACCTGTCAAACAGCAACCCCGACCCTCGAAAACCGCAACCGCAACGGACAAAAATTTGGCCAAACGGGTACCTTGACAAAAATGTAAGTTTTTGGATATCCCTGGTATGTATTTGTGTTTTTCTTTATATCAGCCTGGTCAGCGCCCCCCCCATGACCCACGACCTTGGATGATGGGGCACATTGGGGCACTGACGTAGATTCATATTACGTATAAATCATAATTATGTACGTATATTGAAAAATTAAATGTTAAAAGTAGTAGCATAAATAAATTATAGAATATTATACATACGCATTATGATTATTCGAAGGAAGTTTAGAAGTCAAACTTCCATAAACTTCCGACAATATGGACAGATGAAAAGCAGAGATGGGAAGAGTCAGAGAAGAGAAGAGAAGAGAAGAGAAGAGAAGAAGAAAGAAGATCACAAAAGAGAAAGCCTCAGAAGAAAGAAGATCCAGGTGCGCGAAAAGGCAGGAAAGTCGCGAAGCACTGTGTTTTTCCAATGATTTGTGGCTCCGCAGGGTCGAAAAGTAGGCTCGCTAAAGCGGCGGGTGCGGAGCCAACTGGCCAGATAAGAGATGAAAAATTGCACGCCGTTTTGGCGCGAAGGACATTTCGAAGTCAAAATGTACAAAGCACACCATGCTCGGACCACTTTTGGAAATTGAGATGTCGAAAAAGTGCACGCCGTTGTGGCGCGAAGCACATTTGTAAGTGAAAAAGCTAAAAACACCTCACGTTCGGACCAGTTTTGGAAGTTGAGATGTCGAAAAAGTGTGCGCCGTTGTGGCGCGAAGCACATTTCGAAGTCAAAATGTACAAAGCACACCAGCTCCGGACCACTTTTGGAAGTTGCGATGTCGAAAAAGTGCACGCTGTTGTGGCACGAAGCACATTTCGAAGTCAAAATGTACAAAGCACACCATGCTCGGACCACTTTTGGAAGTTGAGATGTCAAAAAAGTGCGCGCCATTGTGGCGTGAGGCACATTTCGAAGTCAACATGTTAAAAACACCAGGGGTTCGGACCACTTGTGGACGTTCAGATGTTGTTTCGCGTGGTAGGCGAAAGGGATTGTGCACCTTGTCAAAAGTGAGAAAAAAGGGAGGGTTTTGTAGCATTTTCAGCCACAACCACCATTACACCACACTACACTCCAATACACACGACAACTACAACTACACCTTCACTACATTCCACTACACTACTGTACACTACACTACACTACACCCCACTACACCCCACTACACTCCACTACACTACGCTCAACTACACTCAACTACACTCAACTACACTCAACCACTACACTACACTGCACTGCACTACACGACACGACACGACACTACACCACGCGACACTACACTACACTACACTACACTACACTACACTACACTACACTACACTACACTACACTACACCACACCACACCACACTACACTACACTACACCACGCGACACTACACTACACTACACTACACCACACTACACTAGACTACACTACACTACGCTACACTACACTAACTACAACTACAAAAACAACTACAACTACAATACATAACATAACGCTACACTACAACTACAACTACACTACACTAATTGCGTTACAACACACTACACTACACAACACACCACACAACACCACACTACACTACGCTACGCTACACTACACTAATTGCATTACACTACACTACACCACACTACACCACACCACACTACACTCAATTACACTACACTACACTACCCTACCCCACATTGCATTACATTACATTACACTACAGTCATTACACCATCACAAATGCAACTGCAACTACACTACACTAATTACACTACACCACAACTACAACTCCACTACACTACAACTACAGCTACAGCTGCACTACACCACACTACATGCAGCAGTTGTGGGTGAGGTGACTGACCAGGTGACCACTGCAACCATTGCAGCCACTCCAAAAACACAGCTCCAACCACCTTTCGGTCCATCAGTGAATTCGCTCTGCCATCCGTGATTCACAACAACCAATCTCTCCTATAGGTTTCCTATTTTTGAAACTTCCGCCACCGCCTTGTGCGGTACTACTGGTAATTATTAGTATTTATTAGTAATGACAATAACTTCGAACCCCCAAGCAGTTTCGAATTGAATCCAGCATACCAGGTCTCTCCTTTTCAAGCGATAAATAGCTAGAAGCTCTGAGCTAACGGCTTCGGGGTAGCTCGTGTCATAGCGAGGGAAGGGGAACATGCCAAGGTTGTTGCAGCCCACAAAGTACCTCAAGCACTGGGTGATCCTAACTTCTTCTAAACTCCAAAAGGAAAACACGATGCAAAATGCCATGTCTTCACCCATCCATTACGCACTTAGAACCTGCAACCTGCTGCACAATCTGATGAGCTTGATGCCTTCATCTGTGGCACCCTGCAGCCTGAAACCCGTGAAAACAACCACCGGGTGCCATATTCATTGGGGATCCAACAGATCTGGACGAACTCTGCCGGAAATTCTTTGGCGCTGGTGAAGTGTTCAGAACACACTGGCCCAGTGTCATGACAAGATATAGCAGGGAAAAACATGGAAAAACTGACAGTTTCATTTCCAAAAATGTCAACTTTGCATTCGGCGTAAAATGCCTTCGCTCCATGGATGGACCGGTTCTTATCCCGCCTACGTCTTGGTAGGGCAGAATTGTCCAAACATGCTGGATTTACACCCAATACACACCAACTTTCATAGGGAGAAACACAAACTGCAAACAGAGGTTGATTTTAAGGGGTGCCATATCTTTTCATACCATACATGCTCATCTTTGTTTTCTGGGCAAATTACCATAAATTACCAGTACCCCAGCTGGGTACCAGCCATATGTTGCCGTTGGTGTCCAATTTTCAGCTGAGCTACCCAAACCTCTGGTAGTTCAAATCGCAGCTCCATGGACCCGCACATTGAGCGGAATCGTAGGCGAAGCGCGCACCAAAATTCATACCCAGCTCCCACAAGGGTGTGGTGGCTTTGGTGTGGATCCTCAGAGGCAAAACATGCTGGAAAACAGCGAAAACACCATTAAAATTCAAGATCCATTAAGTTGCATACTTCCAACTTAGCAACGTGTTGTAGATGTCTTCGACTCTGTTTGGGATACCAAATGGCATATCAATCATATCAACTGTCTAGTGGCTTCAACCAGCCTGTCCATGTCTAGAATACATACAAGACCTAAGGAGGCGGAGTCAAGTCTTATGAACAAATCTGACTTTAGTACACATGATGAAAGGGCCATATTGCACACTAAGAATATCCAACAAATGATGACAACACTCATAATAACCCATACCAGCACACAAACTATGGATTTGGAGGTTATTCCTGATGAAACCGCTGAGGCTCTTGTACCGGATGAGCTTGGAGATGTTGAACTTTCGTGGTCGCTCAAACACCACCTGGCAAACGATGCAGAACAGTTCCTTCATGCCTGGTGTTGCTTGTGGGCACCCACACACTGGTTGTTTAGACTCATCGCGGGCCTCGTTGTGAATGTACCACAAGGTGCCAGCCAAATTTCCCACGTTGATATTGTCAAGGTACTGGTCGCCCTGCGTAACCCGAAGCCGATGGGCCGACGGCAATCGACTTCAAACATATCGAGATATATCGAGATATATCGAGTATGAGGATGATTCATGAACTACTTAGGCTATTTTGATCTATTTTGGCAAATAATCAGCAAGATCCAACAAACAAATTTCGACAGTCCTGATTTGGCCGTCCCATATGGTGCTTCACCAATCTTCACCAGGCCACCGGGCCGCCCACGAATTCCAGAAACTGCTGGGAATCTTCATTTGAGAATATGAACATCTGAGGATAAGAGGGCCAACCCATAGATACCGATAGATATCAATAGATACCAACAGATACATACAGATACCAATAAGATACCAATAAGTAAATAGAGAGATGGCAAAACAAATCAACATCAACAAAGATTACCCACGGCCTCCTCCGAAGAAGCACGGTAGACATAGAAGGTGAGCTCTGTTGCATTGCTGGGCTCCTACGAAATCTTCGTGTGGGGAACATGGGATTCAGAAGTTTGATTTCTGAGTTTACATGGATTTCATGTGAATTGATATTGATTTTTATCTGGATTTATGTGGATTGTAATTAATTACTGATTCATTATATCGAATTGATTTCTACGGATGTTTCTCCAAATGATAGGCTGATGATAGCCTGCTCCTCTCAAGCAAAACGGTTAAACACCAAAGGAAGTCTCAATAATTTTCCAATCAGGTCCAATGGTTTAGTGAACAATTATCCCACCCCATCGATATCAAATACCACCAATACGTGATCCCAATTCATAAATAGATCCAATACATTTATAATATATATATATATATATACAAACCACTCTCTCTCTCTCTCATATATACATATATTAGGGGGAAGGGATTAATTACCCAAAACAAGATTGAATTTGATGCATTGAAGCCACTGGCAGAGCCCAGGGCCTTTCCCCCGTGGCCTGGAGTGCCTTGGTTGGCTCGTAGGGCGTGAAGGGCCCATCCTTCTCCTTGCATCACAGTGGTGGGCTCAAGTCCTTCACAGTGATGAATCTCAGACAAGTCACAGTTGGTGTGCACTGGGAGAAGAAGGTGCCAACCTGCGCAAGCTAACAAGGCAGTCACTCTCTAAGAGGCAAAATTGGGAGGTCTATGAGCTAGACTGCCAGCGGCCGAATATATACGTATACATACATACAGACATACATACATACATACATATATATATATATATATACGTATATATAGATATACGTATATATATAAATACACGTATATCTATATATATATTATACATATGTAATTAAGCAAAACATGTGAAAATAGAATCCATGCAAACAATTGTCGATCTGAATGGGTGCTGTCTTATGATTGAGCCCCCTAGATCTACATCATTGGAACAAGACATATCGAAACGAGGGACCCGAATGGATCCATTGCTGGTGGCACCTTGATACAGACGAAGCCGGCATGGCAGCAGGTGGGTCCGGAGTAGTTCATCTTGTTCACTTCATCCCAGCCTCCGCATTGCCTCCGAAAGATCTGTTGGCCATGCGGATGCTGGGAATTTCATAGAAACTAACAATATCCAACATCAAAATAGACATCCATCATCAAAATCATCATAAATCACAACATAAATCACATATCCACATAATTCCACACATAATTCCACATCTATCCACGAGTAGAGTGGCTACTGTTTTTAGATCTTCGATGTCCATTGGATTCATCTCGCTGAAAACGCTGCATGCGAAATGACCATCTCCGAGCGCCCTTTGCAAGGGGTAGTGCATCAAGTGATGATATAAGTCAACATATAAAACAATATAAAAAAAATAGAATACATGATAATGTATGATAATATATGTGTATCTGTATATGTGATCTATCTATCTATATATATATATATGTATTGTATCTATACATTCTTATACAATTATCTATGTACGTAAAGAAGGCTGCATTTTGTTCCATTTTCAATAAGAGCAGGTGCAGATTGGACAAAGGCACTGATAGCCCACAAGGCAGCCCTGTGGGTCTGAGTTCGTCGTGGTGGTCGTCGTGGTCGTCTCTGCGCCGCCATTTTCACGCTCCTGATTTTGCGCAAGCAGGAAAATGCGATTTTGCATGCGTTTGAAACCAAAAACAACTACCAATTCTATCGTATTGCCACAAGTATATATATATTGTATAATATTATATATATGTATGTATCGATTCTATATATGATGAATGAACGGAAATGATGAATCAATCCCATTGGTGTCCATTGTTCCAACAATGACATGACACTGTATAGCTATTGTCCAAACAGCAACATTGATGTGCCATCACAATTCTTGTCCTCCGCTTGAGCCTCAGTGATACACTGGGAGAAGTACTCGTTGACCTGGCAGAATGACAATGGAGAGACGACTGTCGGTTGATCGAATAGCTGGATGAAAAATCGGATGTCCAAACTCAAAACAAAAAAATAAGATGTAATAAAATTTCGTAGCATCAGATTCCCTGGACACCATCCAGCCGTTCGTTGGAATATGCTGGAACATCTTGAGATGGCTATGTTTTGGGACCCACAGGACATCCAAAAGTCACATGCGATGCTCCACAAAAACAATCAGAAACACGTGGAACAGTGGAACATTTGCATGATCATCACTACAATTGTAGTACTTTGTAACCTTACTGAAGTTCATACTTGTTCAAGTGGGTCAATACGTGTTCAGAAAAAATCAAACATGGAAGTCATTCCCTAAAATCCTCAAGTATATGGTGCGAAATGGAAGCTCGCCGCTTCAGTGTGCAGTTCGCTTCAGGGAGCCTTGTAGCAAACGTGAGCGTGCCAACAGCAAGTAGGTCCATAGTACCACTGACCGCCGCACTGTGTGTCCGGTTCCGCACAATTTGCATCCTGAAGCACCAGTCTTGGATAGTGCAAACCACAAGCTGTTGCAACATGGACGTCATTTCAGAGCAAAAACTGTTAATTCGAACGCCATTTGCAACATGTTGGTTCTTGGATCTCTTGCTGGCAAGGAATTCGCAACATCTTGAAGCCAGCAAGTGCACAATACTATTTGCATAATGTTTACCGTAAACTTAGTTTTTTTTATTTGCATGATGGCATTTACAACATTTTGGCGCAACAATCTGCAATTTGCATGGTATTTGCCACGTGTTGAAACATGAAACCTGTTCTCATTGTTACTTAATTGTTTTCTACCTTGTTGATACCACAATAGCAGCAGCATATCGGCAATTTCAGGGATTTTGGGGTTGGTGTAATGGCTGGTTTAAGATTTATTTGGGGTTGGCTTAAGGCTTATTGTCGGTTGGTTTAAACTATACTTAGGGTTTGCCTTGAGATTATTTCGGGTTTGCCTAGGGTTTCTTAAGGGTTGGTCTAGGAGTTTAGGGTTTGTTTTGGGCTGGTTTGAGGTCCATTTAAGCTTGGTTTAGGGTCTATTTGGGGTTGGTTTGAGATTATCCAAGGTTGGTTTACAGTAATATCTATTCATAATTTGTTTAGGGTTGCATCAAGGTTTATTTAGGGATACACTGTGCGCATATAAGAAACTATGAAGATGTGTATGTACGTATGTGTAGAATGATGATATACATACATTATTCATGTAGAGTAGTGCATTTACAATTGTGCAAGCTTGGATTCCCCCCCAAAGCGGAATGACAATATCTAGCTGTTCTGACATGCAATGCTGTTACGTGGAATATTGTCCTCGTGATGTATACAATGCACAACATGCACCTTGTGAACACATAAAGCGTAGGTTCAGCCACAACCATGTTGGGTGTAAATAGTTTCATTGAGTGTTTTCAACCTGTTCCTGGGAATTCTACTATTGGATGTTGGTTTTCAAAAAATGTAATTATCCTTTAGTCTGAAGACTAAGAAATCAACAACAACAACAACAACAGCAATAACAACAGCAACAACAGCAACAACAGCAGCAACAACAACAACAGCAACAACAGCAACAACAGCAACCACAGCGACAATAGCAACAACAACAGCAGCAACAACATTAACAAAAACAACACCAAAAACGACAACAACAGCAACAACAACAACAACAGCAACAGCAAGAGCAGCAGCAAGAGCAGCAAGAGCAGCAAGAGCAGCAGCAGCAGCAGCAACAGCAACAGCAGCAACAGCAACAGCAGCAACAGCATCAAAAGCAACAACAACAGCAACAACAGCAGCAGCAGCAGCATCATTGAAAACAACAACAACAACAACAACACCAGCAGCAGCAACAGCAGCAACAGCAGCAACAGCAACAACAGCAACAACAAGAAGAAGCATAACAACAAGAACAAAAACAAGAACAAGAACAACAACAGCAAGAAGAACAAGAAGAAGAAGAAGAAGAAGAAGAAGAAGAATAAGAAGAGCAACAGCAACAGCAGCAACAACAACAACAACAGCCAGAAAAAAGAAGCTAAGAAACTGAGAAAACAAAAGCCACAAAAGCCACAAAAGCCAACAGGCCAGAGCAGGGACGCCGCCCGAGGAAAAAACACAATCCAAAATTAAAAAAGGGAATCTCGATCCTTTGCTAAGCTCACATGGGACAAGTCTACTTGCAGTATAGTGACTTTAGATGATTATAGTGCAAACTCTGCAAGTCATCAATAATCAGTCATGGTTTTCTCGGAACTGCAGAACAAATCCCGTCCTCTGGGAGTGGTTCCCAGATTGGGTGAATGGGCGCAGGAGTTGCCTGGCGATTTTCTCCGACCGGAAAGACATGGTTTCCATTTGGGACAGCTCCATATGGATTCTATCCTCATTTGGCCTTGTTTTCTCAAAATATGGTGGATACCCAGTTCTTATAGGGAGTTAACCATATTAAATCAACCATGATATTGGGATGTCATGTGGATGTCGTCAACAATATGGGAATTTGGGCTTCTCCAGAAACGGTAGATTTACCCCAAGTACTGGCAACTTGAATGATTAACATTAAAAAAAAAGGATAACAAGCACTGGATTTTAGGATGCTCTATCAGCCAAACCCAAAATACACTGAAAATCACTGAAATCTTTGACAATCCACAAAAACATAGTCACGATTTTAAGAATGTGCTTCGGCTATTGTGAAGAGGAAGCACGCAGATTAATAGGTGGGGCAGCAGGCCGCCGGTATGCAGGTATGTCTCTCATTCACATCGCCAGCTTCCTGCCAATGATCTGTAGTGTGGCCAACTTGAGGATCAACCCCTTCATCGCGTTGAGGTAAAAAGAAAATTAGCTATTCAGGTTTTGAATAGAACCAAAACGAGCTGGCCCCCAAATGTGGGACCGGTTCGCTATACGTTCATTGCCTGTTCATTACATGTTGTCGTATGTTTGTGACACTTCCCTCAGTTTTCCATCAAATTCGTGTATATACACACACACCCAAATTGAATCAAGCTGAGTAATTTTCATCCCACTATACTAGTACCGTGGCTTGTTCATGCTACCGCCGCCCATAGCGGACTCAGTGAATTTGCTGTTTTTCTACACTTCAACAAGTTTCACGCGCAATTATGCCTGCATCCACACACGTCTTTTTCACATGATTTCACGTACCTTCAGGTGTTGTGCGGGGGGGGGGCTGGTAACGTCTCAGTGCACTTCCTCACATCTTTGATGCTACTCTCAACACGTCTTCTTACTTGATCTCACCTATCTTCGGGTGGGGTGGGTGGAGGTGTGATAACCTCTCTGTGCAACTTGCTCACATCTTCGACGCTCCACACATTCTTGACTTGGTCTCACATATGTGTACAGTTGGCACGCACTTTGGACAAATGTTGGGATTACTGTAAAGATGTCATTCCAAACAGTGTCCATACAAAGAATGCGAAGAACAAACTTTTGAATGCTGAGATCTGGAACTATGTCTACCAATGGAAATGGCGATACAATCATCGCCATTCCTCGTGGCAAATGGTTCCCAAAGTTCTCAAAGCACTTTGCAAATGAGACGTTGCACTTGAAAGTAACACAGGTAAAAAGGGCCGAGTCCGCTACGGGCGGCGGTACCTTGTTCATGTGAATTCTGCAACACTTTGGGGTGGTCACTAAAGCACCAGTGTTTTGGCTATTCTGCATCCCACACCAAATGATGATCCATTTCCTCCCCATTCTGCTTGTTGCTATCCACATCTATCCACCTATATCTCAGCTTCATAGTCCCCTGATGTGATCGCATGGTTCCTACACCTCTGAGCAACTTAAGATGAACAAAAGCATTTGTTGGTGATTATCCTTATCATCCATCATTTGCTGTGAGGCGGTTGTGAGGTCCCAAACATATAATGCACCTTGCAAATATCTCTCCCAGGTACACTAGTCACTAATTTCACATGGTATGTAACAAGGATGATTCCAAGTCATATACCACTTGTAAGCTAGATCAAACTTATATGTATCCCTAGCTATCTATACTTATACACTATATATATATATACCATTAGAGTATTATATATAATTACATAATCCATTCTTATCCCTATTAATATCATTGCAAATGCCTCCATCACTTTGCATATCTGATTAAACCATCAGCGCCTCGTCCGGATTCACTTCATCTTCAGGTTCCTTAGGTTCCTCCTCCTCAGGCTCCTCAGGCATCCCGGGTTTCTCAGGTTTCTCCGTGGTACCTGGAGCGATAGCTGGCTGCCAGGGTGAAAACAAAATAACACCAAAATAGCTCGTAAATGGGATGCCATCCCGCCAAAATGAGGTATAAAAATATGACATATGTGACATAAGTATAATAGCAGGTTTTGATTCAGATTGATTCAGATAGTCACAAAAAACTCTGCCGGCAGATCCAATCGTTTGCCCAAGAGGCAGCATTTAAATCCTATTATACCGCCGGACTGGAACTTAGAATGTCGGCCCAGTTTTCCAAAATTTTGTGGTTTGAACGTAGAATGCCAGCCAAATGGGGTATCTTAGAATGCCGGCACATGTGACATTCTAAGTTCCAGTCATGGGTGAGAAAACCACAGTATTTCCCAATATTTGAGGCCAAAACATGTCACAAACAGTTTATAGACTGACCAGAAATATATCCCAAAGCATTCCAAGTTCCTAGTTCAACCCCCTCATGCATGATACGTATTGCCTGGGGCAACCATGTTTACCCATCTGAAGGGTTTTATCAAAACCTTGAATATATAGTGACGGATTGAAACTTAGAACTCCGTTTTGGAATTTACATACGGCCATTACGGAACGACACCGCGGCCAAAATCTCACCGCAGAAGACAATTTTATACCCCATAGATTTTCATACTAGAGTTAGAATGTGGCAGCACACCGTACGGAGTTTATCATTTTCGAGCACCGTTATGTAGTTTTGGGGCCAAATCCGGCAAACTTAGAATGTGTACATATGATCATAAAATATCATATGTGTTCATGGGCTCTGTGAACATATGTTCGCTTTATACCCCATAGATTTTCATACTAGAGTTAGAATGCCGCCAACACACCGTAAGGAGTTTATCATATTTGAGCACCCTTATGTAGTTTGGAGACCAAATATGGCAAACTTAGAATGTCCATATATGATCACAGGTGTTCATCGAAAATACGCCTGGCCACTTGAAAATAAGGTTTCTAGAAGCTCTATGGAGGATTTTTGAGGGATAGGATTTATGGTGGATTTATGGAGGATTAATGGAGGATTAATGGAGGATTTATGGCGGATTTATGGAGGATTTATGATGGATTTATGAAGGATTTATGGAGGATTTATGGAGGATTTATGGCGGATTTAGGGCAATTCATTTGTGAATACTAAAGTTCCAAGAAAGTTCACTTTATGTATTCGTTTTCAATTAGGCAATTCATTTGTGAATACTACAGTTCCAAGAAAGTTCACTTTATGTATTCGTTTTCAATTAGGCAATTCATTTGTGAATACTAAAGTTCCAAGAAAGTTCACTTTATGTATTCGTTTTCAACTAGGCAATTGATTTGTGAATACTACAGTTCCAAGAAAGTTCACTTTATGTATGCGTTTTCAATTCGGCAATTCATTTGTGAATACTAAAGTTCCAAGAAAGTTCATATGTATTCGTTTTCAATTAGGCAATTCATTTGTGAATACTAAAGTTCCAAAAAAGGTCACTTTATGTATTTGTTTTCAATTAGGCAATTCATTCGCGAATACTAAAGTGGAAAAAAAATCAGTTTATGTATTCGTTTTCAAGTAGGCATTTCATTTGTGAATGCTAAAGTTCCAAGAAAGTTCACTTTATGTATTCGTTTTCAATTAGGCAATTCATTTGTGAATAGTAAAGTTCCAAGAAAGTTCACTTTATGTATTCGTTTTCAACTAGGCAATTGATTTGTGAATAATACAGTTCCAAGAAAGTTCACTTTATGTATGCATTTTCAATTCGGCAATTCATTTGTGAATACTAAAGTTCCAAGAAAGTTCATATGTATTCGTTTTCAATTAGGCAATTCATTTGTGAATACTAAAGTTCCAAGAAAGTTCACTTTATGTATATATTCGTTTTCAATTAGGCAATTCATTTGGGAATACTAAAGTTCCAAGAAAGTTCACTTCATGTATTCGTTTTCAATTAGGCAATTCATTTGGGAATATTTGGGAATCCTAATTAGGCAATTTTCAGTTTCATTCAGGTGTCTATTTTTGGAGTCAAACACGAACACCAAAGAAAAACACCAGAAAAACCAATGAAAACCAATGAACAAAAACAATGATAAGCAAAGAACAACACATGAACATTTTTGAGAACCAAAGAAAAAATATGAACAAATCAAGGAAAAACGAAGGAGAACCACAGAAAAACCAATGAAAAACCAAAGAAGGAACAATGAAAAACAATGGAAAACCAAAGACAACTTTGCGAGCATTCTAAGTTACCTTTTGCCAGGGATTTTTGGTCCCTGTTTTTTCGAGGTTTTCATCTTTAATGGGGAAGGAAATAAGAGACACTTTTGAGGAAAAAAAGGAATCTTGAGGTGCCTTGGATCCTATATGTTCACAAAACCCTGTAAATATGCAGTAAATTGCATTGTTTCTTGCATATGTGCTTCAAACGGAGTGGAGTTATTTTTCTGTTTGCTGCTTTTTTGGGGGTTTTATGGAGGAAAAAACACTGGCAGGAGAGAACTTAGAATGCCATTTTAGACCTAAAATATGCATTTTGTATGGCAATACTGTGGTTCGGGGTCTGGCACATTGAAACATTCACACGCCGGCATTCTAAAATACCCTTAAAAACAGGGTTTTTGGCGGCATTCTAAGTTCAAAAATCAAAATTTACAAACTGGGCGGCATTCTAAGTTTCAGTGTGTCACTATATATAGCTACATATATATATATATATATATATATATATGTAGCTATTTATCTATGTATACATATATAAATATATACTTGTTTTGGGTTTGTGTTCTTTCAACTTCCGACCGCCAGCGCTAAATGCAGCACGATGCATGGCTGTCCCAGCTTTGTGTGCACTGCCAGGCACACACACACAAGAAAACCAGCAGCATTGTTTCACAAGAACAGACATCAGGGTTTATCTATGACAATTTTATAACCCATAGATTTTCATACTAGAGTTAGAATGTGGCAGCACACCGTACGGAGTTTATCATTTTTGAGCACCGTTATGTAGTTTTGGGGCCAAATCCGGCAAACTTAGAATGTGTACATATGATCATAAAATATCATATGTGTTCATGGGCTCTGTGAACATATGTTCGCTTTATACCCCATAGATTTTCATACTAGAGTTAGAATGCCGCCAACACACCGTAAGGAGTTTATCATATTTGAGCACCCTTATGTAGTTTGGAGACCAAATCTGGCAAACTTAGAATGTCCATATATGATCACAGGTGTTCATCGAAAATACGCCTGGCCACTTGAAAATAAGGTTTCTAGAAGCTCTATGGAGGATTTTTGAGGGATAGGATTTATGGTGGATTTATGGAGGATTAATGGAGGATTAATGGAGGATTTATGGCGGATTTATGGAGGATTTATGATGGATTTATGAAGGATTTATGGAGGATTTATGGAGGATTTATGGCGGATTTAGGGCAATTCATTTGTGAATACTAAAGTTCCAAGAAAGTTCACTTTATGTATTCGTTTTCAATTAGGCAATTCATTTGTGAATACTACAGTTCCAAGAAAGTTCACTTTATGTATTCGTTTTCAATTAGGCAATTCATTTGTGAATACTAAAGTTCCAAGAAAGTTCACTTTATGTATTCGTTTTCAACTAGGCAATTGATTTGTGAATACTACAGTTCCAAGAAAGTTCACTTTATGTATTCGTTTTCAACTAGGCAATTGATTTGTGAATACTACAGTTCCAAGAAAGTTCACTTTATGTATGCGTTTTCAATTAGGCAATTCATTTGTGAATACTAAAGTTCCAAGAAAGTTCACTTTATGTATTCGTTTTCAATTAGGCAATTCATTTGGGAATAGTAAAGTTCCAAGAAAGTTCACTTTATGTATTCGTTTTCAATTAGGCAAGTCATTTGTGAATCCTAAAGTTCCAAAAAAGTTCACTTTATGTATTCGTTTTCAACTAGGCAATTCATTTGTGAATACTAAAGTTCCAAGAAAGTTCACTTTATGTATTCGTTTTCCAAGTAGGCAATTCATTCGTGAATACTAAAGTTCCAAGAAAGTTCACTTTATGTATTTGTTTTCAATTAGGCAATTCATTCGCGAATACTAAAGTGGACAAAAAATCACCAAAGAAAAACACCAGAAAAACCAATGAAAACCAATGAACAAAAACAATGATAAGCAAAGAACAACACATGAACATTTTTGAGAACCAAAGAAAAAATATGAACAAATCAAGGAAAAACGAAAGAGAACCACAGAAAAACCAATGAAAAACCAAAGAAGGAACAATGAAAAACAATGGAAAACCAAAGACAACTTTGCCAGCATTCTAAGTTACCTTTTGCCAGGGATTTTTGGTCCCTGTTTTTTCGAGGTTTTCATCTTTAATGGGGAAGGAAATAAGAGACACTTTTGAGGAAAAAAAGGAATCTTGAGGTGCCTTGGATCCTATATGTTCACAAAACCCTGTAAATATGCAGTAAATTGCATTGTTTCTTGCATATGTGCTTCAAACGGAGTGGAGTTATTTTTCTGTTTGCTGCTTTTTTGGGAGTTTTATGGAGGAAAAAACACTGGCAGGAGAGAACTTAGAATGCCATTTTAGACCTAAAATATGCATTTTGTATGGCAATACTGTGGTTCGGGGTCTGGCACATTGAAACATTCACACGCCGGCATTCTAAAATGCCCTTAAAAACAGGGTTTTTGGCGGCATTCTAAGTTCAAAAATCATTTTTCCCCACCTGCCAGGTGAGGGTTGTTAGATTTTATGTCAGTTGCCTGCTCCTCTCCTCCTCCTCCTCATCTCTTCCTCCTCTCCTCCTCCTCCTCGTCGTCCTCCTCGTCCTCCTCGTCCAACTGCGACCCGCGATCCACAGTGTTCTCTGTCGGACCTCAACCACGACCATCCCCGCCCAGTGTTCCCTGCCGGACCTCAACCACGACCATCCCCGCCCAGTGTTCCCTGCCGGACCTCAACCACGACCATCCACGCCCAGTGTTCCCTGCCGGACCTCAACCGCGAGTATCCCCGCCCAGTGTTCCCTGCCGGACCTCAACCACGACCATCCACGCCCAGTGTTCCCTGCCGGACCTCAACCACGACCATCCACGCCCAGTGTTCCCTGCCGGACCTCAACCGCGAGTATCCACGCCAAAAGATATGCCACATAGAGTGCCAGAAGATATGCCAGATAGAATGTTAGAAGATATGCCAGATAGAATGCCAGAAGGTATGCCAGATAGAATGCCAGATAAAGTGCCAGAATGTTTGCCAGATAGAATGCCAGCAGATTTGCCAGATAATATGCCAGAAGATATGCTAGATAGAATGCCAGATGGAATGCCACGAGATTTGCCAGATAAAATGCCAGAAGATATGCCAGATAGAATGCCAGATGGAATGCCAGAAGATATGCCAGAACATATGCCAGAAGATATGCCAGAAGATATGCCCGAACATCTGCCAGAAGATATGCCAGAACATCTGCCAGAAGATATGCCAGGTAGAATGCCAGAAGATATGCCAGATAGAATGCCAGATCGAATGCCAGAAAATATGTCAGATAGAATGCCAGAAGATTTGCCAGTAACAAAATGTATAAATGTCATGGTGGGGATCACACGAAGTAAAGTAATTTTACAAACTGGGCGGCATTCTAAGTTTCAGCGTGTCACTATATATATATATATATGTAGCTATTTATCTATGTATACATATATAAATATATACTTGTTTTGGGTTTGTGTTCTTGCAACTTCCGACCGCCAGCGCTAAATGCAGCACGATGCATGGCTGTCCCAGCTTTGTGTGCACTGCCAGGCACACACAAGAAAACCAGCAGCATTGTTTCACAAGAACAGACATCAGGGTTTATCTATAATAAAGTTCCTTATTTTGCGCCATCAGAAATGGAGGAATTCACACACACACACATATATATATAATTATATATATACGTAAAAAACATCCTCGGGTGTAAACTTAGCATGCATTTCACAAATAATCATTTTTTTTCCCCGGCAAGTGAGATTTACGTATATATATATATATATATTATATATATATATATACGTTTTCGTCCACCTTACCCCCTAAACTTAGAATGCTTCATTCTAAGTTGTTCTCCGTGACCCCCATTCTAACACGGGTTTGGAAACTGGGGGCCCCAAGTTTTAATCCGGTACTATATTCAAAAAGCTTTGAAAGCACAGCGCAATCGCACTCTCATGCCAAAAAGTTTGGCCCTTTTTCACTCTTTCCCTCGAAATCCCAGCGTTTTGTTTGCTCTTGGAACGGTCCTGTATCCCTTCCTGTGCACAAGTTTGGATTCCAAAATATTGAAATGGGTGGTTTTGGAATGATTTACTGCCTTAATTTACATTGAAATGGGCGCCGAATCTCTGAACAACAGGGAAAAAACCCCTGAAATGTCTGCATCAAAAGGTATCCAAAAGAACAAGTGAAGCATGTCAAAATAGAAAAGGACCTGACACGCATTCTAAGTTAACACCTGCAAGAGCCATTTATCGAAAAAATACAGTCAAAAAGTTGCGGGAGCACATATTTCTATATTTTGCCGCTACTTTTTCCAGTGGGTACGGTTCCAAAATGGCATTCTAAGTTTCGGTCCGTCACTATAATGGGTAGTTAAAAGGCGCCATACAGCGATACGAGTTTTAACCAGCCAGCCCCCTATGACAAGTGGTGGAACGGGCATGGCCTCCGGCAAAGGTCTGGATCTGTGCGGAATTATAACAATACTAAAATATACTTAAATATACTTAAATAGTTTGCCAATAATAGTTAGCTATAGTCATAATAAATCGATATTACAGTGGGAAAATTCTAGTCACTTATCAGCAAATAGGCATCAATGACCTTCTCACCGGTGCAAAGATTGTCATTTACAATTTCTGATGTTGCTTGTGAGGTGAGCCATCAGCCCTAGATTTGGGATGTAACCTGTTCGTGAGGGTCTTGTGTACAAGATGTACACCCTAACACAAGTTATGGATGGATGCTGGTGGTTACCTATTACACATCTGATCATCCTGTTGTATACACGATTCCGAGGCTTACTTGGGCCTAGACACGCCGGTATAGATCCAGCTGTACTTAGTGAGACCTTCGACCACTAGTGGCAATTCAGAGCAAGATATTCAAAACTTCCTAGTGATCCAGTCAAGAAAAAAGTCGAACCAACCATTCTTGGTCGGATTGGCACCAGCAGGCTGGGGTCCCGATCTTTCTTCTTCTTCGTGATCTTCATCTTCGCCTTCGTCTTCATCCTCTTCCTCCTCATCAGGGTCCTGTTGCAGTGTGGCAATTTCTGGAATTGAGCCACGAACTGCCCTGAACAGTTCCCGAATAAGCTGAGAAATGTTGACAGTGAGGCCCTGCTGATTGTTTTGGAAATCTTTTAATCGGATGGGAACGGAACGGAATGGGAAAGCACCATGGAAAGAACCAGGATTCCAACAACTGGATTCCAAGTGCCACCTGCCACACGACTTCTGCGGCTGTTGAATCTGACCGAGAGCTAAGCTGTCAGCAACATTCAAAAACTACCAGTTTTGTGAATCGGGTTTCCAGAGGTATAATTATAAACATATGTGGCATTTGCCTAAAACCAATTTGAAACCGGGGCACTACCAGGGAACCTAACATAGTAGACCAAGGTAATGCCTTCATGCTTGATGAATACTCTCAAATCTCTCAATTTGATGATCAAATGGCTATCCTGAAAGATGTCGTCCACATCGGGCACAATGGGCACGGCATCGTTCTTCACAACACCTCCCGGCCACCGATCGACGCCGACTGATATCGATTGCATCCAACATGATGACAGAACATCAGCCTTTCTGAGACATTAATTACAGTTCAATTTTGATTTATATTAAGTTATTTTAGTTTACTCGTGATGTCATAAACCTGAAACATACACACCAAGAAGTCTGAACCAAATTGCAATGAGTGGCTTATGACTTGCTGTGGTCAGGTCATCGGACGAGGCTCTACTTTTCAAAACGGTTTGACCCACTTCGAGGTGTGACGCAGAGGAATCACGTGCTTTGCTTAAACAGAATAATTAGTCCGTGTTGAGAATCTGGGCGTCTCTGATAAAGAAAATCCACTTGCTGCGATAGTTCAAATATGTTCAAATGCATGACTGACCACCTGGTCAACACGCAATCCGGAAAAGATCAAAAGAACATGATGGGAAGGTATCATGCAAAACATCTATGAAAGAGGCCGGACAAGAACAGACTCGTCTTTGCATTCTTGCATGTCTTTTCATACGGTTCCATTCCAAGTGGCGTTCCACAATCGACCCTTCGACCCTAGGACATGTTCTTCCTATATTGCACCCATCAGCAAAGACCATACAATGTCATATGACGTCATCTCATGTCAGGCAATGTGTTATGTCTCCCCTGCCTGTGTGAATTGCGAGGTATGTTGGCATGCCAATACTACATGCACTATGCATGATACAAGGAACTAAGCAAAACCGAACACCCACACATGCACCTTTTTCTTGTCCCTACATTGGCAGCACGTCACCCACACCCAAACATCAAATGCAAGTATTGTAATTCGTATAACCTTTATACATAAAATATAACTAATATACAATTATATACATGTATTTTGTAGGACCCAACCCCCTGGTCCTCAAAAAGAGCCAGTTTTTATAGCTGGATTTTCATCTAGAAACCCATACGAAGCCCTCTAGGCCTCGCAGCTGCAGTGCATTGAAGCTGCAGCTTTCGCCGACGCATTCGTCATCCAACTGCAGAGGCTCCTTCTTGGGATGACAACATCTTCTGATTCACCATTTCACCAAGTTCAGTCCTTCACTTTTTTGAGGGGGCAAATACGTTTCAACTTACAGTATCCATGTCTCCATCATTTGTGGAGATCAATTATATAGTCACATAGTCGTGATCCATGTCAGGTGGCAAAATACCTTCAGTGAGGCCGGTACTACAGTCAAGATCAGTCAAGTAGCAAATTCATTTTCCAACCAACAAACATATGGGGATGGGTCAAAACCCTGGTACCTAGTGAACCCCAAAATAGCTGGTAAATGGATGTTCATCCCACTAAAAATGTATCTATAGGTATTGACCCATACCCATATGGACACGCATAGCATGTCTCGCTGACGCAGAGGCGACTGCCTAGAGAATGGGGATTGATTAATTTACTCTATTTACCACCAAGTTTCGGGTGATCTTACTGAGTCAGGATGCTCTGTTGCTTGGTGTACCCAGTGACTGTCCACCAAAGTGACAAATCACGGCCCCTCTGCTTGTGCCGCTGCAACATCTACTTCAGATTACCCAATTGCTTGGTGTGCTTCAGCAAGAGTTTGATCTCTAGAAAAGATAAGTTGCTTGGAAAAATAATCAGTATGAATCAGCTATCAGTGCCTTTCTTCGACTGATGAGAATTCTTTGAGTGGCCATACTCATACAACAAAGCAATTTGGAGAAGTACACTACCATTGTTGCATATATATGCAAATAATGATTTCCTCCAGAAGCCATGCAGTGGGATGAAAGTACCCCGTTGGTAGTTTCAACCCATCCCCAAAGTAATGGTCTGGAGTCTGGAGCTCCAATATCCACAGATCAATTGGCCACATCCTCATCTAAATGTGTTGAAAACCTCATTCACACTCATTTACCCGCTATTGACAATCTTGACTTTAACATCTTACATGTTCAATCATCTTGAATCGTGGGATTTCAACCCCCACGGCCCCACGGGCTTTTTTCCCCAACAGTCAAGTTGGTGGCGATGAAATTCCCATTGGAGTTTGTCTGAGATCATGGTTACCGCCACTAAAACCCCCACATCTCATAGTTTATACGTGATTTTCCTAACTGGAATATACTCAAATGGCCAGCTTTGAGGCATCCCAGCATCCCCCAATTCTTGGGCCAAGCCATCTTTTGTTGACACAAAAACCACAGGTGGTTGGCTGAAGTCCTCCGCAAGAGCAGGCACTGCAGCCAACAAAAACAGACGCCACAAGAATGACCTGGCTGAAGTGTGGCAGTCAAGGGGTACACAACGTATGCTGAATGGAGGTATACAACATGGTTTAAGTATCCGAAAAATCCGGCGACGCGATGGTACCTCATTTTGACCCATACCCAAAGAATTGAGATATTTTGAGATGCTTATCCAACTCTTGGTCTTTGGTGGGACAAACTTCTTGGCAATGCGGCACTGGGCTCCAAGCGTCATGGATCGCTCTTTTTTAGTAACAGAGAAATTTCTTGAAAGCTTATGGAAAGCTACCGATTTGAGCTCAACGCAGCCAGGATGGTAATGGAAGAACAGTCGACATATTACATCCGTTTCATGACAGTCTCAACTGGAGGCCAAAGGGGAGGTGGAGCATTTCAGCCATGGAAGTCCATCATATTCATGTCAATACATTACATTAACAGCAGTTTCAGGCATTTTCAGCGAGTGTTTCCAGGTGTGCAAACAAGCGTCCGCCTCCACAATGCTCCACAGCATTCTCAAAAACCCTTCGGGAAAAGATGATGAACATTGGATGAACATTCACTTTTTGTTAACTTTTCAAACAACTTCCCACAACACTTCCACGGCCAAACTTTTTTCGGTCCGTTGGGCCGTCCGCGTCCGGTGCCTATGGCAGCGAGGGAAAACCCCTGCTTCAAGGCACTCTGACTCAGTCTGCTACAAATTCCATGGTAAAAGTGCATTCGTCGGAAGGTCACCAAGCAAAGCCTCGGAACATAGGAATTACTGCGCTATGTTTTGGGCTCGCATTTCGGAGCACTTCAAGTCAGCACATTTTGGGGACGTCAACTAGCCCATCTCCTCCACTGGCTTGATTCCTGGTGCACCGAACCACATGGAAACAGCATACGATTGCGCAAAGAAAACAAACCTTCAAGTGTGCCTTGCGCAACACGCCACATGTCCGTGAGTTGGGTCCAACGGTTCTTCCTCTTGGGTCCTTGTTTGGCGCTGCAGAGGTCCCACACCATGTCGCTGACCTGGTTTTTGCGAACAGAAAGATCTGCAGCTCACCTTAAGGCACAAATGCGGGACCCAATTCGATTGGCAACAGGCTCTCAAAAAGAAGTTGCAACTCCATTCGGACTGTGAACTAAGGGCGAGGCAACAAACCTGGAGACAAGCCTGTCAAGGTGGTTTTCTTGTCAGCAGCTTCTAACAAGCACATGGAAGGCATAAACATACGAAGAGCACATATAGAATCATATACATCACTTGCCTCGTTTCGGTTGCTCTGCTCTCATTGGAGCATGACAGGCCACTAATGTAAGGAAGGGTAATGACAACACCTGCAAACTCTAAGGAGTGAACAAGCTGCATCAGATTCAATCAATGTGACTTGCAAATCTTGGAAGACCTTCTTTCTTGTCTTTCTTTCGAATGAATGACTGAACAAAAACCATGTCCATTGAGACCAACTCGCGGTGTCGAGACAAGCCAAAAGTGCTAAGCCAGGCAAAATGACGCTACCGTTTCAATGATTCAAAAGCTCAAAGCGTGACCGGAAGCATTGCTGTTTCAAAAGCGTAGAACGGAAAAACCTGTCGCGGTGTCGAAAAAAACGAAAAGTGCTAAGCCAAGCAAAGTGCAGCTGCATTGCGCATGGCAAACAGAATGTTTCAAATGCTTGGGATCTGTAAAGTGGATCCTTTTTCCATCTTTTTCCACTCACACATCCTCACCTTCCACGCTTTGAACCCCTGCAGCGAGACCCGAGAGTTGTCGCAGAAAGGGTGGGATAAGGGCAACGAGGTCCTCTTGCTGCAAGCAAAAAAAGTGCGTGTCAGCCTTCAAATCCTCGGTTTCTGCATAGTTGGAGCCGACTATAGCAAGGAAGGCCACAAGCTGCAAGGAGTCACTGGCAGAGCGGATCTCCTCCGCTGCTTGCAGCAAGGCTGCCTTTTGTTCATTCTGGGCTTTGGCCTCAGTCAGTGTGTTGGATTTCACCTGAACAGCCACAAAACTGTTATGATCTTGGCAGAAGATGACAAAATCAACTGCCTTGCAGTTGGGCGGAGCCATGATCACCAGCAAGGGTTGCTCTTTGCCCTTCTGTTGGCTTAGTTCCACGGCTTTTTCCAAAAATGACACTGACTTCTCATCTGCATCCTCCTTGCTTTTCGTAGCAAGTTCTTCATCCTGCAAGAGCGAATCATCAAGGCCGATGTCGCAAATGCTGCTTGCAGTACCCTGTGTCAGAACCGATGGCAGCTTCTTGTACTTCCTCACGATCGCAAACATGGCAGCAAAAGCCGCCACAATTTCAGTGAAGTACGAGCTGGCTTGTTTCATGGTCTGGACGTTGCTGCTCTCAATGGCATCGAGTTTGTTTTTATATGCCCTGCCGGCCAAACCCATGAGTTTGGCACATCTCGGTGGCAGGTTCTTGTGAGTTTGCATCTGCGTGAAGAAGCGGGCTGCATGCCACGGAGCAACAGTTGGGAGGTACAAGACTTGCATCCTCCCCTGCGTAAGCGAGTCTATTAGGACACTCCCTTTGTAGGTGGCTTCAGGCATCAGATTCACAATTGTCATCCGAGACAGAAAAGAAGGATCTTCTCGTTCCCATATCTCTAGTAAAGATTCCAGATTGCCCGTGGAAAACATTGGGGGCAAGTTATTAACTTCTGCAAGGTGTGTTGTGGCCCTGGAGACAACTCCAGCTTCAAGACCTTGGGCAAAGTCGCTGATGTATATCGCCATCTTCTCAATGGCCCGTGCGTAGCCGCCAGTAGCTCCCCAGGCAAGAACAATTCGGTACTCCAAGATGTCCCTCTTGATACCTTTTGCCTGATTCTGCTGCAGTTCATTGAGCTTGGCAGAAAAAAGGTCGTAGGCTTCAGTACCCAGCACTGTTAAAGTGTGAATGTACACCTCTCGCTGGCTGCCCCTGAACATCTTCACAACTGCTTCGTAGTTGGTGAGACCAGACATCACGACAAAAATTTGGCCTCCCCAACGGTCCATGGCTCTGCAAAGCTCCTGGCGCACCAAAGCTTCGTCCTTCGACTTCCCAACCTCGTCGGCCAGGATCACAACGGGACGGTCACCGTACCAGCTGCGCAGGATTTCCACAGCTAAATCGATGTCAATCGAGTCAATCTCCCGAGATTTCCATGTTCTTAAGAAGTCACGCCACTCGCACGTTGTCCTGCTCATGTGCCTTGCGGCACCATAAAGAACCCGCAGCGCCAAGTCAGCCTCTGGATTGTCACTGATAATCAAACCCATTCCAGAGTTGTAGGTGAAAGCCGAGACGATCGGTGTCTGGTTTTTGCCATCCAGGTCGTACAGCATGGGAATCTCCTCTCCAAGCACGGCCAGGAAATGGCTCTTGCCTGCTCCAGGTGCCTGCGCCACTAGGATGGCTGGCGAGAAAGCCTTGTCTGACGAACGTTTGCCAAACAATTTGTTTGACCTTTCCAGCAACATCTCCACAATAAGTTGCACTTCCTGCTCACGATCTAGAAGCTGTGCCTTCAAATTGGTCTTTTGCAGGGCCAGTTCCCCGTTGAACGGGCCCCTGCCCAAGTCGACAATGTACGAAGACGCTGAAGAATAAGTGGCCTTTCTGTCATTCAGCGGCACATCTTCAAAAAGCAGCGTTCCAAGAAGCTTTGCCGCTTCATCTGGCAAGAGAGAGAAGTCTGGGCCCACCTGGAGCAAGAGACAGCTGACATCTTCTACTGTCTGTTTGTATGTTAAGTCTGTTAAGTGTTGGCGATTCTCTGGTACTTTCAGTCCTGTGTACCATCCTGCTGTTTACCTTGTGATTTGGGGTTCATTCATCTTTTGGAGGCATACTGAAGGTATTCACTGAAGAAACAGAACCTATTGAACCAAAGAATGTGAATCATTTGAAAATATGCGAAGTTCCTCTGCATCTTTCGGGATAACTGTGAACTGAAGCTGCACAGCGAATGGCCTTCTCCTCCGCCTCTTTCACTTCCTTCTTCGCCTTTTCCACCTTCTCCTTTTCCACCTTCTCCTCCGCCTCTTTCACTTCCTTCTTCGCCTTTTCCACCTTCTCCTCTGCCTTTTCCACCTTCTCCTCCGCCTCTTTCACTTCCTTCTTCGCCTTTTCCACCTTCTCCTCCGCCTCTTTCACTTCCTTCTTCGCCGTTTCCACCTTCTCCTCTGCCTTTTCCACCTTCTCCTCATTTCCCGATTCTCTGGCTTTTCGCAAGTCTTCGATTGCCATGGCCGCTTGCTCCTCTGCCCTTTTGACTTGTGCCAGTGCCTGTTCTACTTGCACTTGTGCAGCTGCTTGCTTGTCCAAAGCAAGTTCCCGCTGACGCCGTGCAAAAGTCAAGGCATCAACCTGTCACAAGAGCTCATAGCGGAGCCAGTTTTTGCGGAACAAAAACTAAAAATGAAGACAAAGTGGAAATGAGGATATACGGAATGAAGACTAAGTAGAACGTCTCTTCAAATGATATGGACTAAATGCTCTTCTCTTCATCTGCAGTCCACGCAGCCTGCAAAAAAAAATAACTCTGACGACTTCTGTCTTTCTGAAAGCTAGCAAGTCTGTTCTTCTTCTGTTTCTTCTGGCTTCTGTTTGTAGAAACAAAACTGGACGCTAGATGACAAATCTGGAGCGAACACGTCACATGTGACATGTTGAAGCGAAGCAAAAGCAAAGTTGCTTGTTTTAAGCTTTGAAGATGAAACGTGAAGCAACGGCATTCAATTGAACAAAGTGAAGTTGTCGGTTAAAGAGGACAAAGGCCGAAGGCCCTGTGCCTCATCTGCGGCTTCCTGCAGGCTGGAGAAATGCTTCAAAGCACTTTGACTCAGTTGTCTGTTGCAATTTTTTCGACACATGTTCATTCTTCGTAAGGTCACCAAGCACAGCTTAAAGGGAACATAGGAATTACTGCACTCCGTTTGGGTTCGCATTTCCGAAGGAGCAGTTCAAGCCAGCACTGAGTTTTAGTGAAGTCAGCCAGCACATCTCCTCGACTGGTTTGATTCCTTGTGGGTCCTGCGCCAAACCAAATGGAACAGCGTACGATTGCGCCAAAAACGCGCAACGTTTAAGTTTTTGCCTGAAGTGCGCAACGCACAATACGTCTATGAGTTGGGTGCAACGGTTCTTCCTCTTGGGTCCTTGTTTGGCGCTGCAAGCAGAGGTCCCACACCATGTCGCTGACCAGGTTTTTGCGAACAGAAAGTTCTGCATGGGCTCGCCTTAAGGCATAAATGCTGCCAGATCCAATTCGATCGCTAATAGACTCTCGATCGAGCCGTAAGTTGCAACCCCACTTTGGGATCTTTCAGCTAAGGGTGAGGCAACAAACCAGAACACAAGCCACGCTGTAGCCAAAATGATCCAGCCTGTCAAGGTGTATTTCTATGTATTTCTTGTCAGCAGTCAGACAGAGCGTATTGAAAGCATAAACATATGAACAGCAAAGGAAAATATAGACATCACTTGCCTCGTTTCGGTTGCTCTGCTCTCATTGGAGCATGACAGGGCCACTAATGTAAGGAAGAGTAATGACAACACCTGCATCATCTAAGGAGTGAACGACTCGATCAACGTGACTGGCATGACATATCAAGTGTTCAAAGCACATCACGGTTTTTGAAGATAATCTGTCTTGTTTGGAATCAAGTCGTTCAAATCATGTCCATTAAGACCAACTTGCGGGGTCGACACAAATTCTCTGAGCAAGGCAAAATGCTGCATTTTCCACATGTCATGCTCCAGTGCCGCAATGTGCCGTGCTGTTGCATTGGCCCATGAAGGCACGGACAGAATCTTCGCAGCAGCAACGGACAATACACTTTTGTCCCGAGGCAGTGCAATCGAACTGGGATAAAGATGGATATTCAGGTCAACCTCAGTGATGATGTACTCACTTGGGCATCACTCGCCTCTGAAAACAACTCAACCGTAACCACTGGCATTGCTTGTTCAAAAATGTAGCAGCGAACGGAAAAACTACCATCCATCTATCATCCAATACTTGTTAGTAAATACCTGTGTACTGAAAATTGAACAAAATTACAATGTTTATCACAATGATCCCTTTTTGTTCCCATTAGTAACCAGTTTCATGTATATCTTTTCAACATCAATCAGCCGCCATTGCATGGTGGAAGCATTGATGCAGGTTGCTAGGGCGCTACGGAGTTTGGGAAGCAAAGGGTCAGCCCCAAATCATCGATGAAAACCATGGATGTTTTGGCGCTGGGTGTGTCCCAAAATAGCCAAAATAGGAGTACCCTGGGTACAGTCAAACCTGGTTTTTGGAACATGATGGCTATTTTGGACTTACCGGCTTACCCCATTTTGAGACAAGCGCATCTATTTTGAGGTATAAAGTCCCTGCTTCTGCGTGCGCAAGGCCTGGTGATGGTGGCTATACGTTCAGATATGACGAAATGTTTGACGAAGTGTTTTGGACGTCTCGTCTTCACAGAACTTGTCCATTTCCAAAGCATCCACCCCTCCAGGTTTCTCCTTCGGCTCAGAACAGGTGCCACTGCAAGTGCTGAAAAAACTTCGCGGCGGCCGGCACCAGCAGCGAGACCTATCCCGTTGTTACACTGCCAGTATCATACAATGTTCATTGCGTCAATGTCCTACCAACCTCCCTCAAACATTTCCAACCATTTCAAACCTTAAACAAAAACAGCAACCGAATCTGAGAGATTCCACGCTGCAGACATGGGCCAGCCTGGCTTCTGACCAGCAGCAAGCTGAGGAAAAGTGCTCGCGAGCCTCCATGCAAATCGAGATCAGTGGATGGCAATATCAAAACAAGGCCGATTCTGTCGACATCATGCTGATTCATTCACTGATTCATGCTTATTCTGTTGATATTTCTTCATGGATATAAAATGACAATAAAATGATATAAACCGGGCCAATGATAATGATCACACTCGAAATGTTATTCCTTTTGCGAAATGTGAGGTCACTTTTGCCGCCACAAGCTGGCCGAGAGACCCGAGCAGGACATTGCCACTTGGCTCAAAACGCGACCTCCATGAAAACCCTGCTGAAATATGCTGCAAACACTTGCCATCTTAAACAACTTGAAAACATTCTTAAACAACGAACGACCAAAAGATCCAATGGACAAAGTACGGATGCAACTTGCAACAGCGACTGCGAAGCAAGTGCCTGTGACCATCCCGATACTTTGACCACTTCAATCAGCACAAATTCATCATGTTTACTCGCAATGTGATAGAGAATATATGATAATATATGCGCCGCGAAAAGTATTTGGTAGATCATATATATATATATTATATTCATTCAACGAGGTGTTCCTACCTGATTCTCCACTCCCGTACCGTAGTTGGGGGCCTGACCTCGTTTTCCAACTCTCCAACGCTGCACTTGTTTTGGGTTTGTTTTTGGCGCCGGCACCTAAAAGGTGCCGTGCGTCCGTGGCCTTTTTCTACATTCCTTATGTACTTGTCCATTATGTCTTGGTGGGGTGGGTTGGGGGGTGGATTGGGGCAATAACGTCCTGGCTCTTGCGTACTTATTAAATTTTATTAGCTAGTGCTACATCACAAGAACTTCTCTAGACTTCGTGCTACGCTATGATGGTTTCTCTTGTCCTCCTTAAAGAACTTCCAGCTACGTTAATTGATGCTACGTCACAAGAACTTCTCTAGACTTCATGCTACGCTATGATGGTTTCTCTTGTCCTCCTTAAAGAACTTCCAGCTACGTTAAGACATCAATTAATTGATGCTACGTCACAAGAACTTCTCTAGACTTCATGCTACGCTATGATGGTTTCTCTTGTCCTCCTTAAAGAACTTCCAGCTACGTTAAGACATCAATTAATTGATGCTACGTCACAAGAACTTCTCTAGACTTCATGCTACGCTATGATGGTTTCTCTTGTCCTCCTTAAAGAACTTCCAGCTACGTTAAGACATCAATTAATTGATGCTAGTCACAAGAACTTCTCTAGACTTCATGCTACGCTATGATGGTTTCTCTTGTCCTCCTTAAATAACTTCCCGCTACGTTAAGACATCAATTAATTGATGCTACGTCACAAGAACTTCTCTAGACTTCATGCTATGCTATGATGGTTTTTCTTGTGCTTTTATATAACTTCCAGCTACGTTAAGATAAATATAAACCATGTGAAGAAAACTGGAAGTCAGCAGTGTGACAGAATTTGGGAACACGTTAAGAAGTCCATCCCCCAAATCAGTCAACAGTCGATCCTGTGATGGTTACTCAAATACGACCAACATGCCTCGTACCAATGCATTTTGCGATTTTTCCACTCCACCTGTCTAAAGTACTGCGCCTGCCACAAAAAAAATATGCCAGGTCATACGAAGTGTTGCACCTGTCAGGCAAAATCATCTCATCAAACCTATAGATCTGATGCTCCAAAATGCAACCCCTCTCAGGAAATCAGCGCCCTAACCTCCTAACATCTCTCATTTGTACTGTGCCTGCCACGCGACATGCATCTTTGCAGCGCCCGCCATCGTTTTTGGAAATGCAACAAAACCCTCACGTTTTGCTCACTTTTGGCCGGGTGGAGAATCCCTCGCGCCTGCCACACAAAACGACGCTTCAACGTCCGAAAGTCAGTGCGAAGCCCATGCCCCAAGCAGCAATATCTTCTGCTCCACGGAGAGGAAGAAAACTTCTTCCCAAATGAGGACCCAAAACCTCTGGTCATTTCTGATCCATTGGGGGCCACAAATCAAAAATGCTACTTTGAACAACACTGAGTCCCTCGTCCACCTGTGGAGTGCTCGTGGATGCAGTGCGATCCGAAGCTGGAGGCATTTTGGGCGGCCTCAGCTGGGAGCTGTGAAAAACACAGCCCATTACGTCATGACCTCATGGTTTTTGATGTTTTTGGATGCTTTTTGGCAGGTGACTGAGATTTCGAAAGATACTTATTATATATTGATTTGAACTCTCATATTGCATATTCTCTTGGCATCTCTCACTTGTGATTCGGATGCTTGTCTGGCACCTAGCCTTTCATGTAAACACAATCTGCAGAAATCTACAGAGACCTGGCTGAACAGACATGACCTCAATACATAATTTAACATTTAAACGCTTTGTGGATGGTAATTGAATAACTTTACAGAATGGTCTCGAGCATCCTTTTCCTTGGCCTGGACGGCAGCTTCGATTGATCATTCCTGCTCCAGCCTTCGGCTTAATCCGGGAACCGGGTGCATGTTACAGTCTCACCTTTTCCTCTTGCGCATTCTGGTGAGGCCCTCCCTGGAGGATAGCCACCACTTGGCTGGCCCAGCCCAGACTCCCATTGAGGATGTCGCGGGAACTGGATCCAAGCTATGTCATTAAACCACGTTAAGAATCTGGTTGTTTGATGATGGATATATTTGGAAACAGTGCCCAAAAGTTTTCAAAGCTCAGCTCCCTCTCACAGCTTTCGCTGTGGAGGAGTTGGCTACGGTCAGATTGACCAACTATACACACTGGCTTGCGGCAATCACTAGCCTGTCCTCGGGTGTGATACACAAAAGCCAATCAAGGCAAGCAAGGCCTGCTATTATTGGTACCACTGGGATTTCTGACCAAGAACACGATCTTCTCAAGGCCAAAATATTGAAACGTGACAATCCTTAGCCCATTGGCGACTTCAGGAATTTAATTAGTTGCATCCCAAGCCTCGTAAGAAATGCTCTGAAATAATTTGAAATTCTGGCTTCATGTCACCAAGTTTGCCAGTACCTGAGCTGCAGCGTTAGTCAGTGCTTTGGAGTTTACAATGGCAGTTTCTGTTCTCTGTTTCGAAGGTGTTTAAACCTGATTCAGTGATGGAAGTCTACCGAACCCTATTGGTAAATCCATAGGTGTGTCAAGGACACAGGCAGTGGTATCAGTGGTGTCCCTACGCGAGATGGCAGCCATGATACCGTCTGGTCCTTGATATGCCATGCCACATCTGCTTGTTCCGCCTGCGAAACATCCTCGACTGTAAAGAAACAGGTCCGTGGTCGGCGGTGTGGCCTCCCCTCCTGGGCCGCAAAGGGTGGAGAATCCTACAAGTCCCAGATCTTTTAGTTCCTCCTGTATCAAACTTCAGGGTGATGAGTATATATATATGTATACATATGTGTACATATTTTGTATACACAGTATATATATATATATGTGTGTGTTATATATATATGTATGTATGTAAACATGAACGTATACATATACATACACATGTGTATAAGTAAATAAAAATATATATATGTATGTATGTGTATATAGATGCATGTGTATATATATATGTATATATATATGTATAATGTGTATATATAAATATTTATACTAAACACTTCATAATATGTAAACATATGTGTATAAATACATATATATATATATCCCCAAAGAACCGTATTTCACACTTCGTTGTTTTGCCAAATATTGCTCTTGTTTTTGTTTTTCCGATGTTTTTTTGTGTTTTTTATTTTCCACGGAGTCCTCTCAAAGAGACTGTGTCCAAGCTACTATCCAGAAGACTTCTTAAACATACAGCTCCAATGATACACACACACACGCACGCACATATGCAGACATGCATATAAGATAGATGGCAGCCCCCATTGATCCCACCAATGTATCATAGACATATAAATACGGATCTTGGGGGGCACCGTATATATATATATACATACATATGTATATATGTATATATAGCCTCGTCCCCGCTTCTGGAACCGCGCAAACCTGAATTAGGTTGGTAAAACTTGTCCATTCCGTGACGAAATTTCGTCGCGGAATTAACAAGTTTCATTAGGGTCATTATCATCATCATCATTATCATGATGATGATGATGAAGATGATGATGATGATGATGATGATGATGATGATGATAATGACCCTAATGAAACTTGTTAATTCCGCGACGAAATTTCGTCACGGAATGGACAAGTTTTACCAACCTAATTCAGGTTTGCGCGGTTCATGAACGTTAACATCCTGCCGCAAGGTCACATGAACGTTAACATCCCACCCCACCCCCCCCCACCCCGCATGTGCGTAGCATCCACTGCTGCCGCAAGTTCACATGAACGTTTACATCCTGCCGCAAGGTCACATGAACGTTAACATCCCACCCCACCCCACCCCCCACCACCCCATGTGGTTCCAGAAGCGGGGACGAGCCTATATATACATGTATATATGTATATATACATGTATATATATATATTTATACACGTGTAAATAAATACGCAGATACAAATAGATACATGTATATATGTATATATACATCTGTATATATATATACACATGTATATACATGTATATATGGTCCCGGCCGGCGGCCGGCAACCCCCCCCAATGGTATCCCCCCCATATATGTATATATGTTTATATGTTTATATGTATATATGTATATACGTATATATGTACATATGTATATATGTATATACACATGAAAAACATATATATGTGTATATATATATATATTTAGATATATGTATCCCCCCCTGCATTCCGTCTCTGACACCTCTGGAGTCACGGTTCTTCACAGTGTACATACATACATACATACATACATACATACATCCATACCATACCATACCATACCATACCATACATTACATACATTACATACATTACATACATTACATACATTACATACATTACATACATTACATACATTACATACATTACATACATTACATACATTACATACATTACATACTTACATACATACATTACATACATTACATACATTACATACATTACATACATTACATACATTACATACATTACATACATTACATACATTACATTACATTACATTACATTACATTACATTACATACATTACATACATTACATACATTACATACATTACATACATTACATACATTACATTACATTACATGACATTACATGACATTACATTACATTACACATTACATTACATTACATTACATTACATTACATACATTACATTACATACATTACTTAAATACATACATACATTACTTAAATACATACATACATACATTACATTACATTACATTACATTACATTACATTACATTACATTACATACATACTTACATACATTACATACATACATACATAACTTACCTTACCTTACCTTACCTTACCTTACCTGACCTGACCTGACCTGACCTGACATACATACATGCATGCATGCATGCATACATACATACATACATGCCTATACCTACCAACCTACGTAGGTACATACATACTACACCCAACCCACCCCACAGGGGGGGGGCGGGGAAGCAGAGGTACCTTGCATGATAGTTGGATTCCAGGGAGGTAGTACACCCAATCCTAGGAACCATCCCCATCGCGGGGGGAGAAGGGGGGGGTTGCAGGCCTGTACCATATATATATATATATATATATATGTGTATACATGTATATATATATACATATGTATATATATATACACATGTGTATGTTGATTTGGGGTACTGGATTGCGCTGGCAAATTGAAAATTGAAACCTTCCCGTGGCTTGAGTCCTAACTGAGTCATGAAGAATAAGTTTGAGTGAGGAGGCGATGGGGAATCCCTGTTTGGTCCAGGTGCAACATTTCAGCTGGGATGAGTGATTTCTACCTGGAAAGAAGCATAATATGCATACATATATATATAGTATACATACGCTAGATTGCAGCACTGGTCTCAAAGTTTCACAGATAGATTTCAGGCGTCCAAAGGAGGATAGAACTCGGCACTACTAGACCATTTTTTACTATCCTTTGCTGTCCATTTTTCTGCTTGATGGCTATTGGATAAACTCCAAGAAATCCCAACCAGTCTCCGCGCACCTCAGGGAGACCCAGACCTCTCTCGCGCACGTGAGCCTTCAAAACGTCCATGACCAGTTTGGAGGTGTTGTAGTCCTTGGTATCAATGGATTTGAAGGAAACATACTGAAGAAACCATCTTTGCAAAGCCACATTTAGGGTTTTCCTTTAAACTAATCCCTCAACCATGCACAAGCTTAGTCACAGTCGTGTGAAACACTTTGGCCTTTGCCAAGTCGGATACATATGGATGAAATGATGAAAGCAATCCATCATTCCTCAACCCAAGCAGACTGGAAACGGGAACATATAGAACAACTCCAAGAGTCATAGTGGTGTAGTGGTCTCTGGAGCACAATAACTTCAGGGTTCATGATCAGGGCGCGCGACAAATGCAACTTCACCTTCTCAGTGTATGTGAGTCCATCCAGCCAAGTCCCGGCTTCCTGGCGTGAAATTTCACAACCACAGGAAAAAGTCAATGGGCAGGGACACCTAACTGGCAGCTAACAAATCTGGGCTAATGAGCCGATCTGGGCACCCCCTTAAAAAAGAAAGCTGTCACTCGTGGTTGGGTCCTTGGACGTCGTGGCTATTTGCTAAGATCCCTGCCGGCCAAGGGTTGGAAACTGGAATCGTCCTAGGAGTCTGACGAAGTTTCCTAGGTCTTGCTGCCCAGATTCTTCGTATGTATTGCTATTCTTGGGGCTCTCTTCACCCTCAGCACCTTTCGCATGTCTGAGAAGGTCTTCTTCAATCAGACTGAGCGTTGCCTTCATCTCCATCATCTCCAAGATCAGGCGCACGCGATTCGCGTCCACCAAACTCGTATCGGGACATCCGAACAGCAGGTTTTTCCATGGGCTGGAATTCAGCATCAGAGCTTCCTGCGTCACATGCAGCACCTCAGTCATCAAAACCATTCCCAAGCCACTACTAATGTGATAAACCCAAGAACAAACCTATCATTGCGATGTTTTTTACATCTTTTTACCAAGTCATTTCTGGCAATAAGATGGATTTCTTGGGTTCACAATAAAGGGATACGAATATGGGCCTCAGCCTCCCATCTGCCAAGGCGCCCGAAGATGCGATGGGATAAAGATGGATCCCTCCTGAGGGAAAACCACATGGCCCAGCAGTCGCAGCAGTGTGGCTTTCCCCGAGCCATGTGGCCCCGTCACGGCGACCAGCTGGCCCTGTTGTGCTTGAATGCTGACCTTTTCGGTACATGTTGAAAGCGACATGGCAGTGAGGAATGGATCATTATGGAGCAAGTGGCTGAATCATCTTCGGACATCTGAGAAAGGACTGTCCATTTAATGCATTTGCGAGGAGACCAAAGAGAGTCAGGGCATAAAAAGATTAAAAATACATTACTCATTGTGCATCATTATACTGTACATGGGTCTAAAATGACCAACACCACCACCAAAGGACATTGGTGAAAATACTTTTGCCATGGTGGGTATAGCTGATGCCATCCATCCTGAGCACAGCCGAGCACGCGGAAACATCTTTGCAGCCAATCTCGGGACACTTGGCGAAACAATTCATCATCCACCAACTCTGCCAATGTTTCACAACAAACTACATCATATATATATATGTTTCCCATATAATATAGATAGGTAGATATACACATATATATATGATTACAACATATATAAATATATATAAATATATAATATATAATTATATATAATATTGCTCCTTTAAGAAATTCTCCGTCCACATCCACAACCCCAGGTCCTGATGGGGATCAGGTCCGTCTTGTATGCTCCAGCTGCGACCTTGCCATCATCGGCGCTGCCGGGAGTCGCATCCTTCGGCTGAGCCAGCAAGGCGTCGCGTTCCTTCTTGGTGTTTTCCCTGCGCTGCCGATTCCTGGGCTGGGCTAGGAGCGCAGAGTTCTAAATGTGAAGAGTTCGGTGGATGATCTAAACATATCCATATCATGTAACATTCATGTTGGACTATCCATTGATTATCAATGATTGGCAGACTGATGACTAAATATAACGATTATCAACATCCTTCAACGCTAAAAGCTGATTGCATGCATGGTTCACTTTCTTCCACATCAACAAGTCAGTTTCTTTGTTGAAATACACTGTCAACTTCTTCATGGGCGCGCAAAATTCCTGCAAATCCAGGATGGTTGAGTAGGCTCTGGAAAACTGATCGCTGATGCTGGAAAGGATACTGATGGTTGCAAGGAACGTACCTTGGAAACGCCGCATGCACCGAAACGTCTGAAATGGATTGGCCGATCACGATCTAAACTCGGTCCGTGGTTGTGGAATAAACCCTCACCGGGGACACTTTGTTTGACAATTCTTCGACATGTAAACGACATAGTTTGGATAGCTTTGTGGGGGACGTAGTTCAAAACGTCATTTAGCTTCCGCATCTTACAAATAGACAAACAAGCTTTGATGGGACAAATTCCGGGAAGAAACTTTGACAAACTAGACGACGGATGGCCGGAGAGCGTAGAGGAGCAGGGTCTTCTGTTGTTAGTATTGAGACACTATATATTACAAGACAATATATCGAAGATGCAGTATAGGCAGACGAGAAGAGTAGTATCAAGACAATATTTTACAAGTACAAGGCAATAGTTTATATAGTATCCTTCGTATAGTTTTTCACACACAGAACCTTTACACACAGACACTTTTACACACAGACTTTTACACAAAGACACTTTTACACACAGACTTTTACACAAAGACACTTTTACACACAGACGCGTTTACACACAGACGCTTTTACACACAAAAGCTTCGCAGGTCACCTGCGCCTTTCCCCCAGAAGATCACCGTGCTTCCTCGGGTGTTTTGGCCTCGGGCCTTGCATGGCTCCCCTGCGTGTGTATTTGCAGAAGGCTATCTCGCCATGCTGCGCAGGGCAGCAACTAAGGCACTCGGGGTCAATGGCGCTGGCTCTAACCCGATGTTGTGGCTTTGCCTCACAGACAATATGCAGAATGATCCAGGGGTTTTTACCAGCTTTGTCATTGCATTTCTACTTTGCGAAGATTGACAAGGAAAACACCTGATCTTTTGCATTGGTGAAGGCTGTGGCACAGCCATTTTTCAGGCAAGTTGACACCTGGCCCGTTTACAAAAGTCACCACATGTTTGAATCAGATTGGATGGCAAGTTCTGGAACCGCCTTGGGTGGGGGACCATGATCAACATACTTGGAATCTTCTTCAAGTGGATGACAAATCACTTACTGCACTTTTGCATGGTGCTTGGTGTCAATATTTGGCTTCGAAAGGCAACCATCGTACCATGCCTGACCTACATGGCATTGACTACTGCCTGACCTCTCTTGACTTTACTCGGCTTCAACTGCTGGAACGTGCTCTTCTTGCGGCACTGCAGTCTGGGGCTTTTGTTGGCTCAAGCGAGCATGCAAAGTATGACATAGAGAAGTTTTCGGTATGTGGAATTTGCAACCAGGAAGATGATCGGGCCCACTGGCTGATTTGCCCTCGATTTCAACACTTGCAAGCTGTTTCCAACTGGTATTCTGACAATGTTGAACTTCCGAGCTGCACCATCTTTCACCTTTTGTTTCCACGGAAAGATAGCATGGGTTCACTGGAAGACTGCGTTGCTTCAGATCGAGGACAGGGTCAATCTTTTTCTGTTTGAACCCAAAGGGGATGAAATGCAACACTTTTTTACGGATGGGGCTTGTTCTGTTCCTACCCACAAATGTTTGAGCCTTGCGGCATGGGGGGTTCTTTGTGCGAAGGCCTGGCGAATTGGTGGCTTTGGGTCACCTGAACGGTCTTACTCAGACCATGGATGGGGCTGAACTGACTGCATTGCTGGCGGCAACCAGATGTACTTTCGAAGCAGACCTCTGCATCTGGAGTGACTCATTTTCGAGCGTTCAGATGGCGGAGTTCACCCAACAACATGGGCATGCGCCTACTTCGGCGGAAAACTATGATCTCTGGCTGCAATTTTTGGATGCCTTGAAAATGCGTGAGGGCAGGCGATCTCTTTTTCGTTGGGTCCCTTCGCACGTGCACCCTTCTCTGGCTGAAGATTCTTATGAAGCTTAGATCTTCACATGGAACAATGTCATAGATGAGCTGGTTTCATCTTGGAGTCGTCACCGTGATGAGAGTTTGAAGCAGAATCATGATCGACTTGAACGCAACATTGGAGTGGACGTGTTTGGCAGCTACGTTGTTTCTACTTTTTGGTTGCGGCTCAGACAAACCCAAATGGTGAAGCAAGCTCACACACACACACACCATCTCTGGAACACCAAGTCATTGAGATTGCCTTGGAGACTGATGAACCTGTTCCTTCGGCATCAATCTCTGATCAGCTCCCAGTGAATTGGCAAATGAAGTGTAGACAAACTCCGGGCAAAGCACCTTGAATTTTCATTGAATCCATTTTGCAGTGGCTTTGTGCTACTGAGCAGTTGGGAGATTGAATGGTTCGTTTGACTGACATTGAGTGGGTTTTCTTGTTAATTGGGGTCGATGGCTTTCAGTTTCCTTTTCAGCTTGATGGGTCGACCAACTGGACAATGAGACCTTTGGACAGTTTGTTCCAGAGGCCCACACTTACGATGTTGCTACGGCCTGTGCATAGTGCCTTGCAACAACTTTCTTTACTCTTCCCTGATGCCATTCACCAGCTAAGGAGCTCGGTGTGTACATGCCATTTTGGGGCATCCTGTTCTGCCTGCCTGATTCAATGCTGCAGCAGGCACAGGAGAGATTGCAATGATTCACCCAAAGCCGTGCTGTCCGGAAGGCAGCGGACTTAGCTAGGCCGTTGACCTAGTGCAAGGACTGTTGGCTGCTGCACCGCATGCTGCTGTGCACAGTTGACAGAAGACTGTCCGAGCCAAAGGTATACGGTACGATACGGTATACCCCAAAACTGCATAAAACTGCCATATATTACTGGGGAAAGGGATGATCACTGATGGGCGCCCAGGTACCCAAGGTGATCTTCCCATCGAGCACCAGCCTGGAATCAATGATGATGTAGAGAGCAATAAAAAACGGCCCCAACCACTTGGGGAACATGTCATCGTGCACATCCGCCGTGTGCTTTCGAAGAAATTTCCTGGCAAAGACAAAACTTGTACTGAGCAGAGCAAGACATGAAAACACATAATGTATTCAAGAAATAATAGTGTCTGAAAGAACAATAGACTTCAACATAGCTTGCCTTACCCAAAACATTCCCAAAACTGTATTACCACCCCCTGAGAATCATCAACCAATCCTTCTTTATCTACTAAACATCCCATTGCTGTGATGGTTATATAACCCCCACTACCCCCAGTTGAAAAACACCCAAATAAATAATATATGTATATATATATATTATATAAGTAATTATAAGTATATATAAGTTATATAAGAAAATCTTGTGCCATGTTGTGTCAAGGTCTCGTCCGCAAACTGCCACTAGCTACTGAGAAGGCCTCATTCATTTGAGGCCTCTGGAAGTAATCAGCCACCAAGCGATAGCGATTGCAGGCATCCCAAACGATCCGCAACACCAAGGCCTCGGCCTCTTTCCATTGATCCACTCGGCCACGACAAAGGTATACCAAGCCAAAGTAAATTGCCATACAAGTTGGCATTGCAATGACAAACCATACTGCTGTGATGTTTGACCTCAGTTGGTCAGTTGGAAGCCAAAACACTGCAACTCTCAGATCTTTCAAACGTAGGGCCTACGTTCCGCTGGTAACAATCGCAAGAACATGGCGATCGTCTTTCAACAGAAACCGAATCTTCGCACAATATGATTTCGTCATCAGTCCTTGAGAGTGCAACACATGGCTCAATTCCATTGTCCTTTTACAACCTTCATGGTAAGTCGAACATGTTTCTGCTGGTTGAGTTTGCGAAACATCCCCACGAAGCATGGGAGCACGTGGGGGATCATGAAGACTTCTGAGGAGGCGACGAGATGGTAAAGTAGGTAAAAACGATCAACTCGGCAATAATGCCAATCAAATCCAGCAGCTTCGTGTATGCACCAGTTGCACCACCTGGCAGTACAGAAAAAGAATGAAAACAATGCTTTTGCGGCAGCCTTTGGTGATGAGCAAGTGCCTGATTTGAGGAGTTTCCTTTGCAAGGACCCCAATTGTTGATGATTCAGGAGGCTGCACTTGAGATATTCTGCAATACGCTCGAGTACATGAATCAGCAGAAAGTCATGAACAAAGTGCCGATCGAGTTCTTCCATGCGCAGTACAAAAAAAAAACACATTTGATAACAAAGCAAAGGCGCACATGACCTGATACAAGTGGAATCAACGGAGCAGGAGTTTCCCCATTTGTCAAGGGGAAATGTCTGTTTCACACATGCTGGAACCACCTGAATCTCGGACAATCGCATTCTGCATGTCAGCTGGAGCCACTGAAGCACGGGATTCCTCACTATAGTTCCTTAGCACATCAAGCTTTCGATTCAGTGGGTAGGTTACACAACAAGTATCATCAAGTACGATTTAGTGAATTTAGTGGATAGTCAAGTTGTATAATTTATCAGCTATCAGTATCAAATGGCTATAATCTATTGTAAATATAATCAGTATAGTGGATAATAAATACAGTAATTATAATATACAATTTATCAGTATCAGAAGTGAATCAGCTCAATGGATCTCACTCTTCTGAATCATTGGATCTCCAAAAATCATTCCGCCTTTTGGAACTGATGCAGCAGCAACTACTGTTGGAGTCTGAGATTCAAATACTTCCGGAACAAGCAGCGTTGCCTCAGCTGTTAAAAACTCAAACGAAGAAACAAAACAGGAGATTCTAGCAGCTGTCTAAGTCTAAATTTATCTACATTGCCACTCAACTAGCAATAAAGGATCAACGTACCCTCTGGTATATTAACATAGACCCTGGCAGTCATCGGGCTTGGGTTTGACTAGTTAGTTTCCACCAAAAAAATAAATTGGTCATAAAAAAAACCGTCCAACATGGTCCAACTGTTAATTTACCAGAGGGTAAAACATGGTGAAAACATGGTGGTTCCAGGTCGCAAGTAGAGGCGCAAATGGCCTGGCAGATCCATCCTCTCAGGGATGACACAGGGATGACGATGACACCATCTTGGGCCATCTTTAAAAGCTCCCGAAATAGAACAGGTAACAAGGGAATTCATGGACACATATTACAGGAAATTGAAATCCATGTGATTTTTGGAAAACTTCCAAACATAGGAGTTTCCACTAGATTTTCCCTGCAACCAATTCTGTAAAATTCACCAACCCCCTTATGTAAAAAAATGCAGAATGGAACATGTATATCATAAATACCGGAAAATATGAGTCCACTGAGATCAAATAATTCTGCCAGAAGTCCCATGGATTCTCCGGGTGTCCTTGCTTTTAGGGCGGCGGCCAAATGAATTGCAACCATAGGCAGTAGCCAGGCGGCAGCTATGAAGATCGCTGTGTCTTGTCTAGTGCCTGGCAAATGAACTGACCACCCACACCATGCAACAACCTATATTACCGAGAATGAGATTGGACTTAGATAACTTCATACATTATACATGATTCTTTTGACAGAAGTGGGGTGCCCACTGGAAGGGAGCCTAATGGGAGAGGTACCGGGGAAAAAAAAACAAATACAAATAAACGCAACTAATTACACATGATTAAAACTAGAAACAAATAAGCACAAATAGAGAAAAATACGAAAAATAAGATCAAACTATATAAAAACACCAGGAAAAGTGGAAAATAGATTAATTAATTAAAGACAAAACAAAAGCAAACCTAAGTTTTGGTCGGTGGAGGACAAGTCAAGGAAAACCTAAGTAACAATACGGAAAACAATTAAACCACACCGTGATTTGAAAGATAAGGTATAACAAATAATTATCTTGAAATACTGGCAGCAGTTTTTTGATAATCCAATTTGGAGCAGGAAAAACATGTTAAAAATTGATTAAACAATATTAAAGATAAAATAACCCACAATTTTGGAAAGGGTTTCACAACTTACCTCTCAGCCAAGACCAGTTCCTGAACAGGGACCCTCGCATTAGGCACCTAGGCCTCACAAATAAAAGATGGGACATACCATGATTTCTAGATGGTGTACTGTATATGTTCATATATGGGGAACCCAGCTTGTTTGATAAACGATATCGTCAACATATTTTCCATGCAAACTATGCAACATCATGACGCAATAACAATGATCATATTTGCTTTATGAACTGGACGCTGCATGTCCACCTTGCAGCACCTTACATGCAAATACATGGCGGTACACTATAGATGTCTAAACAGCTGTCACTGAGTCAGTAAATGTCACTGATAGCTTTCGAATTTTGGGCTGATCAAATCCGCCTCCAATCAACTGCTTCTCCGTGTCAGGATTTCCAGTGTTGAAGAGGACATCCACCATGTACATATTCAGTGCCAAGAGAATCACTCGATAAGCATTTCGGAACTGATCTAAGAAAACCACGAGACAGGAGCGCTTTCCAATTCCTGGCAGTTGCAAAAAACAGAGCTTCCAATACTCCCACAGGAGGCCAATGGTGCGTATTTCGCTGACGCCTTGTTTGCCCCGAAGCAGCTGGGACTCGTATTTGCTGGATGGAAATGTATCCGAGTCGATGACTTTCACTCGACAGGTACGAAGGTATCTACCCAAAGCAGCACCAGAAGGCTTGCAAAGATGCACTTTAAATTCCTCGGAGCCACGATCATCGATCAATGGGATCATAGAAAAACATCATTAATACAGTAACCCATAGTAACCCATAGTAAGCCACCAATTACCATGAAAAATACACTCAAAGCATTTCGAAGCCAGTCGGGATGGTAGTTAGAGTTTTTGAAGTTGGGAGCATGACTCAATCTCTTTTCATGCTGGTTGAGACAGTTGGATTGAACATATATAATTGAAGTATAAATTGAACTACTAGTATATGAGTCCCCGAAAAATTGAAAAAAAACTAAAAGGATAGCAGTTCACTCGGTTCCATGATATTTCACACATTACTTCCCAGGTGTTCAATGTTTCCATCTAGTTTGGGGTTGCTATATATTAAAATTGAATCATCATTCAATCTCGCTCCAATTCCAAAGAGCTACCAGTACCACTCCTGCCCGCGCTCATTGGGCTACAGGATGGGTTGCCCTGCCAAAATTTCTGTGGGACTTTTTTAGGGCGTGGGACGTGGGACCCCTAGTAGACCTTTCTTTCTCGGAGGATTTTCTGATGCCCAAACATGGTTGAGATGTCCTATGAGGGCCAAATGACAATAAGAAATTTCATTGACAAATGGTTGTGCGGTGAGAAGGGGTGCGCAAGTTGGAAACAGTTATACTGACTTGCCAATCTTTTGAATTCTAATTATCCAGTGAAGGGGCTGCCGCAGGTCAACGAGGACCGGCTATCATATGGTTGACTGTACAAAGGATAATGCAAACCATTTGCCACGCAACACAGCTGGAGATCCAAAATGCTATATCGGGATAAGCTATCCTGAGGCTTCTTAGGCATTCCGCTAGCTATCTTTCCTTGCCGCAGCCCTTCTCGAATATCAATTTTCTCGCTGGATTGACACTCCCACCAAAACCAGATTTGTGGAGAGCTCCCCTGGGAGTAGCTCGCCGCGACGATTCCTTGCTCAACTACCGTATTCCCGTCCTAATGCATGGGTAAAAAATATCTAGCCGCGCCAGAAAATGACCAACCAATATTGCTAAGTAGGGCTCCAAGTATTCCTGGTGAGAGCTCCTCCACGAGGAGCTCGCCTCTACCAGGGGGTTCTAAAGGGAAGCTTTTTTGGCTACTTTTTCCATTTTCTGAAAGCCCGAATAGCTCGCCGATTGAGAGGTTCCTGGTGAGAGCTCCTCCCAGGGGAGCTCGCTGGAGCCATCCAAAAAATATCTCGCCGCAAACCATTTGGGGGAATCTCTCGCCGGAAGGCTGTGATAAATTTCTCGCCGCAAGGCTGTGGTAAATTTCTTGCCGCACAAAAAACATTTTCACATGTAAATGCACACAACGACTACAACAAGTGACCCACACTGATCATACACTCACTCTCAATGCACAACCTTCTCTCATTGGCATTTCTTCAATAAACATATCAAAAGCTAGGAGAAATAACAACATATTAACAATTAGTATCAATTAGTCCAATGATTAAGTTTTTCTCATGTCCTTGTGGATCCTGCATGCTCCCAAATTGGGTCAAGTTTGGAGACATACAATCTGTTCTTCTTTAGGTTCCCTATTTATAATATAATAGGTTTGGCATGGTCAGCGGTGTTCAAGTGTAAAAATAATTTACAATGCAAAAACCTCTCCTTGCTTAGGCTATCAAGCAAAGATCAGTCAACGGAGACTTCTTTGTTTAAGATCCTCAATCACTCTGAGATTCCAGTTGGCCTTAACGACTTTACAGATGCGATTTGCCAATAATCAAATAGGTCAGAGCATGGCAAAGATGGCTTGTGATTTGAAACGCTCAAACGGCTGGATTGGTATTCATCAACACTATATAAAACTATATTCATCCCCATCATCCCCAGGAGGACAAAGAAAAACCTACTCACCAGCCTCACCAGCTGACCCGAGGTGCCAAGGTGGGTGACCAGTAAGGACTGGCAATGGTACTGACACGAATGGACTGCCGAAACTCGTCATCCCTGAAGGTCACCTTCCGGGGGGATGCCGGGATGCCGGTTGTGTGGCGATGGCCTGTTTCTCAGACATGTGCCACTTTCCGTTTAACCCAATCTGGCAAATCAATGCAAATCAAAAACTGAGACCTTCTTATGATCAAAAGCCACAAAAAAACGACAGCCCAGCTGATTAGTTTGGGATCTTCAGAGTGAAGATTATTCACATGACACGTTCTTCAGGGTGAAGAGAGCAAGAATAGCTTCGTTCCATCCACCTTTACATAGCACAACCAAGAGATTCTTTCCAAAAAATCTGACAAAGCCATGCTTTTGTCTTGGTGATGTCTGAAAGGTCTGAAAGCTCCCGCCCATGGCACATCGTGGCACCTCCCCAGCGATGGACTCGTAGTGAAGCCCTGCCTTTGCGGAGCCATCTTCCGTGTAGTAATTCACCGAGATGGTGCCCTTCATGGACCCAAGACGCATGAGATCGATGGTCAAGAACTTTTCCTGAGCATCGGTGATCATCGGAGTGCCATTTTTTCATGAGTAGTCTTGCTGGAATGGACAAATTAGAAAGCGATAGAAAGTCTCAGTGTTCCGGGCTCTGGGATATCAAAACTGCCAGTGCCACTGGGTTTCTGATTCTTCAACAAAATAGATGGCAGTTGTGAACTGCACCAAAGTGTGTTGATCATCATTCGCTGCATCGTCATCGTCAGCCTTTCCCGGGTCGGGCTCATGTGGTGCATCTGGACTTGGTACCACTTTGGAGAAAGATCCAGACATCTTCCACCAGCGGCACGAAAAAACTCTGCACTTGAGCTGGAACGCTGGAAGAACAGAGCTAGTCTGGGAAGATGATGCACAAAGTGGTCCGAAAAATTGCTAGGGGATCCAGTCAAAATCTGTGACATCTGACACTCTGCATTTTAGAGATCACATGAGATTACTATAAGGATTCTACAACTTCAGTATCTGGGACTTGCTTTAGCCTCCATGACCCGCCACTGATACACACGTGGATGGCAAGCTCCCCATAACGGATGACATCGTCAGGGCACTTGAGTGGTGACCGAGTTGTGGGCTCGTTCTTAGGCGGCAAAAACGGGCTTACTTGGGCCGGTGGAAACGCCTCGGACATCAAGCCATTTAGCATCCAATGAAGCCTTTTTCATATTGTTTATTATATAATATTGTTTAATCATGTTTAATCCGTTTTGCATCCTTGTGTCTGAAGAGAAGGAAACATCGAATGGAATATGAATATATTATAAGAGCTCCATGAGAAACTTGCATTGCTTTCTGACACATTTCGTAGTCGCCTGCTTGGAGAAGAGACATATGGGAGAATTTGCAAGACTCCATCATGTCTTTAGCATACACATTCCAAAAAAACAGTCACCTTCACCACCTACGTGACCTAGGGCCAGGGTCATGACTGACCCCCCGGAAGTGCGGATACTCCAAGGTATTTTCGCCAGGGTCAACTCATCGGCAAAAAAATGCAGTAGAACTGACAGCGCGCCACTGTTCAGGCGGCAAAATGATGCAAAATGTCTAAGAGCCTTGGGCAAAAAGGTGGATGTGGTGTGGATGGTTGTCCCCAAGGTTTGCCTACAAGTTGATCAATTGGGTGTCTGGACCCAATTTGAAAAGCCTCAAAATCCCGTTACAGCATTCCAGTTACAGCTCTCCGTCCCCACCCTGTCCCCACCCTGTGGAAGTCTTGCGGAGATCTTTTTAGAAGCGGAAGCGTGACAACGCAGAGGACCGGCCAACAGCAAACGCTTTCAGGTTGACGGAGCCACTTGCCATGGCCATCTGAGCGATGGCCTGACGACATCAAGGACCACTTTTTGACAATGCCACCACTGGGTCTGCATCCATCAATATCCATCATATTTCATACAAAATTCAACACCAAAAACCAAAATCTCATGTCAAAGAATTGTGTCTCTGTTCCCACAGAAAGCTGGGAATCTGATGGTATCTGTAAGTCCAACAGAAGCAACGATGCCTCGCCAGTGGCAGGTGCATTTAGAATGCCCCAGCACGTGTGCGCACACGCCTCAGGTCTGGATCACATCGGTGCGGGAACCCAACAGGGGTGGGGTAGTGAAATGTCCCATTTGATACGATCTGAACATATCTAAGCATTACCGACTATGGGTAGGATAACACCAAAAATATCCTAAAAGATCCAAAATTCATGTGGAGGTCATGCGTCAAATGCATCACACATGACTATCCTGTGAACAATCCTGCCAGGGGTACTGGCACCGCGGCCATTGTACGTGGATGTACGTAGTATTGCAAGAGGTCTCCACTGGGATTTGAGAAAACACAGAGAAAAACAAATGACAAACTTCTCATGTCCCAAGTTGCTGGACACATTTCATCAGTACCAGAACATACGAGAAGCAGGACAAACTTTTTCGAACCCCAAAAAACTTAATCTCGAAGAACATATATATATATGTATATATATATATGTATGTATTACAGTATATAACAATAGAGCAAATGGCATTGATATGAACATTCAAGACCACTTAGGTACCCAATCAACGCATATCAACGACCCAGGACGATCCATCCCATATCCCTATCGCCAAGTTGCCATGAAGGCATTGCTGACCCCTGGGATCTGCCCAATGACAGGCAAGCCATCGGCTGATCCACCAGGCAAATAACAAGCCGCAGTCGTCTGAGCACATTGCAGGCTCAACCATGGTTGGGGATGCCGTGCTGGAGGATGCTTGGAGTCTATTATGAGATATTTTGAGTATCTTGGGGTCACCAGCACTGTGAGTCCTAGATAGTCCTAGCAGCAAATTCTGGGAGTGGCATCGTTGACTTTAGCTCTGAACCTTGGGTTATCTAGTTACTATCTGAATCTGGGACAATCAGGGGTGCCTTGGTAGCACTGCTCTCCAAGAGCGAACTGCAGGACGTCGCCTCCTGCCTGTGGCTGCAGTGGAGGCTTTATTTTTGGATCAAAGTCACAGCATTCCCAGGCTATTGTAGGGGCTCATATCAAGCACAACAGGTATTTTCAGGACTAAGGTTGCTACATTTTGCGACTATTTGGGAACCTTGACATGTCTTGACATGATTTTGTTTTGGAGAGCTATTGGCGGGGCGAACTCTGGGAGACGAAATGCTGCTGTTGGAAGTGAATCGATCACATACACCATGCTGCAATCATGCTGATTCAAGTCGTCTAAAGCACCAAATCCTCATGTGAGGTTTTCAACGGAGTTGGGACATGATAGGATCACTCACAATTTCAATAGCCTTTCCGAAAGAACATACCACCCATGAAACAACCACTTGGGAGCATTCTGGGATGACTTGCAGTGTTAACACCATCGCTCCATCGCCAAGGTACTTCAGCCGTGTGGCAATGGTGTCACAGGGCGTTATGTCCAGGGGAGAAGCTGGCAGATCTTCCATGCGCGGAAAGCCGCAGGCGTAGGTTTCGTCTTCTCGGGGATAGATCTGCACGTCGTTCCTGGGCTCAAAACCCAACTTGGCACAGCTGAAGATGGCCGGGGATGGCTGAAGATTGCCACTCCAAAACAACAACTCAAACTGGGGCATGGTGATCGCACCTGTATCACCCAAGGGAGTTCTAGATTCAGGATGACAAGAACTCCCTTCCGGATTTTGCCATCCCAACCAAACCAAAGGGCGAACTGTACCAGTTTTGATGGCTGCTGCCCAGTGTTGCTCATGCCTTGATGAACATGATGAACAATATCTCGATCTATCTCGATCTCAATCTCCGCAAGCAGAACACTAAGCCAGCTGATTGCGATGCCCAGATGTATGATTTCCCCGGGAATTTCCTCATCCGTTACTGTGTCCATGGCACGAGGACGTCAAGAACACTGCAGTGTCGTCCAGGACGGCATCGAAAGTCACTGAGGTATACCTCCAAAATCCCAGACCCGGAATGGCACAAATTTAGCATAGCAGTATAGAGGAACCGACCTGATGATAAACAAATATCACTGATTGGAACACTTGGGCGATTTGGTACTTGACAAAGCAACTGGGTCAAGATTGGCCGCGATGAACTACATTACCTTCTTGGACTTTGCTCAAAATGGCTAATCATCACAACATTTGGGAGAGATTGGGAGACTAGAACAAGTTATATAAAGCTTCAAGAAACGTCTAGCTGAAGTAAGTTCAAACATGTCAAACAATGCATTTGCCCGAATTCACATACCAAGCATATGGGGGGTTCCTAAAATAGGGGTACCCCCAAATCATGCATTTCAATGGGATTTTCCGCAAACCATCCAGCTATTGGGACCCATATCCACGTGGCGGCTCCCGCCGAGCCACTTGTGCAAGGCTGTCCGCTCGGGCAGACCGGCGGAAGGGAACCATCCACTTGCCGCCTGCATGGCACGGTTCCGGTTTTCACAGAGCTGAAAAAAAACGTCAACAAAAAACCGTTGAATTCCGTACAAGACTGGATCATCTGGATTTTTGAACCCACATGATTTCCATGTTTTCCATATATTTTGCATATATGTTTCATATATTCAACATTAATATTGGGGTTCTGAAAAACCCATGGAATCCCAGGAATTTTAAGGTGTGAACTTTTGGTGGGGTACCAGGGGTTTGACCCATATCCAAATGCCAGTCTTCCGCGAAGCCCGCTGACCGCGGTTAAGCATGTTGGTTCAAAGTATGATGAGGTAAACCGTGTTACAGAATGTTGCTTCAACATTCCTCAGTGCGCTTGTGACGTGACAAACTCCAACTTACTGGTGTGTCCACTCACCAAAGTAAAAATAATCGAACATCCTCGGCACGACATCTGTGTAGTCTAGTTCATTCTCGATTTTCTGACAAAGGCCAGCTAGCACCACACTCGTGTTGCACCTGGGACCAAGGACCCATTGCGATGACCGCTGCATCGCAGCAAATTGGCCCAGTTTTCCTTGGTGCAGGGGATACAAGATATATCAAGATATGTTGCTGGTGAACTTGGACAGTGTGAGCCTGAAAATCGGAAGAACTATGAAGAAATGGTTTCTTCTCCCCCACAGTCATGGACTTCAAAACCCACTGGGCTTGCCTTTTTGTACCGAGATCTGGTGCAGTGCCACGATGAATCCACTGAGTCACCAGCTGAAAATATTCCTGAAGTTTCACTAACCAATCAACATTGTAACAAGATCCAAGACGCCGATCTACCATTGATCTACAAAATATATCAAAATACTGTATATCAAAATTTAAATTTTAATGACTGAGGTCAACTGAGGTCGCATCTCTGTAAGGACTTCACACACTTGCACTCCTCCAGTCGCTGCCGTGGTCTTCATGCCAATCACCTTCGCCAGTACTTGAAAGGTCGGGAAGCAACGGTGACACGGGCATTGTGTCCCATATGTGGCACGTTGATACTTTTTCCTTTCAATGGTTCAACAATTTTTCATGTTTCCTGCTATATTATATATATGTATATATTACGAATATTTAGTACGTCATGTATCCTATAGAATAAAATAATCATATATATATATATATACATATTATATAATCACATGCGTATCTGTGGATATGAAATGTATATATATATAATATTATATAATATATACAATAATGTCATATGATTATCTGGATTCTGCCCCTCTGTGCATATCTCATCATATCTCCACAGCTTGGCTGCAGTTGGGCCTTGTCAATCAAAAGAGTGGCGCCGTTGCCAGTAGCAGAGTCCACAAGTGCTTCGGTGAGTTTCCGCGGCTGCACCTTGGCCGGAATTTGGGAGATGTTGGACATGTACCCGGCCTGGTAAACATACAAAAAATATGGAACATCACCATTTTTAATGGGAAAACTATGGAAAACTCACTATTTCTATGGCCATTTTCAATAGTTTTTTGTGTTTACCAGGCCGGCTACATGTCCAACATTTCACCTGGAAACCAAAACGGTTGGCAAGGGACTTGTGCCAACGTTTCGGTGCTGCCCATCGGTTGGAAGTCTCCGGTTGTTCGGTCCAGCCAAGCCCTCGATTCAGGGCCTCAGCCAGGGGCCACCAACTGATGTGTTTGGCCAGAAATGGGGCCACAAAATACCAATTTTCATCGGAAAAAACCATGGTAAACCTCTGAACTGCTGGATTTTGGAGGTCTACCTTAAACTTTTTCAAGACACCCAAAAGTAGTACTCGAGTATACTCCAGTATTATGGGCTTGCTGGTGAGATGGCAATGAGCCGGTTACACCATGGGATAGACTGGATGGTCGTATCGAGACATATCGAGACATATTATGCACGTCCAGTAGTTCCCAAGTAGTCGTAACACTTGAAATACTAACCGACAAAAAATCAGCCACGATGCACATAGGTACACTGAGTGACCCATAAATACTGTTCTTGTATGTTCTTGTCTGGATAATGATAGGCAGGAAATGTGCGGCATTTTATCGATGCAGCGTATACCTCAATCCCACAATTCAAACGCATGGCTCGTGCTGTGAAACACGTGCTTTACCAAGATTCATCTTGCAATGTCAATGTGGAACTAGACTCTACAAGCCGCAAGCCACTCAATGTTGTACAAATCTACATGTGGATATATAATGATATAATATTATATATGATATATACATATATATATATATACCATTATATACCTGAATACATCAATAATACACTCACAATTGTCCATTGAAATCAATCTGTCAAATGCAAAACTGTGTCCTGTCAGATCACAAAATGCACCTCGAAGTGGGGTGTTTCCAGCGCTGCAAGAAATGCAGTTCAACCTGTAGAGTTGAACCCTCCCAGATCTATCCAGATCTCCCAGGATTCAGATGAGTTCGTGTCTCTGTCATGAAAATCCAATTTATTGGCTAGAACTATATAACCCATAGGATCCATGTACGCTATAATATGGTAACATTTACCATCAATGTACCCCAAATGTTAGCATATATACCATACATGGATCCTATGGGTAATATTATATAATCTCCAGGAATGAAAAACAAAGTGCTCACTCACCTAGATCATCAGAAAAAATGACAACCCGTTCCCGAACATCCTCAGCAAGCAAAATGAAATGATTGCATCATCAACAGCATGCCCAGCTTGCCTCCGGTAGCCAATCTGTTCCGCCCCAAATTCATCAGCCAGCTCCTGCATGTGCAAACTTCCAATTCCAAATTCTGTTCATTGGCTTCATATGTCCGACTCACTGGTAGCCACTATGTAGATATTTCATGATGCTGTTTGTTACAGCCCGTCATTTGCCTGAGGACACAGTTCCAGACTGCTCCGGTTCCTGAAGTGACCCAATTTCCGCAAGTTCCGTCTCTTGAACATGTACATGGCTTTCTCGTCAACAGCCAGGTGTTCCAGCAAGGCATACATTCATCTTTGGCACGGTACCAGTAGTTTCAGATCTCTTTCACCTTATTCTGAAAAAACGAGAAACCATAAGAAACCAACACATCCTCTTGCTTCCATGAAAACTATCTTTCCCCTGATTCAGACCGTATCAGACCCATCATTATCCATCAGTATCCAGGATATCAATGGAATTCTTTGGATATCTACTCATTCTCAGCTCCTGGTGTAGCTGGAAGGATCGACGTGCCAAGGCACCCACTGGCGATCGATCGTTCCAATTCAGGGCTAGGAAGCCTGGAGACATCGGCCGTCACGTGGTGCCCCTGGTGATCAAACGTGACCTGCGGGAAAATGCCTGGTGATAGATTGCCTATAGATTGGTTTGGTTCACCAAAATACGAAAAAGGGAGTTTCCTTTGCCAACTCAGATAGTCTTAGATCTTGAAAATAGGGGATGATAGCCTTGCTTCATTGCTAGTTGAAATGCCGTACCTCACTGTGAGCTCAACTCATGATGTTGTCAGCCGCAAAATTCAATCTGGGGGTAGCGTTGGGATATGTCATCCCATCTTGGTCATAGTTTGGATTTCTTGGATTGTTCCCAAATTCTTTGGAACCCCGTTTCCATTATGGTGCATCCTGGATTCAATCTTCTAATATTTTCTCGCAATTTCAAGGGCACAAAGGTGAGTTTAGAACTCACTAAGTCTTGTCCGAGTTGCCAGCACCCTTCCCTGAGCTGTGGCACGCCACTCCACACCTTGGTGTTGTCTGCAGAAGCCAAAACCAACCCCGGCCTTCAGGACAATCAGTTGATCCGCATAGTGATGAATCGGTAAATCAAGCCTCGCTGTGAAAATTGGGGGGGTACTCCTCCAATAGTCATAATCCAATACTTAAATGGTACCCCCCCAATTAACCAGCCTAGGGGTTTATTAATCCAGGGTTGACATTAGTTGTGATGGTCTTGCAAACAAATTGGCAGCACGGACCATGTATGCAATTTATGTACTATGTACTCACGATTACATAGTCTATGTACTGTACATTAAAATTACACTGGATACGGATACGGATACACGCTGGTCCCAACAAAACGTGTGCCGCATCACAGGTCACAATTCATCAGTGGTTCATACGATTCATACAGTAGCTTCCAGCATGTTGCAGAACCTTCGACCCGAGTGACTGCTCAATGATCAAGGGCTTTGCTCCCAGCTTAGCCAAATAATGCGCGATGGATGCACCTGCCCGTGGCTTTGGTGTGTAGTCAAAGGCAGAAAAAGGACACCCTCAAATGTAGATGGAACAAAATGGAACGGCAGGGAAACGGCTTCCTATCCCATAGGATCCATGTATGCTATATATGGTAACATTTACCATCAATATACCCCCAATGTTAGCATATATACCATACATGGATCCTATGGGTATGTTTTTTTTTTGATCATTTTAGTAAGGTTATGATTTCCCGGACAATCAAGTACGAGGACTTATATATCAGCAATGGCAATTTGGAGCCGAGCTCCAACGAATGTTCATCACTTCTCTCAACATCCACCAGTTCCACGCAGGTATCCAAACATTTTTTTTCTGGTCATGGGTGTGTCTGAGAATGTGTTATAATATGTTATAACATGTTATAACCGCCGGTAATTTGGAGAGGTGATAAACTTAAACTGATGGATTTAGGGATCATGTTCAAACATCGTTCAAACAAACAATTAAGTTCCAATATGTTCCAATCGCCAGAAGACCAGGACTCCGCACCGACAATACCGCCACCAACCACCACCACATTGGTTGCTGCCATGGCTGTAACTTTGGCACATGGGCAGCGCTTCCACAGGAACTCTGTAGCTGTGGCTATGGTTCCAAAGGGTGTTTCAAATGACTATCAGTTGTCCATGGCCAATCTGAAAGACTGAAGCATCCGCAGTCATTTTCCCCCCTTCGTGAAACAGCTGGTGCAATTGCAACAACTCCTTGCCAGATGGCATGGATGACATTGTTGTTTGCTTGTTGGGGGGCTGAGGGATTTCCGGTGGTCTTATCAGCGATCTGAAGCTTCGCGGAGAAACAAGAACGAAGGGAGCTATGCGGATATACAATTTTGACAATAAAGACAGAATTATGTACATAAATTGTACATAAATAGAGCTATCTGACGAACACACAAACTTTAATGATAATTCATGAAATGTCGGCTTGCGCTGTCTTCATAGACTTTGTCCGGTTTGGTGAAAGCCAAATCTCTCAGCTGTCCGCCATCGACAATGATGGCCATTGCATGCCATTGCCTTTGCCAACAAACCAACAAAATCCATCAAAATCCTACAACATCACATGCTTTAAAGATAGTTCAAACAGCAGTTAAAGGACTGACCATGGATGAAGGATTTGGGAATTGGTTTCATCTGTCACCATAGAGGTTAACCTGCATGATGATCTGCGCAGCAATGGGTCATGGTTACGAGAAAGATCTCGATTGGGTGCAGTTCCAGACCAATCCAACCCCTTACCATGCTCATGGAACAGCATACCGAGAGAATCACAGCTGGACTATGAGTTCCATCCAGTGGCAGTGGCACAAGTGGAATCCCCCTGGAATGCTGAGAAGCCCTTGGAACCCAGACAGATCAAAGGCATCTGTTCGATCATAAGTGAAGAGTGGTGCCTTAGGATCTTGCGACCTGCCAGCCGGGGGAAGCTGGCCCACTTGGCCGTGGATTTGACGACAGCTGCAGCTTCCATTTCATGTGTGCCTACCATATACATGATAGTGCATCAAGATGTTGCATATCCTTCCAGAAAAACAAAAAACTACCGCTGGAAGCGCAGCAAGTCTGCTAGCATGACTTCAAAGGCCGCTTCTCCATAGGGTCTTCGATGGAAGATGAAAGTACCTGAGGCTGCAAACCATCAATGACAACAGGGTAACCGGCACTATAAATTATATCAATGCTGAATATGTGGACAATAGAGGCTTGATAAATGGATATAAATGGATCAATAGAGGGCAATATCTGGTTCATATCCTATAGATAATCAAAGTTAATGTGTTCCCTTTAAAAAAACACGTTCATCTCGGCGGGTGGGGAACGTCTGAACGTTCCGCCCAAGAAGCACATCTCGTTGGCATAGCAGCTACAGTATTGTTTTGATACAAACAGTACATGATGTATACTGTATGTATCATCAAAGCCCCAACAATTTGGAAGTGTGTAGAATCCTGTTTTTTTTTTAATGGGGTTGGAAGAAAGTCTCTGTTTCCAACTATATATATAATTATATATATATGTATTTCTTTTCTTGCGAACCAAGGAAAGTCGGTGCTACTTACATATATAAGTTGGTTCTTCTTCAAGCGCAGCGCACTTGTCTTCGGTCATGATGTAGATCCATTCGGATTTGTTGCGATGAGTCAACCACCTTGGAAGAGCTTTTGCTGAAAAGGTGGTATCATGTTCGAAAATTGTTCATTCAATTGCAGAAGGAAGAAATACACACCGAAACCATCCGAAACCAAACCATATTATACAAGAAATGAGCTGAGCCCAATGCTGGATTTGAATTGGCACCCTGGTTTTGGGCAGTGTTACGCCGCTACAAGATGCGGCCCCAGATGGAATTCTGTAGGGGATGTGAATCAGAGAAATCCCCTGGATCTCCAATCGGCCAAGTCTACCCCAGTGGAGTACGATATGCTACAGGCTTTTAGACGCTTGTTGATTCCCTAGGACCCCAGGAACAAGTTGAGATCATAACCTCTTCACCTGCCATCCAACATCTTTTCAGCGGTGTAAGGAAGCCACATCGATTGACCTTTGGTCGCCTCCGTGGCAGGTTTCCAAGCTTCGCTTGGTGGGGGCCGTTTTTCCCAGGGCCTACATACCTGGCAGCATGACATCATGACCGGTGGATTGATATAAACGTGTGCACAATATACACACTACATACTTATATCATAAGATTAGTAGTACAGGGACATATTGTAGGTATTATAGATCTGATAAAAAAAATCTGATATATTCTGATATGCCAAGAGGAAAATACACAGAAAATTAAATCATCATTATTGTCACATATTGCCACTACTTCAATTATTAAATCCCTATTTCATGACTATATTGGACCAGGACATCACCCGACCTTCACGCGACACGCGACACGCTGTAGGCCGGTGATGGTCTCCGGCATCTTGGGACCCTGAGAAATCTGCTGCGAAAGGACCAAGTGGCCCATAGAAATAGATGATTTTCCCAGCTATAAACCTCCATTTATAAGGGATTTTCCATGGCTATGTTCAATCACCAGATGGTATATTCAGTATCATTCACTGGTTGGTGGTTGACCTACCCCTCCGAAAAATATGAGTCAGTTGGGATGATTATTCCCAATATATGGGAAAATAAAATGCATGTTCCAAACCACCAACCAGATTCAGTGTTGAGTGATGTTAAGCATGTTTGAAAAGTTTGAGAAACCGCTGAAAGTTTTAAATCAGTTGCCCATTGAATTACCATTAAACCCCATTGAATTACCATTAAAACACCATGAAATGCCATACGTATATTCCATGGCATCCCATGGCCATGGCCATCCCATGGCCATCCCGTGGCATCCCGGTGCCTGGTCTCCTCGACGTCGGCAGACGATCTGGTTCGTTTATTTATTTGTTTAACAGTTGGGTTTATTTATATATCTATATATTTTATTAGTAGTTTATTTATAACTATCTAACACTATCTAGATTTATTTACTTATATTCAATTAATTGATATTATTTGCTTATATTATGTACGAATATATACAATTTATGTCAGGGATTTATCAGGGTCATGAACCACTACCTGGGAGGCACAACCAAGCACAAATCGGGATGAGGCATAACTCTGGGTGCCAAAATTCAAAGTGGATGGAATGGATGGACATGAATAAATAAACAAATACATAAATAAACAATAAATAAATAAATAATACATACATATATATATAATCATAATCTATATGCAGTATGTATCAAAATTCACAGAGACAAACAAATATGTGGAAATGAAGCGCATCAATAATGGTAAAATCATGTATATTAATTGAATCGTGCAGTTTAGGTGTAAACAGCTTTGAGCCGTGGCAAAATCACTTCAGACTGTGTGAAAAGAGATGACACTTATGTTTGTAAGAGAATTTAAGCTTTTGATGTGTTCGCAACAACTCCTATTGCTGAGTCACCGAAAAGGCCAGAACCCTAAATGTTTTTTTTTTCAAAAAATAGAATTTCCAGAGGCACAAACCTACTTCAAACGCGACACATTTCTGCCCTTAGAGCAGTGTAAGTGTGCACAGCCACAGCTAGGCGCAATACCATGGCAAGGGCCCTTTTCTGCTAGCCGGCTTAGCGGCTAGCGAACTTGCCTTGGGTCTTGTTGTGGTCAAGTGGATACAGTACCTTGTAGCATTCCGAAGTTGACAAATGACTAGCATTACCCTGTTCCTGCCCTGCACATCCCTTCAAAATCTGGAAATTTGGGTCCAACTCAAGAATTAGGCCAGGCACTTTTAAAGCCGATGAATCAATCCAATGTATTCCTTTTGACTATTGAGATTGTTTTGGGGAGATCCTGCAGCTCTCAGGTTCAGACCAAGCCGGCATTACCTGTTGAGCGGGTTTTTCAAGCGAGGCAAGGAAATCGTGCTTCTTGATTTCAGCTGATGCAGTAGCCGCAGATCTACACAGAGCAATCAATTGAGACACCCAGAAATCAGCTGTGTCCATGGCCCATGGCACCTTTGAGCCATACTCAACGGGGTAGACCTCAGGCAACTTTCCCGAAAGGTCAAGACACCTGCCTCGCATGCTCATCCTATGGAAGGGGAACACATCGAAGTCAGAGACTCCGAGGTTTTGGACATTCAGATTTTCACATATATCATCATATATCATCATATATCAACATATATCTAGAATCTAGCTTGAAGTCTTTAAGACCTTCAAGCTCACAGAATTTTTAGAACGATCAAAAGTATCAAGACATGGACATCAAGGTTACTTTTCTGCCTTCACAGGCTCTAAACCCTCCAACCTTCATTGGCGGAATTGGACATGTTGCAGGCTACGAGCTGGGTGGCAAGCGCCTGCCAGTTGATCAACCGAGGTGGCATGCCGTTCTGCGGATCTTTCTGGGACTCCCACGTGATGCGACACAACTGGGGAGAGTGAGCCACAAGTTGTGAGCCACAAGTGGCTAAAATCTATTTCTAGCAAGTTGTCCCCACATCCATGTGAAATTGACGATTTTGGGACTTGAAGCATTCGTGGAAGAAGATTTTCTGAGGTGGGAATGCCATTCAGATTCACCTAGATCTTTTTCGACGTGCTATCACCAATAGCCTGCTTTGAATACTTTAGATATACATATAACAATCTAATAACTTGCCAGTGGATACCCGTGGAACGTGGAAAGACAAAGACATGTTCCTAGCTCATGGAAGTTCCCTGAATTTGGTGCCCAAAATGGGTCAGATTCGGAAGGAATGTTCATGAAATTTCATGAAGTACATGCCAATCATTGCCAATCCATTGGTCCATCTACACCTTGATTTATGGGCCGGGGCTGGGATTGAGATCCGTCAGAGTTATGCGTTTTTCTTTTTTGCCACGCCACTCATAGTTTGTCATGGAGCTACCAATGCTGTGCTAACGCACTTGCTTCCGGTGCCCGCTTCATGGGTCCAGTCAAAGAGAAACTTCAAACAGCTATGATAGCGACGGTCTTCAGATTCTGGTGTGTTTATCATCCTTTGAAGCGACCATCTCAGGGGCCGCTGTGTCAGGATGTGCCAAAGCTGATCCTATTGGCCCTATTGGTATTCGAAAAATGATCAATTGCTGTCACGCAATGTCACGTACAGTCACCTTCTTGATCAATATCTGCAAACAAACCGCAAGGACTTTGACGCACCATGCTTCTGGTTGCTACTCGGGCTTATCATCATGGCTATCATCTGGCCTTTCTATCACAATGTTGTATTTTTTGGGTCCAATAACGCCTCTTGGTTTCAAAGCAGTAGCATCATGACAAGACAATACAACAAAGGCAATCAAATCCAGCCATTCAACCCTCGTAACTCCATGTATCTTGTACCTTCAAGCTGACACTTGGCACATCTTGGCACATCTTGCCACTCTGCTGTCGAACCGCTCCCCTGGATCTCGGTTATATCTACACTCCAATGGGGAGACCTGGTCCTTCGCTGCCTTCGCTTCAGTCCTCCTCCTCCTCCTTGCCGGGTGGATCCTCCGGCACATCCTTCTCCTTGTCATCATGGTTGGGCCTTGCACCAATGCGTCCATCTTTTGCCTGGCAGACTTTCGGCTGGGCCATGGCATGCCATGGCGAATGGGGAAAAAAAGCATCCCACATGGACAGGCTTACTCTGTCAGCAACGCAGGCAACATCAGCACAAAATCTTGAAACCAGTGCCGTTTACTGTTGGTAAATCCCATGAATGGATCATTGGGATCAAACCAACCTACGGACACCAACCTCCCAACGCCGCTCTCGATCATAAATTTCAATTCCTGGCTGAACTTTGGCTCAGTGCCAAGCGCAAATGAAGTGTTTCAGGTAGTGAACATGATCGTGACGGCCTTCATACTTTGGCCCCTTGATGACGATCATGATTGTGATAGCTTGCATTTACCAACTGTTCTTACTGGGCTGGAACATCTAGAAGGTGCACTTGTGAAATGCAGTGTTTCTTTGAAAGTCCTTGTCATATCTTGTCATGTTCATTTCATAGATCTGACCCGGATTGTGTATTGATGCTAGCTCTTGGCCAACGACGCAGAGAAACTATGAGTGCATTTTTCTTGCGGACTGTGGACAGCTAGCTGCTTTTTAAAAAGTGTATCCAGTGTATGTATCAAAGCATTTCTATAATAGACTTGAAAGGCACAGGAATGTCCAAATTCCAAAACAGCCATCACACAGCCAGCCAATCTTAGGTGAGTCCTTTCTCGCGTAAGGCGTCTCGCAATCGATCGGCCTCCCCAAAGTTTCGTTCCTTGGGACATCGCCGATGCATGTGCCTGCTGTCATGAAAACTTCCGCGGAGTATTTTAACACTTTGACTTTGACAAATCAATTAATTATGCCCCAAACAAATAATCTCCAGGAATATCATGGTCGTTGATGCTCGCCTATGGAATTGGGGGTTATTGCAGTTATCTCAAAGTCCAGCCACACCCGGTGGGATTTCCTCTCCCAGTCCACTGGAGTCACTGGACAGTCCACGACATGCTCAGGTCATAACAATTCGCGCTTTCTCGCGCTTCACCAACTGGTTCCAGACATAGGTCTCAGCGACGGTCAACATTTGAGGCCCAAGTTTCACACCCAAATTCACGCCAAATTGACCCCAGTTGACCCCCAGAAATTGATGTTTTAATGAGTTGGATACAACAAATTGATAAAGATGATAAAGATGATAAAGATTGCCAAAACTTGCAGAATTGCAGGATACCCCACTTTGGAGTCATATCAAGTCATGCCAATGTGAGTCCACGTAGATGGATCCACTGATCCACTGAATTCTTGGATATTCCAATCGTTTTCTTCCAATGGCTTTCCTAAGAGGCAAGCGGCTCCATGGTGAATCCCAAGCTGCTTCCGCACTGGGTTCAGTCACGTTGGAGGGTTCTCCTTCACGGCTGGGAGTACGCCTCGGCGGATGGCAGCTTTCCAACAGCCAACAATGTAGGGCTTGGTTTTACTTTCCGGAATATCGGGTTTGTCTGAAAATAGGGTACTCCCAAAATTTTATGGTTTATTGTCATGTTCCCTCTCAAAATGGCAAGTTCATGGGTATACTATGATAATCTATACTGTAATACCATGTAATATCCATGTATACCCCATTTTCAGACCGACCATGACTTTTCGTTGAGGGCCCATTTCGTTTAAGACTCACTGAGTCGCTCTCCACGGCAGCCGCACAAATCCGCGACGCGGTTAGCGCAGCTGTGAAAACCGGTTGCACCACGTTGCACCGACCCGAGCTGCTCGGCGCCGGGTGCCTCTTTTAATAAGACCAACAAGGACCAACAAGGTCCAAAAGTCTGGCTGTTCATGCCCAACTTGGCTGTTGGAGCAGTCGGAGCCAGATGGATTTGGTGGGAACATAGCATGAGATTTGCGAGAATAGAACTTGCGAAGCTGCTCACCAGTTTGAAGAGTGGAAACCAAGAATAGGATGCCTGAGAAGGAAAAGACTAAAGCGACTGAGCTGTTGGGGTATCGAAACACATAGGGTTTATGTTTATGTAGGAAGTAGAGGTTGCCTCTAAATCATAAAGGCAACACCCCAAAATCAGCCATGGCCTATTGCGTCAGCCATTTCCTGCTGCGGAACCGCTGCGGCGCAATGGGCAAAAAGCAGGGACATTGGTCAGCGGCGCAGCGCGCTGATTTCAGCAGCAGCAGCTGCCCTGCAAGAAGCACAAAGATCTGGGCCCGCAGTTATTTAATCTATTGTGTACTAAATAATTATATAAGTTTAACTGTAGCTTGGAAAAGTCCCATGCTTTTTCCAAGTGTTATAAAGGCTTCTTTGAGTCTATCCGAAAATGCAGTGTATAACGTACCCCAAATGGCCATTCAATAATCATGATAAACCATCATTTTTTGGGGTACCATCAGGTACCCGATTTTCAAACAAACCCGCAGCCATCACCAAGGACCTGGGCCCGTCAGCTTGGCATGGGGCACCAATGAACCCACTTAATTTTCAGTAGCAAATTAATCATCTGTGAGATCCATCTTGATTTTGGAGATTGACGATTTTAACCCATAGAATGCCATCATTTGACTATGCTTCAAAGAATTGGGGACTTCATCGGACCCCAGTCTCTCAGCCCCGTGGAAAGCTGACAACGTCAGCGCGCAACGGGCGATGACTTCAACTGCTCTACTCACTGGAGAAACACCTAAAACAACCACGCTTGATTTCATCATCTTCAGCAAATTTCCCTGGAAGTAATTCTAGGGTATGTAACCGGTATGTATCTCCCCTAAATCGCTCTTGTCTTCACTCTTGCCAAGTGCCAAGTTCCAGCAATGGAATTTGGCTACTGTAAATGCTGAGGATGCTAAATCATCCGAATCTTCTGAAATGCAACGCAGAATGTTCGGGACTGCAACGCAGTCAAAACACATGGCAACCTTGGTTTCTTTAGTGTATGGCAAGCCAAATATGGTGATCTTCTTTCGGTGGAATTCTCCGGGATGCAGGCATTTTTGTCACAGCCACTGCAACAGATTCTCATCTCGATCAGGTCATGATGGAATGTGTCGCAAATTCACAAGCAAAACTACAAACACCCTCCACATTTGAATGGTAAAACATGGTAAAACCAACTCTGTAGAGTCTAGACTCTAGATGTTCCCTAAATTCATTGGTTCCCTAAAAGTTCCCTATAGGTATCCTAAAGTCATGCCAGTCAAAGTCTTGTTGGTTGAAATCTATAGCTTCTTTTGTCTAACAGTTTGCACATTTTTTTGCTGAAGGTCCCCCAAAAATGGGGCATTTTTGTTCAGGATCCCATTGATTTTCCCTCAACAATCCCCCCAACCGTGGCGTTCATCCACTGGTCCATCCTAGGCGTCCTACTTAGGTTCTCCTCGTGGTCCACGGGGTTCCGGTGGACCGGGTCGGCCACCCTTACCTGGGAAATAGATTGGAAATAGGATGAAATAGTTGGGAATACTATCCAATGAATTGGTGGTTCTAATAATCTAATAGTTGGCAAGTCTATATTATAATATAATATATATATATAAATATATATTGGTATAAGTGTTGTTGGTGTCTCAGTATGTCTCAGTGTAATTATAAATATATAGGTTGGACTTAGTCTGGTAGATATGGGTGGTCAGTGATTTTGAACCATGTATATATATATATTATATCCTTCAAGCCGAAATTTTATAAAGCAATAAGTTGGAAAAACAATTCTCCAAGTGACTGGCCAAAATCATGTTACATCAAAAAGGACTCGTGCTCATCAAGGAAAACGCTGAGCAACTGGCAGCTATAAGCAGAAAGCATCATCTTGAAGGGCCGCTGAGTTGCCCATTCCACATTCGATTTTCACTATTTATCCATCTATCAAGTATATCCAGTATAATACATCTCATACCAGCACATGTTTGTATATTTATGTATGTAATATTACCCACAGGCACCTTGTGTTGCCCAAGCCCGGAATAATGTAAATTACAAGGGTTTTTTGTTCACACTATACATCTCATATAAATTCTCCCACCCCCGTTAAACTTCTACATTCATTGAAGATCTTCAATAAGGGTTTAATTCTCCCACCCCCGTTAAACTCTTCCATTCATTGAAGACCTTCAATAAGGGTTTAATTCTCCCACCCCCGTTAAACTCTTACATTCATTGAAGATCTTCAATAAGGGTTTAATTCTCCCACCCCCGTTAAACTCTTCCATTCATTGAAGACCTTCAATAAGGGTTTAATTCTCCCACCCCCGTTAAACTCTTACATTCATTGAAGATCTTCAATAAGGGTTTAATTCTCCCAACCCCGTTAAACTCTTACATTCATTGAAGAACTTCAATAAGGGTTTAATTCTCCCACCCCCGTTAAACTCTTACATTCATTGAAGATCTTCAATAAGGGTGTAATTCTCCCACCCCCGTTAAACTCTTACATTCATTGAAGATTCTTCAATAAGGGTTTAATTCTCCCACCCCAGTTAGACTCATCATCATCATCATCATCATCATCATCATCATGATCAACATGCCGGGAACGTCCCTGTAAATCTCCGGGCAACACAAGGCGCCTGGCCGTAATATTACATCAATTCTAGATTGTTCTGCAGATTCCATCCCATCAACCATGTATACACACATATATATTACATATATATATAATATACTATATTATACATAATACTATATATGTAAAAAAATGTGTATATATATATATGTATATTTTAGAAAAATGAAAGAATCCTTGAAAGTTGTGGGATCAAACCATCAACGACGATGGTACCCACGACGACTGGAAGCCAGCTGCCTCCCATTGGACGACCACCGGGACCTCCACGACTCCTTCCTAGCGCTGGGCGCATCCATCTTGGCTAAGCGGCAAGCGCCTTACCTTGCCTTAACTTACCTTCTCTGATCTTGTAGGATCTATATCATTGATATCATCCTACAAATTTTGGTTGATAATTCATGATGATCCCATATTTGATGGATTATTTGTTGGATTAATAGGTTTGAAACTACAATTTTCGCAATCAACCCAGGTCCCCCCCGCACCCACTGCGCCTCGCGCGTGACGTCCCTTGCCCCCATGGTCGCGGCCGTCACGGCCGCGACGACGTGAACGGCTGCGATGGTCACGCTTAGGTCTGGCGAGAAGGGCCGGGTGAAACCTGGAGTGTTCACATCAAGATGGATGGGATGTGGGCCATGTGGGGATGAGGTAAATCCACCCCAACAAATTCCATGTATGTATCATCATATTTTGCCTATGAACACACATTTTACGGATATGACCCAGCTGGTTTATAGCCTATATAGCTGGGATGTCATACTCATACCCCGGAACAGGCGTGGGAAAAAAAATCAAGAGAAGTTGGCTCATCTGCCAATACAATACAAATATATACAAATTGACTGCTGATAGGAAAACAATCCTCTCGCAGTGATTGCACTGAGAAAAACAAAACAGTCAAACAGAGCAAAGTAAATCTGTCAGCAGCGGCAACAAAGTCAGGAGGCACGTTGCCGCTGTCCGAAACCAAAGACATGAAGAAATGGTCCAAATCAAAGGTGGCGTATGGTGGCGTCATAACAAGTTTCGGATCCATGTCAGATTTCTCCCAGCCAACGAATTTTCACCAATGAAACTCGGCGCCCTATCCCCCTTGAAACAGGCCATTTGTTCAAATCCACGGAATATCATCCATGAAATAACCAAATTTCATCCGTTTGCGGAGAGCTTCTCTTTTCAATTGCTCTTCCTCACGGATCCGCTTTCTGTTGATGACTTCCAGTCGCCTTCGCTCTTCATAGTCTTTCTTCCGTTGCAACTTGCGCATGCGCAACGCTTTACAGTACTCTTTGTCTGCTAAACGTGCCTGTTTGGTTAGCACGTGCTCCCATCTCACAAGCAGTGACTTCAAAGCCGACAGTTTCCTCGACAGAACATTCTCAGCAAACGATTTCTGGAAAGAAAACCGCAGTCGCCGTGGCCGATGCCGATTCTTGTCATTCATAGCCATCTGCTGGCGTTCCCGGTGCTCCAGACACCGGGTGCTCCTTTCTCGCAGTGCCCGTGGACGATGCTGGTTCTTGTCCTCCCTGGCCATGCCTTGTTGCTCCCGACGCTCTAGGTGCTTGGTGCTGCAGTCTTGCAATCTCTTAGGCCGATACTTGTTCTTGTCTTGTATGGCCATTTGCTGCCGCTCCCAGGATTGCAGGTGCCTCTGGCGTGAAGGTGCCGTTGCCTGATAGGACGCACGGACTTTCTGCATAAAATTTGTGCTATCTGACCCTGCCAATTCCCACGCATCAGCCACTGCCTGCTGAAACCTTTCCCAAGCTTCTTGGAGATGGGCTAGGCTATACCGCGAAAATATCTTAGCTCCTTTCAAGTGTTTCCTTGCGTATGCCCGAAATGGGTCCAAGAAACCACGTAACTTCTTGAAAGCTTCAATGTTTCGAACGCATGGGGATTTCAGCATAAACTGCTTACCAATGAAGAAACCAGCTCTTTGATTGACAGCAAAGCGAATGCCGAGGTCTGTAAGGTTCCTTCCATGTTCTGTTGCAGAAGACACGAGCGATGCATGCAAGCGTTCCTCGAAGTTGAGAGCCTGGCCTGCAGCATCCTGCATCCTTTGCTTGACAGAGGTAAGAATCACTAAGAATTCCAAAGCAGTTTGCAAATCCGTGTATCGCGTGGAGAGTTCAACAGAGTCAAAGCAAATCCGACCTGAATAGGATGGATCTCTTCCAGCAGTGTTTTTGTGCAACGATCCGCATGCATTTCTCACTCGTTTCTTTTTCTCTTTCTTGTTTCGAATCCTATGCACTTTGGATCGTCTTGCAGGTGTCTTGCTTGCAACACTGCATTTGCTGGCTGCTTCAACAGCCAAATCATTACAACTCCCCGCATCTGTTATATCTGTATCATGGATCATCTCCTTCATGCTCCTTTTGCCGATCATTCCAGAACTTCCAGCAGAATTTTGAGTGGCCACTGTCACTGGTCCTACCTGTTTTCCTCCCTGAGCCGCTGATGAAGCATCCACTATCCATTTTTCTAGAATCAGCCGCTGCTTCTGAGAGAACTCCTTGGAAATCACATCATTCCGCACATCTCGAGGCAACTGCTTCAAGAGATCAAAGATCTTTGTCAACAGTTTGGATTCTGCTGACTGAGGTGCTGCAGGTGCTGGTTTACTTCCCGCAATCCCATCAGCTCCCTTGGTGGAGTTTCGCGCCTTCTGCTTTGACCGCGCTTGCTTCGGCTCAGTAGGCTGACCACATTTCGAAGCTTTCTTCCGTCCTCCGCGGCCGGAAGTCGGCTGCACATTTCCCGACAGGCTCACGGCAAGGCCATGATCATACTTTCTGCGGGCTTCTGGATCAGCTAAGGTCTCAAGGGCTGCATAGACCAAATGGAAAGCTTCCTTGCTGCCACCTTTATCTGGATGAACTTGCAGTGCTCGTTTTTTAAATGCCTGCTTTATTTCATCCAATGTTGCATCCTGACCCACCAGCAGTGCATCATAAAACGACATATATATATATATTATTATATATATATACATAATATGAATTATGCATATTATGGCTTGATGTACTACTCTGTGTGGCTGCTGGACATTCTTGCTTGATTCAATCAACTACGGATGTTCTATGTGTTCTTTTCATATTATAGATGATAGATTACATAGTGTTAAGGGTTATGATATAAAGATATTAAACATGGTATCCAATCATGTCCTATCGTCATCTTTCTGCCTCTCAATCGCCACAAAACACAGGCATCCTACAGCCGCAGTTATGCCAGGTACGTCCGCTGCCTGCCACGGCCCCGATCTCGATCTCCTCGATCTCGCCGGCGATCTCGCCGAGGTCGGGGAGTGGGTGACCGCGATTCGCTGTAATAGCCTTAGTATCTGATGGATCTCATGGATCTGATCTGATGGGCTGGGCTTTTCTGGGCTGGGCTACCAGAAAAACAAGAGTGTTATGGGCAGAAGATAATCAGCAAAATGTTGAGGGGATAGAAAGTCATTATACCTATTCAAGGGCCTCTAGGGCCTCTAGGGATCTTTGGACATGGGACAAAGTTCACCAGTCTCCAATGGAGCTCAAAAAATCCAACCGTCAGTTGGTTTCACATCCTGGCTGCATCCAGTTCCTGGGCGGTCAGTTCCTGGCTACAGTTGATTTGCATCAAGAAGAAGCTACAGATGCTACAGATTTTAGCATCATCTTGTGTGGATAATATTATCCAATGGTACTGGTACTGGATAATAATATCATTGTGAATATCATTGATTTGTGCATGTTCATGGTACTGGTATTCCCAATCGAAGTAGATGATATTAATTGATATTGGAATTAGAATCCCATTTCAATCAGTGCGGAGATAATCCTTGAGTATCCTTTAAACAGCTCGACTTCGTCGCGGCCTCCCAGGAGACTTGGGGATCCTCCTTCCGTTCGCGCCACCAGGCGCCCGACTGTAGTATTCGTAGTCGTAATCTGAGGGAGTTGGCTCACCTCGTCCAGGAGAAACACCGATGTCGCTGCCTTTCGTTGAAAAAAATGGAGACGCATGGATCCATTTTGAGGCTCCAACGTCGACGCGGCATGATGTGCAATGGACCGAAAAACCGCTGCACCCCAGAGCTTAACTTTCAATTAGCCATGCATTTTCAGAACATCTGTCAAGATATTCTGCATGTCCGCTGCTGACCATTGCGTTCATCATTAAACCAAACGATTTGTCTAGCTTGACGCTATCTTTGGCTGAACGAAAAGAAGAAAACACATTGTAGAGCTGGAAATCTTCATCTGGCTTTCATGTCAACTGGCGGGTCTTCTTGTGCAGAGGTTTGAGCCCCATACAGCAGAGAACAGCAACAGTTTGGGAGGCTGATCAAAGTCCTTCGTTATTCGGAAAGGATGTGCCAGTCATATGGGTGTTTTACCTGTCGGGATTGGGAAATGGATTGAATGTATGGGATGAAACCTGTCGAAAAATTGGGAAATGGACCATCATGGACCATCCCAGTAAACTACAGGAATTTACCAATGGAAGGTTTTGCTTAACATAATAACAGCAACGTCTTTAAACTACCATTCTTGTTGGCATCCCTAAAAAAAAAACCATCCCATAAAAAGAGAACAGAAGTCAACCACGAACCACGGGAGATGGACCTATGTTCATCATATCCAATATGATTCCAATATGCGATGGGCTTATCATATAATTACCCCAGGGCATGACAATACAATAGGAGGACTCTCCATCCGAACAAAAACCGCAAGGATCTTTTCACCTGGCAGAAAGCTCCTGCTATCGCCAATCTGGTGAAACATACCCATGTCATCCCATGTCTACCAAGCAAACTCAAATGCTACCGGTTGGTCTTCATGCAATTCCTTCACATGCAATTCCTTCACATGCTACCCCGTCAGTGTTACAGTAGCTGCTATAGCTCAAGTGGAAACCCTGGAAGAGGCTTGGAAACACTTTCGGATTCTGTGGATCTTGCTGTGCTTCCTCTCGTGCTTTCATACTTGGTCTGGTCCCTATGGTCCCCGTCTTTTCAAAACTGCTACATATCGAGGCTTCTCAGCTGCCACAGTGCCTGCCATGGTGAAAGGATCTCATCAGCAAAGTTTGAAGCAGTGCCTTATCAACCACCAGAAGGTCAAGATTTGAATTTGGCCTCACATGAGCAGTTACTTGGTTCGCCAAGTGAGTGATCACCCATACAATGGAATTTGCATCCCGAACAAGATGGTTTCCACATTGTTTCCGCCATGTCCTGCCTTCAAAACCTCACTTTCGCGTTGCAGCCGCAGCTGTGCGCGCCCGTTGAGCCAAGCCTGTAGCTGCTTCAATGTGGGTTGTGGTGGCTGGTGGCAAGGATCATGGCTGATCAATAGTTGCCCAGCATGGCCCAGCTATGTTGTCTATTTTTTTCCAAATTGCTTTAAGATGCACGTAGCTGTTAGTACTTTATTTACTCAAACACACTATATTCAGTTGTTATACTACGTATATTTTAGAATAATATCCCCAAAATGTGTTTATAAACCCGAAATTTCTGTTCACTCCCTTAGCCACTGATGGAGACAATTGGGTTCCAGAATGTTCTACGTCCATGCATCTGCTCAGACCTGGCAGCAGTTCTTGCCAGCATAATCTGGCGCCACAGTCTTCGTCTATCCATTTCATCTCTGGCGTTCTTGCAAAACCAATCTGACAGACCCTGTGAGAATTCAAAAACAACATGTTAAGTGACCGATATATCATTATCACAATATATGAGTGTATTATCACTATCACCTTTACCAATATTACAGGATTATATAGGATTATTACCCATGACGGATCCATGGTGCTATATATGGTGTGCCATGGATCCCATCAATATACTGCCACTGGGATCCCTGGGATCCCGTGCCCTTCCCACGGCCCTTGCCACCAGGCCCGTAAACGCCACGGCCAGCGCCACGGCCCTGGAAGCAGAAAAACCATGAGTCACTACAGTTCTGTAATTCATTAGTTGCTTCTTAACTTATTTATCATCAATTATCATCTATGATCATCTATTATCATCTATGATCATCTATTATCATCTATGATCATCTATTATCATCTATGATCATCTATTATCATCTATGATCATCTATTATCATCTATGATCATCTATTATCATCTATGATCATCTATCATCTATTATCATCTATGATCATCTATTATCATCTATGATCATCTATTATCATCTATGATCATCTCATCTATGATCATCTATGATCATCTATTATCATCTATGATCATCTATTATCATCTATGATCATCTATGATCATCTATTATCATCTATGATCATCTATTATCATCTATGATCATCTATTATCATCTATGATCATCTATTATCATCTATGATCATCTATTATCATCTATGATCATCTATTATCATCTATGATCATCTATTATCATCTATGATCATCTATTATCATCTATGATCATCTATTATCATCTATGATCATCAATTATCATCTATGATCATCTATTATCATCTATGATCATCTATTATCATCTATTATCATCTATTATCATCTATGATCATCTATTATCATCTATGATCATCTATTATCATCTATTATCATCTATGATCATCTATGATCATCTATGATCATCTATTATCATCTATGATCATCTATTATCATCTATGATCATCTATTATCATCTATGATCATCTATTATCATCTATGGTCATCTATTATCATCTATGATCATCTATGATCATCTATGATCATCAAGTATCATCTATGATCATCAATTATCATCTATGATCATCTATTATCATCTATGATCATCTATTATCATCTATGATCATCTATTATCATCTATGATCATCTATTATCATCGATGATCATCTATTATCATCTATGATCATCAATTATCATCTATGATCATCTATTATCATCTATGATCATCTATTATCATCTATGATCATCTATTATCATCTATGATCATCTATTATCATCTATGATCATCTATTATCATCTATGATCATCTATTATCATCTATGATCATCTATGATCATCTATTATCATCTATGATCATCTCATCTATATCATCTATGATCATCTATTATCATCTATGATCATCTATTATCATCTATGATCATCTATTATCATCTATGATCATCTATTATCATCTATGATCATCTATTATCATCTATGATCATCTATTATCATCTATGATCATCTATTATCATCTATGATCATCTATTATCATCTATGATCATCAATTATCATCTATGATCATCTATTATCATCTATGATCATCTATTATCATCTATGATCATCTATTATCATCTATGATCATCTATTATCATCTATGATCATCTATGATCATCTATTATCATCTATGATCATCTATTATCATCTATGATCATCTATTATCATCTATGATCATCTATTATCATCTATGATCATCTATTATCATCTATGATCATCAATTATCATCTATGATCATCTATTATCATCTATGATCATCTATTATCATCTATGATCATCTATTATCATCTATGATCATCTATTATCATCTATGATCATCTATTATCATCTATGATCATCTATTATCATCTATGATCATCAATTATCATCTATGATCATCTATTATCATCTATGATCATCTATTATCATCTATGATCATCTATTATCATCTATGATCATCTATTATCATCTATGATCATCTATTATCATCTATTGTCATTATCACTACTATCATTGCTGCTGTTATAAGCACTATCATAGAATTATAGGCCATGGTTGAATCCGCATGATGCTGGGCTGGCACCCCTTCACCCCATGGCGTTTTTTCTGGTCAAAAACGAGGCCTTCTTCTTGAACATTGGCGCGTGCCTCAACCTGACATCAATGGTTCCACAAACATCATTTGTGCATATGGATATGATACTATTGATGTTTAATATGGATTTATCAACAAAACCATTTTGTGTCTGATAGGTTCTTAGGGCCAAAGTTCACATGGATGAGAAAACGCCGAACTTTTTTTGCGCGATTTTCTGCAACACCATCCTGGATCCTTTGAAGTAAAGAACTGCACCGCTGCCTCTCAAGCCTCTAAGCAAACTTGTGACATCGGTGTTCACTCCAGTCAAAGTTCTGGCTTAATTGCTATCAAGTCCGACCCCCAGTTCCAACAGAGTCCCTGATAATCCTGATAAAAAAGTGGACAAAATGCTTCACTTTGCAAACCACATAACGTTCCTCTCGCGCAATGGACGCTTCAGCTCGAACTGTTGAACCATTGAAGCTGATATTGGTTTGCAACACAGAAATAGCGATTCGGAACAGTTTGGCAAGAGTCAATCTCTGGATCACTTATGTTTTGTTCATATATCTTCTCATGTCCTTGAAACGGTTTGGAGATTCAATCCAACAACATCTGAGCCAATGTGGTTTGACAGGTTCGAGAAAACTCCAAAGCGCCATTGATGTGTCAATCCTGACTTCATGGTCATGTGTTTCTCTTCATGATGCTAAAACATGCCTTAAGACTCAATTATTGAATGGTATGCGTAAAGCATAATTCCAACATCCATTCGTAAAGCGGGATGGGGATGGCCCCTCCATCAGGCGGTCCAGACTGCGTTGCCAGTCGTCCATTTTGGCCCAAGGGACATGTCGGGAAGGATGAAGTATCGGATCTGCGATCCTCGCAGATAGACTTGCTCCAGGTTGGTCACCTGTGGCATACAGCGAGAATCTGCCAGGGGCACCGGGGCACCTAAAGGTTGGCACAACATGGACAGCAAAAGTGGAAGAAACTATGGGAATGCCATGATCCATTGAGCCATTCAATGATTATAGTTTATTTTTGATATTCATGGATGTTTATCACATTAAATCATATATATATAATATTATATATATAAATATCAGACTATATGTTCTGGGAAATTCTCCTCCAAACAACAAAAAAGGATTTGACGAGTGCTTCGTACTTCGGAGGTCCCACAGATCGATTTCCTGATCCGAGCTGGTGACCAGCTCGTACCGCTTGCAGCACCGGCACAAGCTCAAAAGCGAAGTGGAAAATGTATGAACATGTTGCATCCAACGTTTAACCTGTATCTAGTAATTGTTTGTATCTCTATCTCTATCTCTATCTATCCATATATCCATCTATCCATCTATCTATCTATCCATATATCCCATTGAGGCCATCATTGAGGATTCAACCTGTAACTCGTTGATCCCCCTTTCCGTCGCCTTACCATCTCGGCCCGTCACGGTGACTCCTTCCAGCATGGCATTCATATTGTCCTGCCGCCAGGAGACATCCCTGGGGTCCCTACAGAAATCTCACCATAAAGGCCAAACATATATACCCCGATATCAAGAAAAAACAGCTTTGCAAAAGCCATAATTCTATCATAATTATCATAATTATATCTGATTTTTGTTTGATTTGTCTCTTATCCGTGCACTTGGTTCTAATCTAAGCTATCTCCATGCCATCTCGTGTCCTCGCAGTTCATCAAGTGGCCTCTGTACATCTCCCCGGTTTTCAACTCGCAGGTCACGGTGTGGCCGATGCCCTGATCCCAAGGGTCAAGGGCAAGGGGATGTTGTGACTTTCCTATCCAATTTGGGCTGGACAGAAATGATATGGGTCAAGAAGAACTGATCTTTCAATATCCTTCAAATTGCATATCATAAATAATTGTATATATATAAATATACAATAGGCAATGATAGGCACATCTCCGCTGGATACTCATGATACTCATGTTGGGTACAGTATCTGCAACCGAAACGAGAACCAGGAATTTGGAAGCAATCCTGGCTCATTTGGTGCTCAAAGGTCACAGGTCAATGCTGTCATGGGACCAGGGAGTTTGCTGGTTGGTTTATTTATGGCAATTTACACAATGGCTTTGACTTATAGATGCTTATGATTTACTCATGATACTTATATAGTAATTACTAGTAGTAAATAATGACATCGAACCTGACCCCAATAGAACTATCTAGCAAAACGGTTTGGCCACTGCTCACTGTTCTCATATTGTTAAACAAATCAAATCTCTCATCCATGCAAAAGCTTGTATCTGGCCGAAAGAGGTACACTGTACCATTGATAGTGCGCAGCAATAGACCTAGTATGACCTAGTTGACCTGGTTAAAAAAGAGTCGCACAACTTTGGACTGTACTTGTATACTGTGTTCAATCATCGTTCTCATCCAAATTTCCAACCAGTGTGAGACTACACTCTTGAATCCAAATCAGCAGCAATGACTGTCAATAAAAGAACCATGATTTGTTCAATTGTCTCAACATTTAGCATAATTATATATCATTATTGTATCATTAATCACCTTTCCCTGCTTTTCTGGGTCATGAGCCCAAGTGATCCCTGCGGCCTCATGGAGCAACTTCACGGGGATACCAAGTCCCGCCATTGTGACCGCCACGGCAAGGACCGCCAGGTGTTTTTCCAGAACTCCGAGCCGAGAGACGGGTGGCACCGGGTGGCAGACTCTGGAAAAGCCATGCCAATTTTTCCGTGCCTTGACCACCTTTACCCTGGGCATCACTATTCACCATGATTCTCCATGATGTTTTGTTGGAACCGCGAAGAAGCAATGGAAAAATGACCACATTCCGGATACATTGACCATCCAAAAACAGAGAGGTGACCATCCAATGCTCTCCGCATCCTCCAATGGCTTTGTGCCCATCCACAGCGACCATGATCAACAAACGATAGCACCATCTGCCCGAGACTGTTCCCCTGCGTTTCTCTTGAGTGACTCTGGAGTCTTTGAAGACTGCATAGTGGAAACTGCATGAAGCTATCTTAGCGATTCCGCAAAGCGAAGATTCTCCTGGCTGAGATTAGCAAACTTTTCACGGTAGCTTTTTTTCGACGAAAGCGATATGGTTCCAACTGGCTCACATTCTGATTAACCAACCTGAAAGTGGAATATGTGTATATATATATATTATATAATATTATATACAGTATATATAAATATATAATTAATTATATAGATGGGAAACATACTACAGTTTGTAAGGAGTTCCCTCTGGAAAGAGACCGTAAATACTACTTCCAGGTCGGTTTCCACACAGTCCCCGTTCATTCTGCTTCGCGGTATCTTCTCTCCAAGTTCTCAGTGCGATTGGAACACATCCCACCAGCACTAAGGAACCATAAGGAACCTTGGGACCTTCGGAAAACTTTCCTACAGTATCTTTCCTCCAACTTTTTCCGAAGAAAGAAATTACTTGACCCCCTGGTCATGTTCAAGACATGCCCCCTGCTGAAGCAGAAACATGCTGAACCCACAATAAATTGAGGCTTGACAAATGGACTTCAACTTTCCCGACAAATCGTTCTGAATAGAACTGAGACTTGGACCTCTCGGCATTTCACTGCCTTAAGGGCTGACAATCTCAGGGGCGTCCCATGGCCAACGGAATATTTCAATAATCTCGAGTCAACTCATGAAAGAGACCTGACAGTATTCTGATACATGTAACAAATTGTAACAATGTAACATGTATCATCCTCTGTCAAAAACCAATGATTTTCTACATGACACATCTAAATCACGCTCTCTATGTTTCCAACGGATTCCTCTTCCCAGCAACTTCACATATATAAATTTTCAGTATATTGATAAACGTATACTGAAACGATAGACTATTTTATATATAAGCACACACCTGTATGTATCATATGTATCTGTATCTTTTTTATCTCCAAACTTAGTTTTTATCCAGGAAGGATCACCCCAAAGGCTGGGCCAGCCGGCATTCTCCAATTCCTCTTTCACAGCCTTCTCCCATTTATTTTGCGAATCTGGACTGGCTTCATCTTCCTCCTTCTTCCTAGCGACCGTGGCGCATGGTTACAGTGGCTACAGTGGTTGCACTGGAGACAAATGGACCCCACCATCCCATGGTCTATCTGGGATATCATTAAAGATATAGACCCTATGACCCTATGGACAACCAAAAAAAACAGGGGCAGCTGGGCAGCTCCCTGCCGAAAACCAAGCTCCACACGGAATGAAGTATCCACCCCGGATGCTTCGGCCGGCCACATCAATTTTCACCTGTGCCATTTTCATGCTTGCGGTTGACCCAAATCATCTCGCAGTGATGGAAGACGATGAACATGTGTTTCTATTTACAAATATATATATATATATCATTATATATCTATTTACCAAATTTCAGGCAGTCTGCCAAGAGTTCCCGGAACCCTATTTCACTTGCACCTATCCCAAAGCGAAAAGCAACATTGGACCAACAAGGGTGAGAACGGGATTTCGCCTCCCAACCTTCAACACCAGTATGCCACTTGACCTCGTCTTCAAGCAAAGAGCCAACAAACAATGGAGTCTGCGGTGTGCAGGCGTCATTCCGGTGTTTTTTTTGTTCGAGGAATGCAGCAGGCATGATTTCCTGTTTTTGCTTCTCTGTGTATCCTTAGTCATGTAATTACTCTAATTATTCTCAATGCCGCTGAGCAATTCCGTCATTTAAACAAAATAAAGAAATACAGGAAACTCCGTCAGTAATTTGAGGGTAAAAACTTCATGGCGCATTTCGAATGAAATCTCTGAATCAATCCATTGAAATCCAAATGTGCCGTCAATGCCGTCGGGCAACGACTGAGGCTTCGGCGCCTTCCTTTTGTTCCAAGACATCTCTATGAGTTTCTCGCGTTTCTCGCATCTCTGTAGCCGTTAGTTCCTGACATGATTTTCCTCTCCCGCCAAAAAATGGCATGCCAAGGATGTGTCGTTTCCACGTGTGTACAAATGGAGTGAAGAACATGCTTCCGAGATAACCTGGTTTTCCGAAATGTTTCCGTCAAATTCCAAACGCTACGCAATGAACGGCTCAACAATGGCTCTGCCACTCAAGTCATCATTCCAAATATGTCAGAATCATGCTGGCACACGCAAAATACACGCAGATCATAGCATCTAAACATCATATATATCCCTTCACAATGAGCTTGTCAGCATGGGCTTCACCTATTCTTTGGTACAGGGAACTCATGCTTTAGCCAACCTTTTGGTACACGGCCCTTTCTGCAACGGCACTGATGGGTTTCCACTCCAAAACGTCGTCGTTGCCGACTGGTTTGAGATGTTTGAGTGATCCAAGATGGTCTACAACTATCTGCAACTGCCGCCGCTCACTGCGATCTCACAGCACTTTGCCAATGGGTGCATGAAGCTGTGAATCGCTGACCACCTGCAGGTCAGAGGTACGTGCAGACATGGTACATTCTGGCTGAACTATAGACTTTGCTGTATGACCTCCCTGTCCTCTCTGTCTCTGAGATAGAATGCCAAGAATACAAGAAGTAGCAATTCTGGAACATCGCCACCCATCTGGTACAAGGTCCGACATGTTTGCCATCCCATCATTGAACACACATATATATAGACATACATGTATATAATATATATATATATATACACATAGCATATACATATATATATATGTATATATATATATGTATATGCGTATTCACATCTACAATACATAATATACACCATAAATTACCATAAATCACAAATGATCTTAACATGTCAAAGCCTCACATTTCACTCTCCAGCGGCCTCGTCGAGTTGCCCAATGGTGATCAGCGCCTGACACGCTTGACCCTTATACAGCCAAACGGGGAGACCTGAAGATCTTCGATTTGATGATGTGTAATTCTTTAGGCCACTACCAGTATGAAGATTATGAAGCAACTTGTCTGATTTTCTAAAGGTGGTGATGTTAGTAAACATGTAAAAGGTTAAGAAAATTCATGAAATTCCTACATCATCAGGTCGCATTGGATTGCCCGATGATCCTCATCCAGCGCCTTTTGGGTCTTGGCAAAGGTCTCTTTGGTAACTTCCAATGCACAGGCCCATTGCGTGCCCTCCAGCCATTCACCTTGGATGCCGCTATCTCCTCAACTGGCAGTGCTTGAGCTCAGCTGGGCCAGAGCCGCAGATCGCTTCTCAACCGTTTCGGAAATCCAACGCGCGATCATCCCAAACAAAACACAAACTTAATCAGCAAAGAACCACTGGTGCTTGCGGGGACACCATTCACTGAGATGCTGATATTTCTTCAGCTTGTCACCAATGCCACCCAGCTGCGGGCATCAGTTATGCTAAGAGCATGATTTTCAGAGACATATTGGACCTCAAGCTGAAGGAAGAACCACCACAGCGCCCTGTTCCATCGGTTTAATATGTTTAATATTGTTTAATCATAATGATTCTGATTGGCTGGTCAGTGTTTCGAAGGGCTGGCTAAGCTATCACAAACGGTGATACCCCATGCATTGATTTCCCTAGCCGCAGCACACTGGGGCATTTCACGTGACATTGTCAATGAGGGCACATTACAGCACTCGTTTTTTACTTTACGACAAAGAATTGGGAGGCTGCAAAATGATTTCTTTGCACCAGTATCAAGAATCCCTTTCTAGATGGGTCACATGTTCCAAATGCATAGATGCCTCATCTGCAAATCGTCAAACGAACATGTCTTTTGCCTATATCCATAAAGATGACTTGTTTGTCGCTCGTTTGGCCATAATCTTGGCCAACGACCGTCTTGTCCCCATCGTTTGCCTGCAGCAACTCTCTGCATAACCATCGGATAGGCGAAGGCGATGCATAAACAGCCATGTTGTTACGTATTTCACCAAGACAAATCGCACCACATCCTACATAGACTGGTGTATTTCTTGTTTGCTTTCACAATCCTGTGGAACTTCTTACACAATCTTACATACTTCTTGCTATAGAGTTAGCACATGGAAACACACGCTTTTTAAATCACTACTCTGCGGATCCGGACAACTGAGAAGAAAAGAAAGTTGAACAAACTTCCGAAGGTGTGAATCTCACAGTGTCCATCAATATCCCATGTCATATCATCGAAGTCATGTCATGGTGCACCACTACCTTGAACTCATCACACAGGGTCTTGGTCACTTCAACCTCAGAACATCTCAGAACTCTCATTGCCAAGTGCCAGCGGTTTCACCCAACCCCAGGACCATCTTACAAACATAAATAGCCACACAGTTGCCCTTGTATGACCTTATTCACAGACCTTATTCACAGACCTTATTCACAGACCTGGAATAGTTTGGGAATCTTGGAACCAATGAATTTATCGTTGAACATGGTAAAGAGGTAGGGCCCGGGCCATTTTTTTGTATTTGCTCCCCTTTGGAAGCCAGGGCAGTTTCGGAAGCAACGAACAAAAAGCACGGCCAAGGAGTAGGAACCTGACATGAAAATTGATTCCAGCAACAACATCTGCAGAGTTGCGTTTATGTTCCTTTTGCTGGGAAAATAGACAATATATATAATATATACATATACATATACATATCATAATATGTATCTCTCTCTCTCTCTCTAGGTATATACATATATGCATATGTATATATATATACATGTGTATATTTACTATAATTACACTAATATCGCATCAGAATATCCCAAAGTTTTCATGTCCGCTGTCGTGAAGATCCCATCCAGCTGTCCATGATTTCCCGACAAAAGGTGATGCCCGATCCCAAGGGGCCTCTCCGATAATGTCCCACTCCTTGGCCCGTCCCAACTTCCAGCATGCGGCTGGCTTGTTTTACTGGCAGTTAATTATTAGCCTCAACAGCTTAGATGTGAAAACATTCCCAGTTAGTCTGATGCGCCTCCATGGCAATTCACATCAACTTCATCGGAAGCAAAGACAATCAACTCAGTGCCTTTCTTCATGGCCTGATCAGTCTCATAGAACTTCCCAAATGTCTTCAGTGTCTTCCGAATTCGATTGTGTCTAGTCGCTCATCGCTGTATCATGGCAGTTTTGCCACGACTGCCTGGAACTTTGGCTGGAAATGAACACCCCAAACTCTGACAATCTGTTGTAAACGCTACTAGCTGCAAAATGGCCACAAACGAAACGGATCTAAATAGATCTAAATAGTATAGGTTTCAGCCTCAAAACCCCCCAAACCACTCCAAATCAGTTCAAAAAAAACATGTTCAGAATCATTAGCTGAAAATTCAAACATGTATATATATTTATATATATATATAATATATATATATATATGTCATCATCCACATCCTTTACCAACAGCAAGGCGCTGCCAAGGCTCCCCGTTGTCCACGAGGTGTTTGGTCGTGAATTTCTCCCAGAGCCATGCGTCGATCTCGCCTTTGCCCATGGCCTCCCTGGCACCGTCCAGGGTGCCCACCTCAGGGCTGGAAGATCATGTCATGGGAATTCGATTTGTATTATATATACTATCATATGTATATTATCATATTATATATAATATTATATATGTCATATTATATTATATATCATGATATATTATCATGACATATTATCATGATAATATACATATGATAATATATTATGATATATCATAATGCATTATATTTTGTATATACAAAGGAATGTCATGTCATACAGGGACATCAAAATAAGTTCAACCATCTTCGATATTTGTGTTGCAACTTGGGATGCCTTTTCCTTGTGAGCTGAATCGGGAGCTCTTCAAAACATGGGCTAGCGAGGTTGGTTCGATGAGAGATCACACAACAATATCGCCAAGTTTCCTTTCAATCAAAGGTGACATCGACATCAGAGGATGTGAAAGCTTTGGATATCAGAACCAGGTCTCGGACGATTTTCAAGGGTGCATCTGTCGTGGGTGCCCAACCTGGCAACTGGTCCCGATGCCTCACCATTCACCTTGTCTCAGGGATCCACCGAAATGCCGAACACACATTGATATCATTGATGCCGAGGTTTCACAAAACAGCAGCAATGCGAGATAGTTGGAGATGTTGGGATATACCATCATAATCATCATAGTCATCCTAATCCCATCCGTCTACAAATCATAATCCATAAAGCCATAATCCCATACCGTCCATAAATATTTGGATAGTTGGATATGGGACAAACCATAGACCATAACCATCATCCTCCCATCCATCATCCCATCTATGAGTTGCGCCTTGTTGATCTGCAAAGACATGCGCCATGAGATGCGAGCCACTCAGCATGCGCGAGACACCAAAGACTCGCCCCTGGCCGGTGCAAATCCCTAGGTTGGTTCAGCCGTGGATTCCGTAGGTCTTGATTTGGTTAAATGACACGCAGAAATATATATATATATATATGTAGAGAAAAGAAGGGAACAACCAGAAAACAACCAAGTTGAACTCCTCAACATCAACAATCAGCAAGCACCTATTTTACGCTAGGCACTTGAGCCACAATGGTCAGTAGGCGGTAATGACCCCTACCTCGGCATTAGGCTACTATTACCCCAATAGGTTGTGCATTTAACCTATGGGGATATTTACAGTTAAATGACTCTACAATGACTTAGGTGGTTGGTATCATAGCTACAGCATGGAGTGAACTATAAGTAGACGATAGAGTGGGGGTAATGGGGTCATAATATTTCTACTCCCCCCTACCGAGTCCCACTCTTGGAGACGTCTACCTGCCAAGCTACTTAGGGCGCGTGGCCGCTGCCCCTTCCGTGGTTCGGAGTTCACTACTTAGATCAGTGCGGATGCCCAAAAGGCGGAGCGCTGGAGCCCACTTTTGGGGCGGCAGTGCTTTAGTGAAGATATCTGCGGCCTGAACATCTGTTTTACAGTACTCCAACTCAGCAGAGTCATCGTGGAATACTTCTGAAAGACCGGATAAATTCACTTTATGGGTACGGGTTATGTGCCTAAGTTTTGGGGAATAGCCTTTACGTACTACCAGGATGGTAGCTTGGTTATCCTCATCCCATAGCTGCAGGGCTGGGAGGGCCTCTTGGTAAAGGGAGTGGGCCAATGAAACCACTTCAGATTCGGTGGTCGAAAGTGATGTGGAAGTCTGGCGTTTACTCACCCACGCGAGAGGAAGGGAGGAGTTGGGTCCAACCAAGACTAAATACCCTCCGGAAGTGGATTCTCCAGTAAGCCTGTCGCCGGCGAAGTCTGCGTCTACATATAAATGTAGTTCTAGAGCTTCGGGGCTGTCTTTAAACAAGCCGGTAGTGGGGTGTAGAGTCTATATATTGGATGAGCCTCAGCAACTGTTTATCGTCCCCCCTGGACCAAGAGCGCGCTTTTGTGGCTAAATCGTTAATGGGTTTGATTATGTCAGGTCGGGACAGTCAGGCACCAGGCTCACTTAGAGCTTGGACTTTGGCTCACTTAGAGCTTTTGGCTCACTGCAAGCTCTTCGAAAATCTCCTCGGCAGAAACCTCCGGCTCCTCAGTCTTAATCGGATCAAGAAGCGACAAGGCGTCGAACCTCGGTGGCTCTTCGAATTCAGAGACCTCGCCTGGGGCGCCGAAGGCAGCCCCTCCCTCCAGAAACCTGCTCGGCAGTGTTCGGCGCGGTCGCACCTTCAGAACGATCCGCCCAAGTACTAAGTCCAGTACAACAGCGACTTCGGTGCTTTCAGCAACCTCCGCCTCTGCTTCCGGGTTCCTTTCGGCAGTTGGCTCCGGGGCGCTAGAAGCAGCCCCTTCCGGCAGATCTTCTGGGACCATACACGGGTGAAACGGGAACAGCGAAGTTAGAAAGACAGTGAGCGGTAAATCGTGGGGCCTGAGCTACCTGTTGCGGAGTTCAAGACTTTCCCACAAAAGAACCAAACACAGAATCAATACGGCTGATAACTAGAGAAAAGAGGGGAACAACCAGAAAACAACCAAGTTGAACTCCTCAACATCAACAGTCAGCAAGCATCTAGTTTACATTATTTTACGCTAGGCACTTGAGCCACAATGGTCAGTAGGCGGTAATGACCCCCTACCTCGGCATTAGGCTACTATTACCCCAATAGGTTGTGCATTTAACCTATGGGGATATTTACAGTTAAATGACTCTACAATGACTTAGTTGGTTGGTATCATAGCTACAGCATGGGGTGAACTATAAGTAGACTATACAGTGGGGGTAATGGGGTCGTAATATTTCTACTTATAGTATATATTACTATATATCTATATCAAACGCATAGTTCAGTAGTACATTGATCCTGATATTATTTGTAGAATAAAACGTATGCAACGAACACATCCCAAATCCCCAAATCTTAGACTTCCAACACACAACAATCCCCAGCTTCAACAGCTCCAAGGATGGTCTGTGCCTTGAGCTCTGCAGGATGTCTGATTGGGCTGCCTGACGATGGTGCGAATCTTGCTGAAGCCGCTGAGGTTCAGTTTTCACAACCATCAGCCATTCGGTGATTTGGTGCATAGCTACGGAACATGATGGAACATGGCTCATCTATATATCTATCTATATATATATGATTTATCTGTTGTATAAAACTGGTGATGTGCCATAGCTTTGTTGAATTACCAGAGGGATCCAGACGGTATAATATATGTTGAATACCTTGGGTTGGACCCCCAAACCGGATGCTAAAATGCCATAGATTTGGTATGATTTGGTGATGTTAAACAAAACGACAATTCCATACTGAGGTGAACATGGACAGCACTATTTTTTTCAAAATCCAAACGGCAAACATCCAAGATCATTTCGTCAAAATCATACTACACCTGATAGGACACTAGTAGTCACTACCACACATGTTTAAGTCCAAGGTTTCACATTGTGTGTTTCCATGGTTTTCCTATTGGAGCTTGTTCAGCAAAGCAGAGCACAGACCGACACGCCTTTCTTCACATGAATGCCCCATCGCCTGTGAAAGGTGAAAAAACTGGCTTTGGTGATGCTTCATCTTTCACCTCTCTATTTAGATATATTTGTCGTGAGTCATGACTTGATCATGTCATACCTACAAGACAGGTTGGTCTTTTGTTTTGATCTGTCTTGAAGACAAGTTTCTGCTGCGCTCTATATTTCTCTCTAGCTCTAATATGACTGACATCTTCCCTTTCCGACTACCGGAGACTGCCCTGAGGCCTCCCTTCACGACTTCAACTTGGGTACAAACCAATCACACGCCACTTTTTGTTGCCACTTGGAACATCTGCAAAGGAGAATTGGACAACTGATGCATGTCTGTTTGCACGTGAATAAAGCTTGGGGGTCCAAACCCTTTATCAAACTGGAAAGCTGGGGTCTCTAGCAGAGGCGACTTCACATAGGTCCCAACCACCTGTCACTCACTGGTAACGTGAGCAGTTGGAGTTTGACAAACCTAAGCCAGCTGGGATGTTTGTTCTGTTCTGAATCTAAAAAGTTGAAACACTTTAAACGCATTAAACTTAAACAGTACGTAGTATTCTACAATATTGCCCTCTCTTTGCAAACAAAGGGATGAGATTGTCAGAGCAAGTGCCAAACCACGAACCAGCTTAGGATTTGCAGGGCAGTGAATCCGTTCACCAATCCCGCAACCCATCACAGAACTTTCACCTACTCTTTGCTTTTGCAAGTTCCCCTGTCATTTGCGGATGGTACAAGTATATACCCCATTTCTCATGGGAGAAAAAACAAAAATAGAGGGATCAAATATGATCAAACACTACAAACGTTATATTAGTGTTTTTCGTACATTGTAGTATTACAGAATATATATATATATACGCGTATATATATATACAGTATATTATATAATTATAAACATATTATAAAATATACAATGTACACAATGAATTGGTCCACGAAATCCTGGCCTTTGTCTTGGAGCCCTGAGCTATACGAGCCACGGCTCCCTCTGACAGCATCACGGCCACATCCACCTTCAGTGCGGACGGATCGGACGGTCAAGAACTGGACAAAAAAAACATCTTAACCAAGCTCAGTCACAAAATGGATAGACTCAGATTCGGAACTACAAATTGGACAGCTTTTTTGACACTGGTTTATAGATGTTTATAGATGTTTATAGTTGGATTTTCCAGACCCTTCCAACATCTTCCCACCCAAACATCAACAGATCCATCAACTCCCCATCCGCCTCATCAGCATCCAATTTTTGACCCATAGCTCCAGTGCCCTGAGGTGTCATGTCCCACCTGAGAGCAAGCGGTGCCTCTCAAAGTGATCGACTATGGCAGAATTTTCCATGACTATCATCTTACAATAGTAGTGACAACTATTGATAAATGGCAAATAATTGACAAATCTTCTAGCATATGCAGAGATTTAATATGATTTAATCACAATAGCATCAGTGATATTTTCCTGACATACTTGTATAGCATCTTGTCCTTTTTTTATTTTCCGAATCACTGTCCCCGTGGGAAATCGCGCTGACACCGGACAATGTTTTGGGGTGAATCCGGCAGCGTTGGACTCTGTTGGGATTGCCGAAATCTGCTTCACATCTAAGCTGTGCTACACTTCATCAATCTATCCAGGGTATTTTCCTGACAAGAGAAGACTACTTCGCTAGGACAACTATAGAGTGCTGAGGTTGGATTCACTGCTCAACATTCATACACCAGCCACAAGAGTTTTGGCCGTTTGCTTGAATTGTGGGATAATCCTGCCACATTGGGGCGCACTGAAGAAGAATAGTCCCACATAGTCCCACCAGCATGCTAGGCAGTCTTCATGTCATGTGTGATGGTTCACAACTCTTTGTAGATTTTGTGCGAATAGGTTGGCTGAATCATTTCCAGCATTTCCAGGATCTGTTGTCTGGATTCATTTGACATCCACACTTTTTGCTACCGCTGCCGACACCCTCATTGCCGTGGGACTTTACCCAGGCCATGTCAAATTTACATTGAAATGAAATGAATGAACGATCAAGAAATAACCGTATAAAAAATCATCAATCATGGAGGTACGGAAACACCTGGTAGTGCACTGGTTGCAGCAAGTTCCGATCCTTGTCCGCAAAAAAATGCATGAAGCACAGGTAACAGAAATATCCCGGATCATGCGGAATCCTGTCGGATCCGTGCACAACAAACGTCGCCTGATTCTGGAAACAAGCGCAGCAATATCGTTTGAACAATTTTCTCAGGAACACCAAAACGGGGTAGGACTCCTGGAAGGGACAGTCACATGCGAGGTTGAACTTTCGAGCACCAGTAAAATACATCGCGTGCTCTATGTCTCCTTGGTGAATGTAGACGCACCTTTCACCAAAGGGAATTCGTTCAATGTCAAAGAGTCGAATGCCCATGCTCCGGGATTTTTCCTCCCGGACTGTTATCTCAGAATTGTTTGTGTCTTTTAAGTGTTTGATCAGCTCAGGCGCATAGTCGACAGAGCGTTCACTTCGAAGGTCTGAATAGAAAATGCCATCGATAAACATGCAAGCAGATTCCAAACGCGTTGGGCCATCATATTCAAAATCTGACGCAAAGTAAAATGCATCCCTCAAATCATGCAGGGTTTGGCTACCAAGAACATCGTACTCCTGCTGCTTCCTTCCTTTCTCGTCACAAACTTGAATAGTAAAAATAATCTCACTTGCTTCAACTCGCTTCACTTCATCGGGTACGATGCTCAGGTCAGGCTGAACACATTCGTTCTCACCTTCTTGACTTTGCGGATATTCCTGGCCATATTTGGCCAGAGTTTGATTCAAAAGCCTCTTGTGGGGATTTCCCTGGACTGCGCTGCTCCTGTAGACAGTTTGCCAAGTAGGGTCTTGGGAAGAAGATTCTAAGATCATCAAGGCAGTGGACAATTCTGAGCAAGTTTTCCAGCGCTTTAAAGACAAATCCTTGTAGGTTGGCATTTTTGGCACTTCAACTCTCCCAGTCCCGGATTCTGCGCTTGCTTCCCGGGTGGATGAAGATGCTCCAGCTGAATCCAGGTCATAAGCGCACCTGCGGTATTTGTTCCTGGGGATTGCTTTGTCTCCATTGTCTCCTAGCAGATCTTCTTTTTTCAATTGCTCGTCAATGATGTCTTGGACCATTTCGCTGGCCTGTTTCAGGCGGGTATTGCTCACATCCAGGTCAATCTGGGAGGCAACGGCATCTTCTTGGGGACTTACCGCAGCAAGACCCTCCAGCAAATGCTCCGCGCGAAGTGTCATGGTCTTGTGGTCAGCATCCTCGGGCAACTCCCTCCAGGGGTAAGAGACCTGCAACTTGCCCCACTTCAATGGTTTACATTTTTTTCTGCCTGACAGGGCGGTCTTTGGTTGAGGGACCAAGTCCTCCCAATTCTCGGTCTCATCCTCCTCTTTGGGTTCTATTTTCACAAACTTGTCTTGTTTTACATCCTCATCCTCCTCCTCCTTTGCCGACAGGAAAGCGTGCTCCATCTATCAGCGTCGAATGGGGTGGCGGTGGCATCCATATCATTTTACTTGAACAATTCGTCTTAAGCCAAAATTTGTATGCACTAAGCAGAACTCAACTTGCATTTGCAGACACATGTCATCTATCTAGATCCTCTCCAAAATTCACCACGGAAACACAGCAATGTGGCTCTGGCGGCAGTACAGGCTGCGGCCAAGTCGCTGCATGTCGATCCCTTTGGCTTCGTAGAGCCCCCGGCTCTTTGCCAAGTGAAATGGCGCATTGAAGTGTTCAGGCACACCAGCCTCACTTTCCGACCATACTTCCGGATAAAATCCCCCTCGTGACTCGTGTCTGCCAAGAACTCTCCAAAGGACGGAGTGTCTGCACAATAGTACAAGCAACAGCAGCTACTATATCTTCATTTAAGAAAAACCTATCTTTTTTGCCGTTACTTGAATATTGAGCGCCAGAAGAATCAGAAGAGCACCAGAAAAAGCATTGGAATAGTTAATAAATAGTGATATGATGTTATAATATGTATATATATTATATATATATATATATTTGTATACATAAGTAAATATAGACATGTTTGTTTCCAGTTCTTGTTTTCAAAGCAGACTTAGGTCCTTAGCCCAGGAACTATCCGAAGAGTACTCAGCCCACGCAGCGCTCCCCCATAGGTCCAACGGGTTGACAACCGTGCTGCAAGGGCAGCCATTGCAAGTGGCACTTGACGTGGCTGCGAAAAGACTGGGTAAAGCCATCATAGCAGACATTGGCCTTGTTTAAGCATCTGGTTCATTTGCATGTGTGAATCCTACAGAATCTATAGACATCCTCAAATTCAATCGAATAGCAGCTAGTGTTTCATGAAAGGAATCTGAATGTTCCGACATTCAGATTCAACTTCGAAACTCAGTAGAAAGCTGACCTAAACTGTTCTTGAAGGGCGATCTTGTGGCAAACATCATGTCCTCCTGAGGATATGGCTGAAAGCTGCAAATGAAGGAAATTAAGTACAGCCCAGAGCCAAATAGTTAGTTGACAAACATGACACAATTGCAAATGAAATGCGAGAGTAATAAGCATCAAAGGTCCACTGGTTGACACTGGTGCAATCGCCAAACATGTCTGATGAAAAAACTCCAGCGCGTGCAAGTTTCTTCATTGGAAGCGATGGAACTATAGTCCAATGATGGTCCAATGATGGTCCAATGATGGTCCAATGATGGTCTAATGGCCTTGCTACTGTTGGTATGACACCGTTGCCATTCAAGATACCCCTCCTGCCTGAGCACCAACCTTGCAAGTCGATCGGCATGGTAGCATTACATGAACAGCAAAGAAGAGGATATCTGGGAGCAACATACCAGTATTTCTTGAGAAATCCCAACAAGTTGACATGCTGCTGTCTACTAACGTTCTTTGTCTTCCTCAATTTTTGCTTAGACCCCAATCGAAAGAGGGTTGATTCGACAGCCCTGTTTCTCGCTTGTATCCAGCCCACGCAATGGATCGACTTTGTGTCAAGCTGAGTCCAATCCATACATCAATTATATCAAAGATATCAAAGATACTAACCATGGTGGCAAATACAAATAAGTTAAAGATTTGCTATATAAGAATTGACCCAACGAAACTATTCAATCTTCAATGATCAACTGCAACACCCTTGGTATGTTGCTGTGTTTCCCAACGGGGTCTCTAACAATTGGCTCCACTTCGCCCGATGGCGCTATCGGAGTCTCCTGCTTCCAGCTCCAGTGGCGATGCCCGAGGGCCCAAAGGGGTTGCTGAGTTTGTAATCAGTCATTGATTGTCATGTCTTTTCTGACAAAATGATAGACTTACAGATCTACACCTCCATATGCATCAAAGTTCAGCTTTGCGAAGCATTGCGAAGCTGATGAAGCTGTCTTTTTTGTTTCTCGTTTCAACCAGCTAGCAACGAATACCACACCGCAAATCAAATCCGTGAATTGTAGCCTCACAGCTCATGCGGCTCGTGCATCATAATGTTTTATATACATACACAATATCAACACAAATACCACGTGTAGCTTCCAAAAACTCATCTAGGGCCATGTCCATGCCACTACAAGTGCATCAGAGTCAGCAATCCACTTGAGATTGAGCATGTCACTGTCATGCCTATCATGGTGATGCCTTCCTTCTACACAGTGATATGAATGTGCCCAGGAGTGGAGGGTACCCCAAAATGATAATTTCAATAGGGAAAATGACAAAAAACGACTGGATATTGAGGTACCCTAGTATCTCTTCCAACAACTGAAAATCACGAGGCAGGGAGGTGCAGCATTACCCACACCCGTCACAGAAGAAACGTTTGGTTGTCAGGCAGTGTCTGGTTGGATCCATTCCAGTTCCAGGTAAGCTCGACACGGTTTGTTGCTTTTCTAAATTATCCTAAGCTGCCGACTTCCCAAAACCTCAAAAACATCCTGCATGACCAGATATATCCAAATATCTATTGTATCCAATTGATTCCAATTGTATCCAATTTTGAAAAAAAGATAATAAAAACATCCAATTTTTCCAAACATCTCCAAACACTTCAAGGAAGAAATGGAACACACAGATCTCACCCTGTGACCTCTTGAGGCTGGCGATCTTTGGCCAAACACTTCTCGACAAAGCGGACGAACCCTATCGACGGCTGAGGCTTGAACTTTCGTTGAAGATTGAAGCTACATATGCTACATACCCATAGGATCCATGTATGCTATATATAATATATCCCAGTGATGTTAGCATATATACCAGCACCATGCATCCTATGGGATACTTCCAGACTCCCAGGATCCTCAAGGCAGGTGTGTTTGATGAAAGCCAAATGTCTGTGGCCTGTGGTCAATACTTCCTGGATGAGCATGGCAAAAGGACAAATGAATACACATAAATATACTAAATGTACACAGATGTTGCAAATATGTGCAACCAATTATCTGGTGACATCCGAAATTGACTGTATAGCCCCCACTCAGATCCGATACAATCGGATCATCCGTGAATTAAAAACACACCAGCGCGCCTCGATTAGGCCTCGCATCGAAGATGGCGTTGGCGTCCTGAAACAAAGCCGAGAATCATTAGGTCCGAGAATCGGATGAAGGAGTGGTTACAAGGAAAAGCCTACAGAATGGAGGGGGAATACAGAAAAAGCATTACATCCAATGATTGCAGAAGCGAAACATACCCTCGGCAGCAGAAGACAGGACCCATGCTACCGGACCTTGGCGACACCATTGAATTGAGACTGGTTCCACTCTCCATAGTGATTACAGCCCAAGACATTCTCAAATCTTTGATTTAGTACCAAATGCTTCTAGCTATTTTCAGCTCCCAATTGAGTGAGGCGACGGGACCAAACATCCACATAGGTCTAGATCGCTTCTTACAGGAATCCTGTCCTTCAGTACTGTAGAAGAATGCAATTCGTTTTCTCGGAATTAGGATACATTATACAAAACACGTATGTATAAATAGAATAATTATATATACATGTATCATAAGTCATAATTAATTTCTCATATCAACATATCTAAACAAAATTCATGGTGTCCACCAGCAAATTGAATCTTTGCCTCTCCAACCATTGTTTTAATGTGGACCATTTTTGAGCTGCCCGGAGTCCAGGATGGATTTGAAGAGTCTTCGCCGGAGACCTACCGCTAAAAAGGGTCGATTTGGGATGATTTGGGCACTGTAAACCCCCAAAAACAGAAAGCAACAGGGGGGTTGAACTGATATATTGGTATATACAATATATCTATATATAGACATACACGCTACTGCATATGTATATATATATATATACTTGTGTACTACATAATATATAATATATACTGCATAATATATATATATACATATATTGGATATATATATATATATATATACTGAATATATATACATATAATACTGAATATTAACGAATGAGAAAGACAGTCTTTAGACAGCAACCTATTGCACCTGGCCTTCATTCTTCTATGTTCTTACTGTGTCATCTCCCTGCACTCAGTCGAATCAGAGCTTTCGCAACCTTCCCGAAGAGCCACATCTTCAGGATCATCAATGGCGGGACCCTTCCGGGTGGCTGCCTGCTGTAGGTCATTCGATGTCATTCGGTTCGCTAAGCAGCATGAAACCAGTGAAGGAAACCCGGCTGCCATACCTCATGGGGATGGGGGTTTAATGCATTTTCTTTGTGTAGATGGGGGTTTCTCTATGGTTCTCTTATAACTATAGTGACTATAGAGAAAGCTGTGTTGTCTGGGGTTCACAAGCTCCCACGGCTGTAGGACGAACCTCAAGGACAGAGAGTTCTGTGGCATTCGTCATCTCTTTGACCTGTTTCAACCTGGCTCATCGTCGCCGGTTGCTTGGCGTGAACAGCAAGTGGTTGAAACCAGGCACTTGTCCCATGAGGAATGGCCATCTGATCAAAGTGCAAAGCCGTTGTGCAAACCATGGCAATGTTGTGCTAAATACCTTCCAGAAATCTGGGTATGGAACAAATTGCAAAAGACGTGCGGGATCGCATTTTTTGGATCAATCTTTGGCAGTTTCAGCATGTTGCAGCGGAACAATATAAAGCAACCATCCATTTGGTAGCCGTCCAACATCGTCCAACATCATACAACCAAATCAGTACCATCCAGCCACACCATTTCAACATAAGGTCCCTCGAGGTCAAGGCATAACTGCTCGCGTGGCTTCTGCCAGTGCAGCCTGCCAGGCCCACGACCAAACCGCAAGTATCCGCAAGCATTCGACTGGAAACTGCTTGAAACTGTAGGGATAAACATGGGTATGCTGACCTGATGTGGGGACCCTGAAAGATCCCCATTTCAGAGAATGAACATGGATGAAATGATTGAAATTGATGAAATGTATAGGATTCGAACGCAAACTGCACAAATCCGGTGACAGCTGCTGCTGGTTGCCAAAATAAGCTTCCGGCACCGGTCTCTGGCATGGCTTTCGCAGCCTTTGGACATTTGATCCGGATGGGAATTCCCAAACAAAGGAGCTGAGCTGCTCGGGAACCATTCGAACCATTGTAGCGACATTAATTTGGCTCATCTTCACTGAAATGGGTGTTCATTCCACTTTGTTGAAGGTTGATCAAACATTGACACTTGCATGACTGACAATCAACAAGTTCCAATTACATACAAATAAAATATGATCAAAACCTCTCATACAGCCACTGACAGAAGGTGCTATCCCAGGGCCCAGGCTTGCAAAAGGGCCGCAAGAGCCTTTGCATCCTGCATTCCGCATGTTTTGCCACACATGTTTCTATACAAACAAGGTTGCATCACATTTGTATAGTATATATATATATACTGCCATACTGCTGTTTTTCTTTCCAGGCGGCAATGTCTAAAGCTGCAATGAAGCTACCCCAAGGCTCTATGGTCAGGCATTTTGTTCTTGGCTGATGTCAAAAGCAAGTCACCTATAGACTTCTTACAAAATGAACATCTGGTTCAACAAACGTTGGAATTAAGCCCCACAATGAAGTCTGGATGATGTGGGGTTTATCTGAAATGGGATAGAATTCCAACATATTCCAACCATTTTTTTTTGCATTTTCAAGGGGGGCCAATTTAGGATTATTCTCATGTTGTTCAAACAAATTGGAGGGCTAAACCATGCTGTACCCCATCTTTAAACAAAGCCATGTCCGGACATCATCCAATCGATCCAACCACTTGGAAC